CTGAAGACGAGGATGACGAAGCGGCAGACTCTCCAGTTAACACAACCACTGGCCTGTCCAACGACCTGAAGCAGGCTCTCCACTACACCCCGTCCGTTGGCACGCACTTCTTTTGGTATAGACTGCGTCCTCTAACATTCGAGCGTGTCCAGAACCGCGAGCAGATTCTCGGCATGACGGCGAGCGAGAAGGAAGAGCTGCGGATATCTTGTTTGGGGAGAAATCCCAGGATTCTGAAGGAACTGCTACTGGAGGCGAGACAACTGCACATGAAGAAGGATGATCGCAAAACCGTCATTTATCGCGCAAATCTTGCCGATATCTACTGGCAGCGATGCATGTCGCGCCTAAATCGACCCTTTTCAACAGTTATTCTGAACGAGCATGTGAAACAGGACTTGATTGACGACGCTGCTGATTATCTAAACCCCATTACTCGTCGGTGGTATGCGAATCGCGGCATTCCGTACCGAAGAGGATACTTGCTCCATGGACCTCCTGGAACTGGTAAGAGTTCCCTCAGTCTCGCGTTGGCAGGATACTTCCGCATGAAGATCTATATCGTCAGCTTGAGCTCTGCTGCGGCTACCGAGGAGAATCTCACCTCTCTTTTCCATGAACTACCTACTCGATGCGTCGTACTGCTTGAGGATATCGACAGTGCTGGCCTAACTCATACCCGCGAGGACTCTGCCGCTCCTCCAGCTGTTCCCGGACAAGTCCCCTCACAAGCCATTACCTCTGCCAACGGCACTAAAGCGGCTACGCCACTCCCGGTTCCTCCTGGTCGTGTCAGCCTCTCAGGTCTACTCAATATCCTTGATGGCGTGGCTTCACAGGAAGGACGTATTCTCATCATGACAACCAACCATATTGAAAAGCTCGACAAGGCACTTATCCGTCCTGGTCGCATCGACATGGTCATTCCTTTTGGCCTGGCAGACTCCCGTATGACCGCCTCCATCTTCCGTTCTATCTATGCACCGTACGAAAGCGAAATTGCCTCCAAGGTAAACGCCAAGGATTCAGACTCGGAAGCCAGGCGAGCTAGGCTTGCTAAGAAGCATGCGCAAATAAGCAAACGGGTGGACGAACAGGCCAGGCAGTTTGGAGAAAAGATTCCAGAATTCGAGTTCAGTCCAGCAGAAATCCAAGGACTGCTGTTAAAGCACAAGCACGATCCAGAAGGTGCGTTGGCTGCTTCGGGCATCTGGGTTGAGCAAATGAGGAGGGATAAGAAGAAGGAGAAGGCGAAAGAGGCTGAGAAAAAGAGACAGGAGGAACAGAACAGAAGACAAGAAGAGAAGAATGTAAACGAGGATACAAAGGACAAGACGGGACAGGAGGACAAAGAGACTGTCTCGTCCCAAGGGGACGCTGAAAAAGCATTTGAAAAGAACAAGCTCGATAAAGATAGCTTGACTCCTGTGAAGTCTGATAACCCAAAGAAGAGTCCGTCGGATTCCGGGTATGAAACCACATAAAGTCAGTTAATTATTAATTATATAATTATATTACGAGGCGTTTAAGAAATTCATAAAAACAAGAAAATTACTTAATATTAGTATATATTAGTATAAAAATCTATAAAAGCTTAGTCTTAGTTATTTACACTACTTATATTGTAATTAAGGTACTAGTTACGCCGGAGGGGATACTAAACAAACCCTCCCTGTAACAATGTACTAACAGTAGCCAACTCTTCAAGTTAAACTTCGTGGTTAAATCCCATGTTATTTTGGCTTCCTATTTTCCCGGAGGGTCTTTAACAAACACTGCGGCTACGTTACCAGCACGTCTCCCAAACACCATTCCAGCAGTCAGTCCACTCCCACCAGGGTAATTCATGTAAAGTAAACCTCCCATCGTCTTCCCAACACAGTAAATTCCACAGCTGGGAGGGCCACTGGATACACGTAATATTTGAGCAATACCAGGGTCTATCTGAACACCACCAAAGGAGAAAGTGATGCCTGCACTAACCTTGACATGCCCAAAATGGTCCTCCATCTAGTGGCAGTATTTCGAAGTTTGAGCCTCGTCACGGTTCTAGTCTTCCAGATGATACTTCCCTGCGTGTCGCAACGCTGTCGACCCATAGAACGTCAAGTGATCTGGCTGTTGGAGAACGGCGCGGCCAAAAGTTGGCACCACGTAGTTGTACATGCCCGCTCCTTTTTCTACAAAACGATCCGCATCCACATTGATTATGAGGACCGAGAGGGCATCCCGACTTGGTGACTTTGGAGCGACAGCCGGAGCAGTGCCCCGCCGCTGGGGTATCACAGGTCTGGATACAGTATTCCAGGCACTCCAGGCACTCTCCGGCGTTGAGAGGCGCGCCACGGACCATGGCCATGTTTTAAGCCGGGCGGAGATACGTGGTCCTCCTGCGAGTGTTGGCTTCAGGCCCGGTGGCGGCAGCTATCCATTGGTGACGGCTTGCGTCGAACGGAGCGGCCGGCGGCGACATGGGAGCCTTGCCGTGTCCGGGCTCCGCTTGACGGAGTGAAATGGTGTTGACCAGAGTGTTTGCGTGCCAGCCTGCATCGCTGCCTCCGTCATGGACGGCTCTATCGTCCCGAGCTGTGAGGCACGAGTTGTCCTGCTCCCGCCCGTGACTCTAGGCGCTTGTCTACGCGGACGACGCTTTTCGCCCCGACTTGCTTGGCGAAGACGACGGCAGAGACGCCGACATTGCTACTGCCGGTCACTATAATATCGAGTTTTGACAGAACTTGACTAGTTACGTCAGTCGTTCTGCAGCCCATGTATTCTTGGGCGAGGAGACGGGGTCGGCTGGCTGCGGAAAGGGGTACTGTCTGGTAGTTTGTTGACACGGGAGGATTGCAGCAAATCAGCTCATAATCACTGAGCTACCAGACAATTCACGAGCGAGTCCCGTGCCCAAGAATTGACCGCAATCCGAGCCGAAATGGGGCTATTCCTGGGCTATTCATAGCATCCGTAATAACGATTCTGGCAATTCAAACTACATAGGTCGTCGCCTCGCTGCGAAGTTATTTTTGCACAAGAACGAAATGTGAGCATGCGTTGCTGCCTGAATGGAGCTGTGATTCAGTTGGACAACCATTGTAAAAGATGGGCTATGCCATGTTCATCATACCTAGATACCTATGTATTTGTATTGGCGGCGTAGAATTTGTTGTTTCGACTGCAATCCAAGTATGGCGTCATAATGGCCTGTTTTCAGGCCCCGACACGCTAAATCCGTCGTAGCCGCCAATTCATACGCCCTAAAGAGGCTGAGCCACTGCACATGCAGCTCTTGAGACCCTGAAATTGACGCGAGGCGGTACGCAGGCAACCATGTTATGCCAACTCCTCTCGGCCACGAACGCGTAATCTAGGCGGCTTGATTTGTCCAACGAATGTGAGTAGGCAATAGCGACCGTTTCCTGACAGCCTCGGATAGGAGTGCCATCAATACTGCACACATGACACTGGCTGTCGGCAGTTGTTGGCCATCTGCAAGGTGTTCCCAAACCCATGCTGTTTGGTGTGTTGCACACAAACGGCATCAGCACTCGACTCGCTGTCGCATTGTGGCCATTACAATTGCAGGCACATGTGGCGTTATGCGCGGCTCAAACCAGGTTGCATGGTACGGCTGGCGCTCAGCCCAAACAAAGATACACAGCTGTGCCATGGACGTCGAATCACGGCGGTTCGGCGAAGAAATTGCCTCAGAACGAGGCAAGCAGAAGGAAGATGCGAGAATCTAGCCAGGAACTGGGTTCAAGACTAGCATCTTGGCCCACAAACTACCTAGGTAGTCATGATGACTCGCCTAGATCTTCCGTTATCAATCAGTAGATGATCAGAGACCCCTGAAGGGAGCGTGAATTATATCCAGATGACCCAAACGTCTCCACCGAATAGAGCTGAGATGGAGTCAATTGAGGGAATATCAAGAAATGTGTGTCTCGGCAAGACTTTCCCATTCATGATGTGGCCAATTCGAGGCAACGTTCCTGCGCGGCAACAGAAGCTCCTGCGTCCACATGCTCTTTTTCTCTCAATCCGTTTCTCTTGGTGGTTGGTGGTTGGTGGTCTGGAGGCGTGACTCTGCGTGTTCGTGCTTGGACCGTGAACACAAGAGCTGCGCCTCATGTACCCCAAAGTGTAGAAATCTTGGAAGAGGCTAAATTTCCGAGACAATCTCCCCCAACAACAATTTCAACCTTGGGCTAACAAGCAGTTTCAGGAGGCAAGCTGCCACCTTGTTTGCATGGTCCAAGCCCACTAGCTTGCACGATCTCGCCCAGCTTTCGACTGTGTACCACCCAAGAGCTGTGCGGAGATTCGTCAATTTGTCTGTTCGTCTTCGTACGGAGGACTCCGTTATCAAATGCTGGCAAATCCACAGCAGTCTCTGTGACACGGGAAATATTGCGTTACGAACAAGCTCCACAGCCATAGGAAACGAAACAGATGATGGCATAAACCTGGCCTAGGCAAAAAAAAAAAGAGAGATGTGTTAGTAGCATGTCACCATGTACCAACCAGGTAGATATTGTAGATAGGTGGTGTGGGGGGCATAATACATACACAATTAAAATGAAGAGAAATTGGTCTGAAGTGGCGTCTCGCATCAAATCCCGTCCCGAGTCCCTCCCAACGCTCCACCCCCCCTGGCAGAGAGATCCGCTCCTGGTTCGAGAAAGTACATGTCAAGACGTATCTTGATTCTGCTGGCCATTCAGAAAAAGGGCGGTGAAAATGATGGCACTGCAAGAGTCTAGTCTGGTCCAAGATGGCCTAAGTTGGGCCAAAAGGTCGACGGTTGTCAGCGTGAGGCGGGACGAAGCATGTGGATTGAGCTTGGTTGGGGCGGACCAGACGTAATAATTATCAGTCGACACCTTTCTTCCCTCGTGCTCTAAACAAAAACGCCCCTCCACCCGTCTGTTGTCTTCACATCTCCTGACTGTTTTCACTTCCCCTTCTCCCAAGCTCTTCCTGCTCTCCTTTACAACATGGCTTCGCGTCCCCAGAACATTGGCATTAAAGCCATTGAGATTTACTTCCCCAGCCAGGTATGTAGTCAGGCCCTGCATCGCATCAGCCTCTCCTCCGTGCCCCTCGCCCAAAAAAAAGTCGAGACATGCAACAATCCACCCAAATTGCTGCCCCTCCCGCCGCCGACATCGCTAACTCGCGTTTTCTTCGTTTTGCACCCTTGCAGTATGTCGAGCAGAGCGAACTCGAAAAATTCGATGGCGTCAGTGCCGGAAAATACACCATTGGCCTCGGCCAGACCAAGATGAGCTTTTGCGATGACCGCGAGGGTGAGTTGGACTCTCTCCGCCTGACCGACCCGTCTACCCCTTTTGGATTCTTCATGAGGATCTGCATGTGAAGGGGACAAGCCGATGCAGGAAAAGGCTGCCTCCGTACCTTGATCTGTCTGCGAAACGCTTCATGAGCTTACACCTGCCGCTGCTAGACATTTATTCTCTTGCCCTTACCGTTACCTCGAACCTGCTCAAGAAGTACAACATCGACCCCAACTCTATTGGTCGCTTGGAGGTTGGCACCGAGACCATTTTGGACAAGTCCAAGTCGGTCAAGTCTGTTTTGATGCAGCTATTCGGTGACAATGCCAACCTCGAAGGCGTCGACACCGTCAATGCTTGCTACGGCGGCACCAACGCCCTGTTCAACAGCGTCAACTGGGTAGAATCCTCCGCCTGGGACGGCCGTGATGCCATTGTCGTTGCTGGCGATATTGCTCTGTACGCCAAGGGCAATGCTCGCCCTACGGGCGGTGCCGGTGCCGTGGCTATGCTGATCGGCCCTGATGCCCCTGTCGTTATGGAGCCCGGCCTGCGAGGCACCTACATGCAGCACGCCTATGACTTTTACAAGCCCGACTTGACCAGCGAGTACCCCTACGTCGATGGGCACTACTCCATTAACTGCTACACAAAGGCCCTGGATGCTGCCTACCGTGATTACTGCAAGCGCGAGTCCAAGCTTGCCAATGGCAATGCCAACGGTACCGATGCTAGCAAGACTCCCCTCGACCGCTTCGACTACCTTGCCTTCCACGCCCCTACTTGCAAGCTCGTGCAAAAATCGTACGCCCGACTGCTGTACCATGATTACCTCGCCAACGCTGATGCTCCCGCCTTCGCTGAGGTGGCTCCCGAGTTGCGTGACATGGATTATGAGAAGTCTCTGACTGACAAGGTTGTTGAGAAGACCTTCATGACCTTGACCAAGAAAAAGTTCCAGGAGCGTGTCCAGCCCGCTACCCAGGTTGCTACTATGTGTGGTAACATGTACTGTGCTAGCGTCTGGGGTGGTGTTGCTAGCTTGCTGTCCTTTATTGACCCCAAGGCCCTGGAGGGCAAGCGAATTGGTGTCTTCTCATATGGATCTGGTCTGGCCTCGAGCTTCATGTCCTTCCGTGTTAACGGCAATGTTGAGGCCATTGCCAAGAATCTGAACATTCCCTCTCGTCTGGAGGCCCGCCGTGCCGTCCCTCCTGAGACTTTCGATGCCGTAAGTCTGCCTTTTTATCTCTGGCCCTTGTGCTGTCCAGCCGGCTGACCATTTTGTGTATTTAGATGTGCGAGCTCCGTCATCAGGCCCATCTGAAGAAAGATTACACCCCCAAGGGCGAACCCTCGACCATCATCCCTGGCACTTACTACCTGGAGAAGGTTGACGATATGTTCAAGCGCGAGTACAAGGTCCAGGCATAAACGCGGCCGCCAAAAACTAAGTAGACCAGCCATGTTGCTTGAATTTTGCTTTGCATGACACAATGTGATCAGTGGAACCTTGCATATCTGGGTATCTGGGATCGACATATATGGACACCAAAGAGGAGGCTGACCAACATGACTTATCATTACGAGGGTAGACGTATTCGGGACTTGGGCATGTCACTGGGCACATAGAAGCAGAGCACACAGAAAGGGTGCATATCATGGGAATAGCCCTCTAATTGAGCCACTGAGGAAATGATGATGGAAGGGGACCTCGTGGCTTGTGTAAATATCGTATTTGGGCTCCAAGAAGGAAAGTTTAGTGTAGCGTCTTATAGAGCGAGGGACGTCACGACTTTAGAAAGAAATACTAAAGTACCAATACATGAAAAGAAAACATGTGCACATGTGCGACGGTTTCTAACGATTGGAATATCTATGGTATCTACTATTAATATTGTACAATACAAGAAACCCGCAACGACCACGGACAATTCACCGTATAGTACAGGGCTTCATAATCTTTCCCAGCACAGGTAGAAGTATGCTGAATACCTTTAGTTGTCGCCCTTGTACTTCCACTCGGCCCGGCGATGCAAGTGGTAGTCCTTGCTTTTTATAGCCTGCCAGATGCCATACAGCCCTCCCACAGGCCACCTGCTCTTGAGCAACTGCTTCGTACGCTTGCGCTCCTCCCGCGCGGCATCAACGTCGATCTTGACCTTGTCGTGGACAGTGGGCAGCGTCGTGGCGTGGTACTTGTCCCGCAGGGACTGGTACCAGCCCCGGTTCTTGTCGTAGACCTTCCAGAACTCGTCCTGGTCGTAGTATGTATGTGCGTACAGCCACTTGCGCCCGCCCAGCTGGACGAGCTTGTCTTCCAGGGCGCGGTTCTTGGTGACAAACTCGTCGTGGTCGGCGGGGCCCCATCCCCACAGGCCAATGTTGAGAATATCCTTTGGAGCTGTCGATCCGTCGGCGGCGGTTTCCGTCTCGCCTGTGTACGGGTGGAAAGTCGGGGGGAGAGTCTGCCTGAGCGGGCACAGCCAGAGGGGCCAGATGCCGAAGGCGTCGGTGGTGTAGTTGACGAATTCGTCGGCCTTGTCGTACGGCAGGGCGAGGTCCTGGACGACGAAGCGGGCCGATTCTCCGGAGGCGTGCAGCGCGCGGTACAGCATGCGCGTGTGCATGAAGTCGTCGAGGAGCCAGCGCGTCCAGCGGTTGAAGGGCACGTATTTGAAGTATGTCCACCCTTGGGCGCCGACCCAGAAGCCTGCGCGGTCGTAGCGGAACAGGTATTCTGCCAGGGGGATGTAGTCTACGACGGAAGGGGGAGCAGACGAGGCGGTGGATTTAGTGCGGTCTTTGACGTGCAGGTAGAACCAGGGGTCGCGGGCACGGCTGAAGGTTTGTACTCTGGCATCGGCCGGTTTCTCGTCCGTCATGGTGCCCGTGATGATGACGCCGTGGTCCTTGGAGAACAGGATGCCGTCCACGTAGTCGTTGTCGGGGTTCTGCGTTTCTGCGCGCACCTTTTCCACGGCCTCTGCCACGCTGGCGGTGCGGTGGTATGTCGTCCGCACGTACTTCTTGGCCTCGATGAGCTTCAGCTCCATGAGCGTGGTGATGCCCAGCGTCCCCACGGATCCCGCCGCGCCCTGGAACAAGTCTGGCTTTTCCTCGTTGGAAGCCCTCACGACGTCGCCATTGCCCAGGACCATTTCCACGTAGTTGATGGTCTCGTTGAAGAAGCCGTGCTTGAAGGAGCTGCTCTCCCCGGCTGTCCCGGCGTAGCCACCACCGGCGGTTATGCCGGGGAACTCCATGACCACGGGGGGCACCAGGCCGTGACGCAGGGTCGACTCGACGAGTCTGTCCATGGGGACATTGGGCTCTACCAGCGCCGTGCGGGAGCTGCGGTCGACGCCGACAACGTTGGACAGGGCGCTGATGTCGACGATTCGCGCGCCGGGACGGGGACGGGGCCTGGTGCTGTTTGTCGAGCCGTGGAAGATGCGGTAGGACTCCTTCTTGTCGAAGAAGCCGCGCACGGCGGTGGCGATTTTGGCCACGGCTTGCTTGTGGCGCTCCATGGTCGGCGCGTGGGAGCGGCTCGGGGCGGGCGTGCAACCTGGGAAATTTTGGAGTTGCGAGCTGGAGGTCGAGCTGATGAAGCTTGGCGATGTCCTGCCTGTTGGCACGTGGGCCGAGTTGCGATTGCGGATCTCGAAGCTCCGAGCTGCTTTGGACCGGGTTCAGACAACGACATGGGGTTAGTCAAGCAGATCAGTCAAGATGCGCACTGGGCTTACCTACAGCTGTTCATTCATCAACTTATTTCCGAATCCAATGGCTCCTTGGTGTAATCAATTGCCATCATTGGAGTAGCATCGCCTCTCGCGAATTGTGCCCGGACACATAACCTACAACAAACCGCAGCGGTACGTATCTCAGAAGCATTGATGTTCGAACCACGGTCCAGATATTTGATTTGTTTCAACTATTTGCTACAGAAGTTCACAAGATCGATTACCCAGTCAAGATTCGCTGAAAACGAGGCGGAGCGCAAGGGATGCTGGATATCATGGAGGGGATGTTTGTCATTATTGTTAACTCCCCGCCAGCTTGTTATGTCTATGAGTTATGTTGTGGTCTTGATGCATTCTTTAAACACATTTATTCAGAGGCAGGGGCACCTGGAAAGTGTGTGCATCTTTATTCAAATGCACTTTATCGCGACTTGACAAATTGCCAATTCACTTCATAAAAGACACTTGTGTTTCTTCAAATCCCCCCTTTCCCTTCCATTGAGTCAAAGCCTGTACGAATCAAAACTTGACATGGATCACTAACACGCTACAAAACGCTTCTAGGCCTCTACATATTTCCGTCTCATATAGCTTTCTGAGCAGGTACAAATCCATGGCCTACAGCTTGGACTCTGAGGGTATCCAAGCCTGCGTCTCGGCCACTTTATCCACGACCCGTTTCCTGACCTCCCCCTCTGAAACATCGAACAAGTCGCCAAAGTCGAGGGGAGTCTCCCTCAACGTCTTGGCATGAATGGTCATGGCGCTGGATCTCAAGCCGGCCGGATTCTCTACGGCCTGTCGAATGAAGCCTGCCCAGCCGTCCAGACACCTCCGCGACTCGGCAAGGCTGCCCAGCACGAGCGCAAAGCAGTGCGCCATGGCTTCGTACTCCTCAAACACCATGGTCACGCCGTCGCGCTCGAGTTTCTGCGCCAGGAACTTGTTCTCGTACGCGAGTCTTTCCCACCCTGTACAGAAGTAGACGGGGGGAAACCCCGCCCAGTCTCGTCGCATGACGGGCGACACCAATGGGTGCGTCATGATGTCGTCGGCTGCGTACATGAATTTCCGCGGGGATTGGGCGGGCCAGATGTCGCAGGGGGTCAGGCCTTTCCGCCCCATGTCGTCCAGGGGGCCGAGATAGTCAAAGGCTCCTGGAATCGTTCCATAGTACGGCCTGGAGCTGTGGGAGATGTCAAGCCAAGGGGAGTTGCAGGCCGTTGCGGCGGGGATGGGAATGTCCCGCGGTTCGCCGTGCCATGTGATGCGTTGTCCAAGGCGATTTAGCTCGACAATGACTTGAATCAAGGCCATGGTCAAGTTTCCGCCGGCGCTGCGAGACGGAGAGCATCAGTTATCCCGGAGGCATGCAGGCTGGGGAGGGACTCTGGTCGGGGGACGTACCTGTCTCCTGAAATAACAATGTGCTCTGGTTTCACCGGGTCGTGGAACGCCCCCGGCGGCGGATAGAGGAGCATGAGATATGCAATCAGGCAATCCAGAAGAGATGTCGGGAAAGGACTCTGCGGCACCAATCTGTACCGTACGGAAAAGGCCCGGCCACCCGTAATCTTGGCCAGCTTCTTCACTGTCGGCCGATGACTAGCAGGGTCCAGGAACGCATGCCCCCCGCCGTGGAGGTACAAGATGGTCGTTGGCTTCTTCACCTCCTTCATCATCTCAACGTACTTTTCTCTGTCTGAGATGCTTGGGGCCGGCTCATCTTGTTTGGCGCCGGCTCGATAGCCCGTCCACTCACCAGACACGGGAGCTACATGGGGCAAATAAGTCTTGGGGACTGGGACATCCGGATTGTTCAGGGACTCGATCACCTTGCCGACTGCTTCCGTGATGGATTCCGGCTCCGGAGGTATGGGGACCGTGTAGTTGCTGACCCATATTCTTCCTTTGATGGGCAACTTGGTCACGGTACGCCTTTGGGTCTGGGAAAAGGGACGCGGGTTTCCTTCCTTGGGCGCAATGAAGGCGCGGAGAAAGGCAACGGTTACGGCGCTTCGCAGGTCCTGGTACGGTGAGCTATCTGCGAGGTTGAGCGAGTGAGAGAGTGACACTCGGGCAATGAGTGGCGTGTAAGAGAGGCCGAGCCAGAACAATGCAGAGGCCCCCGGTCTTTTGGGTGTTTGTGGACGCGGCTGCTCGAGTGCCGTTGATGAATCTGACATGATGCCGGCTGTGGTGTTCTGAGACGTCAACGTTCGTCGAGTAGAAAAGGAGCGATGAGAAGCCAGGCCGAGGCAAGATGGAGGGGGGTATTGGGCAATGCAATGGGTGAGAGGCTATGACGAGGAGGCGGATCTAACTAGTAACTGCCATCCTTGCCCACCAGAAACAAGACGAAAGACATGCACCAAGAGGAGCAAGCCAGAAAGGACTTCCGGCTACGGGGGGCTTCAGAAACGGCGAATGCGGTTGGTTGCAGTATATAAAGATGCCTCGAGTCCTCGAGTCATCGAGTGACCATGTTCATGTTGCGACTCGAGGCCGACAAATGTGGGGGAGTGACCAGTGGCAGTCACCACTGGGCCGCGGGGAGTCGGGGAGTTGGGGAGTCGGGGACGGCTCTGGGAAACGGGCCGAACCCCGGACTCCTCCTCGTGAGTTCGGCGTTCGAACGGTGCCGAGGCAGAGCGGCACAGTCTGCTTGTTGCCGCACGAGTACATACTACAAAGAACCGCAATTCATCGCTTCCCCATAAATTTATTGCTCCGCGTCTACTTGCGTCGACAAACGAGTCCACTTGCTTACTTGAGAGCTGCAGGCATCTATGGAGCATGTATGTACGGAGCCTGCAGAGAAGTGCTGCTTGGTTTGTTGCTCAGAACTCTGATATGGCTGCGCATCCAATTCTTGAGTTGTATCCATTGTAATGTCACAGTGCTACTAGTACATTGCAGTATTGATTTCAAGGAGCTACAAAGTTGTCACTCCACGTCCATACTTTAGGTGTATGACATGTCGCGCATGCCAGGCTCATGTTGCGGGCATGAAGCTCTTCAACCCTTGCCCATTACTCATTGTCATGCGTCCTATTAAACTCGCCACGATCTCCGCCTATACCAGTTCAAGAACTGGTGCCAGACTCCTTGCCGCTGCCTTCAGTAGTTGCGCTCGAGGCAGACTGGGCTGCAGCCATCTGCCAAGCGGGGATTGACGCCTTGGTTGAACTGCCGCTGCCACTGGTAAGCCCCGGCGGCCGGCTGAAACTTTGCGCGGGATTCTTGGGAGCTTCGGTGGTGGTGGCAGCCGCTGCTGCAGGTGTTGACGTGCTGGAGCTTTCGGGGACACTCTCCACGGTTGCCGACGCAGGAGTCGTGGCCGTGGAGGTAGACGATCGACCAGCTGGAAGTGTACTGCCGGATGAGCGCGGGAATGAACTGCTGGTGGTGCTGGTGCCGGTGCCGGTGGCAGGCGAGGCACTCGGTGCCATTCTCTGGGAAACGAGCGTTTTGAGGCTGGTGAGCTCAGTATTGATCTCGGACAATCGATTGTCGGCGAGAGTCTTTTGATTTTCCATAGCCTTGGGAATGGCGTCCTTCAACGACTGGACGTCCTCGCGAATGCGCTGCGCATCATCCTCCCGACGCCGGTTGGCAGACTTGAGGTCCGACATGACGGTCTCAAGCTCAGATATTGCATTGTCCAACTTCTCGGTTCTCTGCTTCTCAGCATCTTTGAGAGCCTCGGTATCCCTAGCCAACTGTTCAACCAAGGCAAAAGCCTTGTCAAACTGTTCTTCTATTGACTTCTTGTCCTGCTCCAGTCTTTCGGGGGTGGGGGGTGCGATAAGAGGATAGACGTATCGCTATTTCCACTATGCTTAGCCATATATACCAACATAGAACACTGTCCGAGGAATCTCACCTTGCTCAGAGAGTACAGGCCGTAGCCTACCCCGCTGACAACAGTGGCCATGATAAACCAGTCCCGCCAATCTCTCCGCGGCGCGGGGGGAGGTGGTTGCCATGCCTGCTGTGCATAAGGAGGATAGTACTGTTGGGGAGGGCCGGCCGGTGAGCCATATTGTACGGCGCCAGCTGGGGCTGGACTGCCTGTGCGAGCGAGGGCAGTGTTAATTTCCTCTTGGGTGAGATTCTTGGATCGGAGAAACTGGATTTTGTTCTCGACAGTAGAGGACGCAACGCTCGGGTCCTGCAGAACTGCACATAGTGTTAATGCCTTCGAATGGGATTACGGAAGCAGGCTTTGCTTCGGCGAATTAACTTACATTGAGCCTGCGACGGATCTTTAGTCAGTAAACGGCTGGCATTGGGTCGATGGTGAGCATGGATCCGAATGATGAACTTACCGCAGAGGCCACCAAGTCCTCGCGAATTGCCATTGTGGTTACTATATATTACACTTGCTCCAGCTGCATCGCCAAGCTGAGGCGGAAGAGGGCGAAGTGAAGCGACGGATCGGCAGAATGGAAGAGAAAAGACGATGCGGAGCGAAGGAGAGATGAGTTTGGAGTCGTCGACATGTGCCGTGGGCAGGTTTAGCTTGGCTGCGTGCAGCATCAGTGGATCTCTGGGGACAGGAATTAACCCATGAAATGAATGCGATGACTCGAAGCAGCCGAGGCTGCTTTGAACCACCATTGCTGTCTCTCCGTTTAATTGGAGAAAATGGGGCCCACCTCTTTTTCAGTGCCTAGGCATTTGTAGAGCAACGTTAGGAGGCGAGGGAAGTGTCAAGGCCGAGGACGGGTCACGTGCCTTCGTGTCTAGAAGCCCCACTGGTGGCTCAAGTGGGGTCGTGTCCAATCACTGTTCAACAGGCGACGGTTTGTTTACTTTCCCTCGGAGCAACAGACTTGGCGACCCGCACCGCCATTGTCGGTTGTATCGAAGCATCGTCGCATTTCCTTCCCTTAACTTTTCAGACATCACAACTTGAATTCAGCACTCTCGTATCTACGGCTCAAGGCACTGGAGCCTGTCTCAAAGTTTCCCACGAAGCATCCCGTTGCGCCTCTATATCATGTCCCAGGACACGGGTTTGTGGAGTGTCCGCAGGCCAAGAGAGGTAGGTTGACACAAAGTATAGCATATCGCCCCGTTGCATTGGAAATGAGACTTGTCGCATCAAGATGCCACATGTACTGACCTGCGGCGTAGACACTTGGAGGCATAGGGACGAACACCGGGCTTCCACCCCCAGGCTCAACAATGAAACGGACCAACTCGAACAACAATGGCCATGTACGATCGGTATCGGGATCTAGGCAATCCCTCGCCATGTCGAGACCAAGCCAGCCCATGTTCCAACGCACATCTTCAGGTACAAATCTTGCGGATATTGGCCCGTCATCAGTCAAACGATCATCATTCCAGCCTAAAAATGTCCTTCAGACTCCAGGAATGACGAGACAATTTTCTGATGCAGAGAGGCGAAGCAGCATCTACAGGCCAAGGCAGTCGACGGTGGGGGGCGTGAACAATCACCAAGGCTTCTTTCAGACAACGCTGCAGCCTGCCGGTGTGCCAAAGGACCCTCGCCCTCTGAAGGATAGATCTTTCCAAATGAGGATGGGTCAAGAGTTGATGGAGTACATGGCACAGAACGATTTCGAAATGCAAATGAGCCATACCTTGTCGCCAAATGTCATGAAGTCTCCAACCCAAAAGGACTTCAATTACATGTTTCAGTGGCTGTACCATCGCATTGACCCCGGCCATAGGTTTTTGAAAAACATTGACCAGGAAGTCCCGCCCATCTTGAAGCAGCTTAGGTATCCATTCGAGAGGAGCATTACCAAAAGCCAGCTAGCTGCCGTTGGTGGCCAAAATTGGAGCACTTTTTTGGGTCTCTTGTATTGGATGATGCAGCTGGTGCAAATGTTGGAGGGCTATGCTGCCAACAAGTACGCTGATGCCTGCCTGGAGGCTGGTGTGGATGTTAGCGACGACCACATTATTTTTGACTTTTTGAGCACGGCGTACAAGGACTGGCTCGCCATGGACGACGATACGGGCGATGACGATGCCGAACGGATTCTTGCACCACACATCGACGCCATGGCCAGAGCTTTCGAGGATTCAAACGCCAAGTATGTTTCGGAGCTTGAAATGCTCGAGGCCGAGAACGCAAGACTGCACAAGGAAATTGAAGACCTGGAAAAAGCAACACCTGACCCAGCCGTACTAGATGATCATTTCAAAATCATGGAGGAGGACAAGACTAAATTTGAAGAATACAACAACTTGGCTCTACAGCGATCTGAGAAGTACGAGCATCGCATTCAGGTTCTACATGAAGAACTGGACAAGGTAGTAGACGAATTGAAAGAAGTGGAAGATGAACGAAGAAGCCTTCAAAGGGCGGTTGATGCACAGGGTATTAGCATGCAGGATATTGACCGCATGAACTCTGAGCGCGAGCGCCTGCAGAAGGGCATTGAAACTGCTAGCCAGAGGCTTGATGAGATCAAGAAGAAGGTTGCAGAGAAGGAGTCAGAAGCTGGCCAAAAACTCGAAGAACTTGAGCGCACGGTAGACAAGTACAATACTCTTGCTTATCAAATTGCCGTGATCCCGGCCACAGCGGCCAATGCCCGGGGTCGAGATTATGAACTGCAACTCACCATCAACGACAGCTCGGATTTTACGTCGACCAACCTCAACGCGTCTCGTAATATGGCGCCATCAGCTGAACGTTTATTAGCCGATGCAACAACAGGATACCAAGCCGGCCACATTCTTAACCTCGATCTTCGAGGACAAATTCGAAGCAACTTCCTGATGCTACGGAAGGAAATCTCTGATAGACGAAGTGCGGCCATGGAAGACATGATGAAAGATCATGACTTGCTGGACGGTATCAAGGAGGCCATTGAGGACAAGCGCAACGAAGTCGAAGCGCTGCAACACCGTGTACGAGCGGCTGGGGAAGAATACGAAAAGACGAGAGAGGTGACTACGGCCCAGAAATTGAGTTCGGATGCACAGATTGAGAAGATGGAGAAGGAGTTGTCCAGGATGCGAGCTGGATTGTCAGAATCTGTCCAACTCCTGGAACAACGCGAAATCAACACAACTATTGAGTACGCCCCCCGACCTGCACGGGCACAAGAACTTTTGGACATGAGGAGAAACTAACAGGATTGGCTTTTAGATACGAGCAGCTTGTCTTGAGGGCAAGCTCTTTGCGCGAGGAGCTGCACACAGAAATTGATCGCATGCTAAATGACGTAATCAAGTTCAAAATACATGTCCAGAAAAACTTGGATGACTATGAGGGTTTTGTGGCAGATGAACTAGAGAAGGAACTCGGGGTCGATGATCACAAGGATGACACCCGAGGCATGGATCTGTGATGAAAAGACGTAGATGGCCACTGATACGAATTTGACGAAAAGAGGAGGTAATTTTATGGATACTGCGGGCATGCATTTGAAGGTATTTCTGGGCTTGGCTTTTGAGAGGGCGTTGGGTTGGCTGGCATTCAAGGCGCGGGTGAAATAGATACCACTTGATTCAGTTAGACACAGTTCACAATTGATAAAGCGCAATTCTAGTTGATGTGCTCAAACTCGCCATACTGTAGGCCAGATGCTGTGCTCTCAATGCTTACTAGTCGACTGGGAGCTTGGTGTCAGTCTGCTTATGATGAAAAGATGACATTGCAGACATTTACTTGTCTTGGGCAAGACGCAAGCATAAGTCGCCTCCACGTTTTACATGTACCCGAGTTTGAACCTTGGAAATAGATTCAACATTACTGCCTGGCCACGACTCGGCCGAGTTGATATAACCCGATATCCCCGGGTTTTGATTCTCCACAATATCTACTCGCCGCGTGTTGTCGACTAGGAAACAGATTGTGCTTGAAAAGAAAAGGAAAAAGAAGAAAAGGGTAGAAAATGACTCGCTGACAGCATATATCATCTTTCAAACCACATTAGTACATGGCGGGCCGTTTAAATATACTCCCTTCTGCGACACAGTCCATCCGAGTGGCGTTTCATGTGTGGTATCAACTGACTCAAACGGATTGAGGATGGAGCGATCCGGCGCGTCTATCCGTGGGCTATTGAAGGAGCTGAGCTTGTTTCTTTTTAAAGCGCAGTCTTGAGGGCTGTGGCAGGTTTCAGCAGACGGGGGATATGTTTCGGCTTGGCGGATGCGGCTCCAAGGTCCATCAGATGATTCAGAACTTGTGTTTGCTTGCCAAGCGCAGGGCTCCGTCCGGCGATGGCAAGCTAATACCATCCTATGGGTCTGTCACTTTCAGACGGGCATGTAGGCTTCAAAAATAGACTGTAACCATCGTGCGCCGTTTATGACGAGGTTCCACGGCAATGGTCTTCCGGATGTCTACAAGATGCATGTATTTTCGTTCTGTATGTATCACGACGCTATGCTTACAGTATCTTGCCGGCTCCCTGTTGCCCTGAGGTACAAAGATGACATTGCGTGCGCCGCTGGGATGTCGAGTCTCGAATCGAGGACGGGTATTCGGGGCCTAGCGGAGCTGCATTGTATGAAGAAGCCAAGGCCGAGTCAGGTCCAGAAGAAACTGCATAATCGGTGGCAGGCTCACTGGTCAAGTGCGAACGCCTCCTTTGTTCAATCTAGTGCTGCGACGTGTATTGATAGATAGATCGACGTTGATGCGCGGCGGCTCATCCCCCCTGAGGATCAAAAATTTCCGGGTTCGTCTAGGTTCCTGCAACTAGAAGTTGAGTATGGTAGGATATGAGAGTCTCCTCACCTCAAGCGTTCCGACTCAGACCTGTCAGTTTGCTCGAACCACGCGATTCATCGGCATATATGAGGCGGAGCCCATCATGATACCAAACTTGTCACGGTGCCAACGACCCAAAACACCCTAGCACGAGGCGGCGAGATGCCTGTCAAGAATTCCTGCTGGGCTAGGTGTCCTACATGGAATCAGTATTATCCAAAGTTTCCATCCGGCGTCAATCAATACAAAAAGCCCTCAATATCCCGCCACGTCTATCAGACTATCCAACTCAACATCCCTTTTCTCTCCAACTTTAGACATCAGCCAAGTATAGCCGGTCTATACCATACGACAAGCAATACCTCTTATACAGCAAGCAATTTCTATATTCAAAAACCCCCAAACACCCTCAACATCTTTGAAAATGGTTCGCATCCACAACTTGGCTCTTATTGCTCGTAGGTTTTTCACCTGATCCCGCGGTATCCCGCACACTCTCAACAGCCTTCTAACTCTCTCCCCTATCAGTGAGCGCGTCTGCCCTGGCGGCAACTACTCACAATGAGCGCCGCACAGCCGACGACGTCAGCGAGTTCGACCTTGCCAGCCGATCCGCGCCCTTGATGCACTTTGCCAAGCGCCAGGACCAGAGGGTACAGGACGCCTTTAAAGAAATGAAGGCGGCGGCCAAGGCGGCCAAGGCTGCCATCCCCGAGGCCGAAAAGACCAAGGTGGACGAAGCCAAGAAGAACCTGAAGGCCGCCAAGGAGGCGGCCCAGGCTAAGATTCCCGAGGAGGAAAAGAGCAAGGTAGAGGAGGCCAAGAAGGGCGTGCAGGCTGCCAAGGATGCTGCCGATGCCGCTATTCCCGCGGATCTCAAGAAGGAGCTGGACGATAAGAAGAAGGCCTTCAAAGACGCCAAGGGCCAGGAGGCTTCTCAGGGAGCCCCTGCACCGCCTGCTCCTACCGAGGCTTCTCAGGGAGCCCCTGCGCCGGCTGCTTCTACCGAGGCCCCAAAGTTGTAAAGCTGCTTTGGAGAAGATTGAACTCGTGGAGGGGAGCGAAAGCCCTCCCGTGAAGGGGTGGAAGATGCCCTTTCATGGTCTGTCATCTGCGAACCGTGGGGTACAAGTGCAACTTGGATTGGTCTTTTTTTGGGAAACCTGAAGGACGTCTCTTTGAGTTGGCAGATGGATGAGTGTAAAGGCTGAAGACGGCCGTGAGGAAGTTGATGATGGGTGTAGTATAGCCGAGTTTCGGGCTCGATTTGACATTGATGTTTAATGGAGTGACAACTAAAAAGCGTGTTAGCGACTGGCACATCTTGACGGCACTTGATGAATACAAAGGAACGAAAAAAATCAAGAAACTTTCAAAACTTTCAAAAAAAAATTAAAACTAAAATTAAACCTATTAATATTAATTCCAAGTTAATAAATAATTTACAACAAAATCTCTCGCAGTAAGCCTCCTTTCCCGGCTTCTCTCTTTCGTTCCAAGCACGTCAAGTTGTCGAGTTGAATAGTTGCCAAAATTACCCTCCATTCAACAAGCGCTCTCTTCTGTACATGGGAGATTAATTAGTGTATTTCTCTTTCATCTGTCGCTGTCCCTCACGCTAGATTATCCCATGAAGCGAAAGGCCATCATCCTTCACTTGAACCTTCAGGGTGTGGTATCCTGCGTCCCATGACTACACATGTGTAATTGGTGACGGTCACCATGTTTACGACTCCCAATAGGTAGACCAAACTGTTTATACGCGTGTGTTGGTAAATATCAATGATATATTATAATTGTGCAGTGAAGCTATCATGTCAGAGCCCCGTGAGACATTACGAGAACTCACTGTACCCAGACACAGGTCACCCGGTAAACGGGAGGAACAAAAAGGGAAAACGGCCTCCTTTTTCCCTTCTTCCTAGGACACCCGTTATTTAGCTCCTTTGCGCCAGTGCTGAGAAGGGCCCCCAATTGTAGGCTGCTCCATGGTTCTGGCTCAGAAGCAAACTAAGCGAGCTTTCAGCTTTCTGAATCGTTGAACACAACGGGCCACTGGCCGTTCTTTTGATGCCCTCTATCATTTCGCCGATTGCTGTGAGATATGTGTTGGTGCATAGATGGACCAGGTCATCTGCAAAAGAAGCGTTTCTGTGGTCTATAATTTTGAACTCATGTCTTTGAAGCGAACAAGGCAAGGTTTGAATCCAACTGTCGCGTGGGAATGTAAGAATCAAGGTCAACCGAGAAAAACATGGAAATTCGCAAGTACCTGTAATCTCTCCCCGCAAGCTTGAAGAGCTCCTTCATCTGCTGATCAAATTCTTCCACCTGTTTCGTCCTAATTCCGTGGTTACACAGATCTACGTCCTCCCATTGGATGTAGCCTCCAGGTTCTAATCCCATTTCAACCTGTTAGCGACTCTGAGGTCCTCAATTATAGAGTATTGGGCTTCTATACTTAGCATCTTGGAGAGGTTGCAGATGAAAGAACCCACCTCCTTTGAAGACAGGTTGTTCGCCCACATTCGGAGGTGAACGACGTCGTATCGGCCTTGCAATTCAGTGGGAACGTCTCCCAAGGAGTCTAGTTGCTTGAGCGAGACATTCTGGGGCAGCATCTGTGAAGGAGGAAACTGCTTGTCGGATATATCATATCCATGAAGAGTGACTGAGCTGGGAACCTCTCGTGCAAGATCCAGAAGCCAAAGCCTACGCCTATATGTCAGTGTGGTGCTCGACTCAAACTCTGTATATGGTTATGGAGAATATCCCACCCTGTTCCGGTCCCAATGTCTGCAACACTCATTCTGTCTGTAAGCTTTATGTGTGGGTGGAGCAAGTAGCCCTGATGCAGTCTCCAAAGGAAGTGCTGTGCATCTAATCTTTGCTCATCAACGAATTTAGCGTCATTCAAGTTGATGGGTGTTCCAAGATATGGCAATTACCTCACGGAGTGGGCAACATCCCTGCCGAGAATATAACCGTCGATGGCTTCGCTCGGCATTTTTTACAGCAGTTGTGCGTGTAGAATGGGCTTGTTGATAAAACAAATATATTCGTATGATAATATAAATGTCCCAGAAATAATGTTGAATTGCAGTGGCTTGCAAGACGGGACGGGCAGAGTTGTAGGCGCTCGGCAGATTATTTATAATTCCAGTTCTCTATTTCGGGCTTGCCGGCAAGGATGGCGTGAAGAGCAATTGCCAATGCAATTGACAGCCGAGGATACGAGATTGCTATCCCGAGACTGTTGTTGTCGAGCCCGGCCCCGAATCATCCTAATCCTTAACTAGCTGAGTCGCTCCCACTGGTCTCCCCATTAGGCAGCATGCATAGAGCCCCAAAGGTCGAAGGATCTCCGGCACTAAGACCAATGATGTAGTACGTGGCTTGCCATTGCTATTCTTGTAGCGTGCCTCATAGTCGTGGGTTTTATGTGGCTTTGCCCGTCTGAACCGTGTTTGTGGACGTAGTCGCCGACTTCCACCATAGTTGCAGTACCCATCACACTCATCAAACCAGCTGATCAACATAATTGACAACCGCCGACGGGATTCCTTCTTCTCAGAAGGAACGCCTTTTGTGTTGGTGTGTTACACTACACTTCGGACGCAAAAGTAGAATGATTCACAGGGGGGTGGCAAAGAGTGTTGAACCAGGCCATGTGCCCAGCTATCGCGCCTTGTACTATAACAAACTATAATACATTAGCAAATACTTCTTGGTGGGCAAATATCAGTTGCCACTGACTGTGTACATGACTTGATGAAAGCTCAGCTAGCAAGCCACTCGCACAGCGACTCATCTATGATGTTGCCGGTATGTAGCATGTCTCAGTAAGCCATCGGTCTGATTGGTAGCAAGTTTAGTGATGTATCAGAAACTACCCTCCATACCCGGGCGACTTTGTAATCGGAGAGGAAGTGTACGCCGTTTATGTCGACATTGTCGTGGCCCAAGTCCAGATCCTCTCCTTCCTTCATGCTGTCTTACACAAGGTCACCCTGAAGGCGCTCAAACATGCGAGTCTCGTTCAAGCTTGAGCCAACGGGAACGAGAATTAGCATCTTGTCACCGTGCACAGGAATAGTTCCTTCTTTCGCTTGCTTCACGCTCACGGGGCGACAAGTACGTTTGTGGCGCGAAGGTATCGTTCACGTCGAATAACTACCCGGGGTGCTGTATGATATAGGGATAGCTCTAAGCTGCTCATATGTCAAGCAAGGACATTTCCTAGCGATGGTAGGGGCAATCATCCAGGCATTTGAGGCATATCCTCGCGCAGGTGGGCAGAACAATGAATGCCTCCAAAGTCAAAGCGAGAAGCACATCAATCATACTTGGAGACTTGACGGATTCATATAGCGGGATGAAGACTGAGGGAGCTGGTCTTTCCTAGAGCGGCTAATAGTGTCGGCGCATGCTCCATGAGTCACGAGCTATGTCCAATGTCCATCAGATGTATTGGAATAGCCTCGATACGCGTGAGCAGGCGCGACCCGTCTTCATGCCGGTATTACATAAGCGCACCGAAGCAGTCGGCGGCCCTGGGCATGTATTGTTGTCAACTCAATCTTGTCAACGCCACCTTGTTCAGTAGGAATACTAACCGAATTCTTGCCAGAGACGGCTTCGCCTCAGCATTAACCCACGGCCAATCGACCGGCCCAGTCCCTGATCAACAGGAACAAAGCCCAGAGCGCCCTCCCATCAGCAGCGACGCTGCTCTCACTGATGGAATCAACATCACCAAGCCCGGCAGCTATAAGAATAAATCGTCCTGCAGCCCACCGCGAGGTTGCGCCGGCTAGTGCAAGGATACAAGCTGTATAATATTTACAATCCAACAGAATTCTCAGAGCCTCGATATTATTCGCTACGACTGCCCAGCCCAAGGGCCTAGCTGCAGCAGGGATGTCATACTTCCATATAACCATGAGAATTGGGAATAGCTTCGTGTAGGAAGATAAGAGCAATGCTGTCGAGACCGAATTTGGACGTGCGTATCGCGGCATGATACCCAGTATATCAAAGGGCGAATACGACGAGCAGGTGAGAAATCGAATAATAAGATGGAATGCCAGTGTTGATAATGTGCAGAGAACTAAGAAGAAGAGGTATTGTACCGCAATGGGCTGCTGGGCCAGGTTGCCTAGGTTGCCTCCGCCAGGGAACATGGCTGGACCGGCCCGTTTCTCGATGCGCTCCCACGTCAGATAGACATCAAACAGCAGCAGCAGGATGCCCAGTCGGATGATGGAAGGCTGCTCCGAGTGAAAGGCGGGCGCGTTGGTTAGCACGTGTTCAGTATCAGCGTTGGCACGCCACGAGTGCCAGCAAGGAGTAGGGCTCAAAATGGTCTCGTGTATACACGGCCAGTGCGACAGACAGTTAGTTGTACATACATCGAACCGATCGCCATTCCGCATCAAGGTGTTGTGGAGGAGGTGCCTGTAGACCTGTTCAGGGAGGTCGCGTCGCAATTAGCACCAAGTGACAAACCATACGGCTCCTCCTCGACGCGGCAGACGCTACAAGCACCCAAGGCCATAGTTACCTGCGGCTTGATCAAGACCAAGTCTATGAAGATGACGACAAAGTCATGCTCGACATACTTGTCGCAAAAGAAACCGCAGTTTCGGCAGACGCTTAGGCGGATGTTGTGTCCGCTAGACTGGTCACCAGCGCCCGAGTATTTGGTCCATAGTGTCTTGACGGGGTGTCTACACTCGATACAGATTGGCATTATATTGTAAGTAGTGCGAATCTATGAGGCTGGCACAAGCGATGGGTTGATGATCAGGGATGCCGTACTCGGTAGGGCAGACTCCGAGATGTGCGAGGAGGATGGCAAACCGTGGTGCTCAAGCGACCAATGGGAGGGATATATGGATGTCAGGTCCAAGTTCCTCGTGCATATGGAGTACAGAGCTACGGAGTGATATATGCAGCTGACCCTGGTCTTGTTCATGTTAGTGCATAGTTATTTCTTCCGCATAGTGTTGAAGTTGAATTATGGCCTTATAATTGTGGAGCCAGGGGGGAAAAGGAAGGCAAAGACAAAAACAAAAGCGCAGGCCAGACCACAGACCACAGACCTCAGAGACCAGACTGTGCCCAATTTCAGCTCGGTTTGGATCAAGGAGTTACGGCAATTGTATGGTATTAATGAACACAGTGTCAGGCCCAACGACAGAAGATTGCATTGTAGCATGCATGTACTCCGTACTAGTATTAGTACCAACGATGGCTGGGTGGCTGGATCGCGCCATTCACGGCCCGCCCCACGATTCCTCCAGCTCCATGGCGCATTCCCTGGTCGAATCCAGTTGCGAAAATGAGGCGACGACGCTGAAAGTTACAAGGGTATCTATCATTCAATGCGGTCTGAAGCACCATTCGTGTGTGGGGGAAATGGCCGCCGCAGTCTGACAGGGCAAAACTTGACCCGGCGGGTCACCGGTCCTCGTTGCAAGCCATTATGGAATGAAGACGGTACCACGGAGTAGTGGAAATGCTCGTCATCGGCTCCTTACTGATGCCATTTGTCCATGGTCAATGCCATCAGGTGAACAGGCCCAACATCTCTCGACAATGCCGGAGCCTTTGTGCCACAGCCGCCGATGGCCCTCCACGAACAGACTTGAAGTGCCAATGTGATGGAAGACTGACTAAACTGTACTTGGCTACGGAGTATGGGACTCCGATTTAAGATTGGTAAGCTTACATATGTACATACATACATAGACATGCCCATCCAAGTATGATGGTGGAATCGCCAGCACCCAAGCTGCTTAAGTGGCTGTTATTCAGCTCACCCACAACACGATTTAGGGACTCCAAAAACATACATACACCATAGTCTCTGGTTTGAGAAATGCCTCTTGAGTATTCTAGAGACCATGAGGCTCTACTGCCTAACCCTATGACGATATTGCTCTTCAAGACCGAGCAGCTATAACCATCGCATCATTTCATCCATGTACATACCATGACAGCATCAAAACAAAATGGAGACCATCTACTGTTCTCTATTCTCTAAGTTATTCTTTTCACGCCCTGCGTGTACATGTCTTCTAAATGCATAATATACACTCGCCGCGCCATCGCTTCTCTCTCCACCGAAAGCATTAGTCTCCGGTTGTATACAATTGGCTTTTTTCTATACCAGTCGAACTAAAAATGGATATGTAGAAAACCCGACACGCTTCGTCGGTTGCTGTTCATGATAACCAAAGTCTCGCTTCACCCCCCGCGGAAGTGCTGCAGGCTAAATTCAAGGCTTTGCGTAAGCAAAATTGAGGGGAAGCATTCCAACCAGATCTTTTTTTTTCCTTTTCCGCGAAAACAAAACAAGCTACAAGTAACACAGGGCAATGCAATATAAGGTCTGAAACATGCATGCATCTCAACTCACGTGGAGTTGGAGTTGTCCGCACAGGACCAAACCTTGGAGCTTCCCGGCGTGTTGACAATGGTATAAATGGCGCTATAAGTGCCAGCAATCATCAAAAAAGTCCCGGTGACGACCACAAAGACACTGGAAGCGACTCCAGAGTACCATCGTGCCTGTTTCCGGCCGTCGGATCTCTTCCAGTTGTCGTACATCCACATGAAACCGGGTGGGTGGAAGCACAAAATCGGGCCAAGAAGCGCTCCAACAAGTGCGATAAGCTGTCCAAAAATGGGGATGGCGCTAGCAATCACATAGCCCACAGCGGTGATGGCAAAGGTTGAGCCCAGCCAAACTGCCCAGTGCTTGGGGGTGTTGGAGGCCAGATGCTTTGAGTTGCGCAGGACTCGAACGAAGATGGATTTGGCGGCAAGCTAGAGAATCACGGTTAGCTGCTTCAATTCTTGTTTGGCGATGGCTTCATGGGGGAGGCTAACATGGATGAGCAAAAGATCGGTGACCAGCAGACCAGGAAGAGCAATTCCATAGGCGACCTTCTTAATCAACGGGCCAGCCGAGCCGAGCGCAGGAGAGGCAACATAGGATCCGCAGAAGTAGTAGACGACCACACCGACCACGATGTACGCCAACGTAATGACACTTTGGCACATCATCAACGCCTTGGTGTAGTGCTTGGGATCTCTCATCTCGGACGCAATACTGAAGAAAGTTGGGGTGCCGGCATAAGCAAAGATGAGTGTCGTAATGGCTCCTAGAGCGTCGCTAAAGCTGGGGTTCTTGAAAAGCTCGTAATTGGACCTCCAAGGGCCCTCGTAGTCTTGAGAAGCACTCGAAGGTTTACCCTGGACACCGACGGCGATTGTGACGGTGAAAACTACACGATTCAAGAGTTAGAACAGGGCCGGATGTGAAAATTCACGGTTGTGCCCAGAGGGGCGTAAACTCACCAGCGATAACAATAGAAGTAACGCCGATCCATGCCAACGCACTAATCTTACCCAGCGTTTGGATACTCGCAAAAGTGAATCCAAAAACCGCCGCCACTGCAACAAACACGGCAGTACATGCGCCATGGGTGGAAAGGGCATTGAAAGCAACCGAGATGCCAATCATGGCTGCGGCAGATGCAAAGGTCAAGACTAATGACGAGACTGGTTAGCAAAACTCACACACACCCCTGGGCCGTGGCCATGCTCATGCTCATGCTCATGCTCATGCCCATGGTGGTTAGTCGGTATGTGCTTACTGAGGGTAAAGGCAACGCCAAAGACCTCACGTCCAATGCGCCCAAAGATCAGGCCGCCTGCATCGTCAATGCCGTATACTTGACGGTGTCGGAGCTTAAAAACACCAATCATATAGGCCGACCAAGTGGTGATGGTTCCAACGAACAAGAGAAGGATGACACCGGGGATGAGCCCCACGGTGTCAAAGACTGACGGGATCGAAAGAACACCCAGGCCAATTTGCGTCTTCATCATGAGAGCGGCAGTTCCCAACCATCCAACCTGTTGGCCGGGACGATCAGCATATCGGGGCGACAGGAACAGGGTCAAACAAGGCCATCAGTGCTTCGGCTTACATTGCGGTAGTTGGGCCCTCCGTCTGTGATGTTTCCAAAGACGGCATCGCTGGTCTTGACCTCGGTATCGATCACCTCTCCCTCAGAGGGAGAAGCAGCACGCTCGATCTGGTCCGAGAGATCATTGTGCGGGTCTTGGGACGTCTCAAGCTTGGACATGTTGGCCAGTGACTAGACCTGGGGAGCAGGATAGTGCCAGATGAGATGAAGTAGAGACAGATCGTGCTCGAATGCGGAGAATATCATGGGGTACGGGGAACTATTGTTTTTTATACTCTGGGTCTTCCCCGTTGGCCGTTGGGGCCAATATATTTCAATTGCAAAACGAGACTGGACGTGTCGATAGTCTGGGCCCGCCGCCGCTGCGCCTTGGTGTGAGGAACGTACAAGTTGGGAAAGAGCCAGAGAGAAAAACTTTATTCTCGTTACGGGGGAGCGGGAAAGAAGAGAAAAATCCTCCACCACACACTTGCCCATTTGAGGAAGAAAAATGGAGAAAACGAGAAGATGATGTGCAGATCAAGCAACTGACTTGTTTCCACCCGAACCTTGAGTCTATGTGTAATTGTGCATAATTAATTACTTTACCCAGCACCTGCTGCTCCCGTCCAAGTACACATTCATCGTCTCATGCAGCCAATGGCGCAAGCTATTCGCCCTCTTCTTCACTTGACATTTCATCGTGACCAACTTGTCGAAACTGCCCACTTACAGTATGTATGTATTTTCGCGGACTCGGCTATGCCGGATCCCGCGAGTCGAGACCAAACGAGTCAGTCTGCCCATTTACCCTTGCATCAACATCCACAGCATCCACTCCATGCATAACAACCGCTGTATCCAAGTCTTCCAAGAACTTTGCTCTGGTAATAGTTACCTAACATGTATCCATATATCCCACCCCCTTAATGCCGTCGACGCGCCTCACATGTTCCTCTCTCCACAGGGCCCCCGAACGCCCCAGGAACTTGCTTGTACATACTTCAGTTCTTATGGCTGCCGGCGTTTGGTAGCGATGGCTGCATTAATCAGCATAAACTATCCATTGGCTCGAAAGTGATCCCCCAGAATACTTCTGCGGAGCCGCGGTGGCATTAAGGAGATATGCCATGCAACTTGTGTTACAAGTACAAAATAAAAAGAAATGCGCCCTCCAGCAACAGTGGATGAGCCAGGAGCGGCACGCCTTCGTCTAGAGAAACCAAAAGCATGCTTCCCAAAGTGTGTTTTCAACATGTCAAACAAAGTCCAGTTGCAACGTCGTCTTGATGTAGTAGCCTCAAGTATAATAAAGTCAACAGCAGCGCCGACCCAAGCACCAATCGAGAGTCAACAATCCTTTACAGAAGTCAAGTCGGACAGGCTGAAACTTGGAGTCATACATCTACCAGCTTTAAGCCCAATACAAGCCCAACAAGTGTCTTTTCACCCGAATATCAAGTCAGCAAAGCACGCGTCTAGTCAGTTGCGTTACGACCGCGCCACGCTGGGATAGCCATCGCTCGCAACATTATGTCAGACAAGGATGTTGGGTCAGATTGTACGGAGTAACTGGAGTCCTTTTGGTATGTGGAGTTGGAACCATGCCGACGTGGGATACTATTCAAGTGGAAGACCTAGCAGATCCGGGGCATTCTTGATCTCACTAGGCCTTGCTCCGTACTTGACAGAAGATACCTCTAGTTCAGCATCAAGGATGGCAATCTGCGAATCGCTGACGACAGCTATTCAGTCCCGACGTGTTCCACTATTTCTCTTGTGGCCATGCCAAGCAACTCAGCAGTTTCCAATCAAGGGCAAGTACAATCTATGTACTGCGTGCATACGTATCCAGTAATCTATCGAGTCCTCGATAATATCCACCATCCTCAAGGATGATGAAGCTTTGTGGGTATCGACTACTACCCCAGACGCCGCTTCCATGCTGACTGGAACTTTGAACTCGTCGTTGCTCGGACGTCGGTCATCTACCTAGGTAGTTAGTGGGCGTCGTAAAACACGAACGAGGCTTGCGGAGCCGAGTTTCAAATCAAGGCATAATGTCCAGTCTCTTTGAATGAATAGTCGCCTATCACCGGCATAGCCAAACCACGGCTTGATATCCAGTCTCTTTGAATAAATATCGCCTATTGCCGGCATAGGAAGAAAGTTGGTGTCAAAGAGGACAATGTGGATATCGGGTGGGGCGCTCCTCCGGAAAACGATCTTCATGGGCCTTCATAAAGATCTCTCTGGGCTGCAATGCCTTGGTTCTGAGTAGTCACTCCTTTTTCACGACGAAAATCCCTTGTTCTACCCCAAGGAGATGAATGCACTGTAGAGTCCAAAATCGCACCTGATGTGTCTCGGCAATCATGAAGCGCCAGCGGCGCACTGTGCTTAGCCGTAGGTACAATGTTGTCAAGACGGGAGACGTTTCGAGAACTCCGTTGGGTGAAATGTCATAAAATTTTTGCGAAAGTGGCGTTGTTTTACCATTGGCCAGTGGCAGATCTATCATTTTTAAGGTTCAAGCCACCACGCAGCCAGGTAGGAATGGCAATGCCAACGCTAAGCCACATCACGTGATAGATTGAAGAAGTATTCTCCACTAAATGTGGCTGGAGCATGAATTTTCGTGGTGCAGGCACGATTAGTCAATTTTTTTTTTTTCTTTCTTGGGGCAACCACCGCCTCTTTTTTTTTTCCTCTCGTCTACCATCACGGCCGTGAACCTACCTACCTAAGGCGAGCCTCTGTCGAAAACAATGGCGGAAGACGCGAACGCTGGTATGTACATATCCAATTTGTAGGCTGGCTCACAAGCTGTTGCAACTCGTCAAGGGAAGCCCGAATTGCTAACCATGGTCTCGTATAGCTTGGCCCTTGGCCGATGCCGCCCTCACTCAGGAGATTCTCGATCTCCTGCAGTCGGCTACTCATCTTCGCCAAGCTAAGAAGGGCGCCAACGAAGGTACGTTCACACTGGGTTAATTCGAGGATGGTCGTCGTAGCAGAAGGGATATAGCCCTTGTGCGTGGAGATGATTAGGGTGATTTGCTAACGCAAGTTGGTAGTGACCAAGGCTCTTAACCGAGGTACATGCGAAGTTGCTATCCTGGCCGCCGATACCGAACCACTTGCGATTCTTCTTCACATTCCCCTTCTCTGCGAGGATAAGGGCACTCCCTACGTCTACGTCCCCAGCAAGACCCTCTTGGGTCGTGCCTGCGGTGTCAGCAGGGCAGTCATTGCTGCTAGCATCAACTCCAACGAGGCCAGTGAGCTGGCTGGTCAGATCAAGGCTCTCCGCGACAAGGTTGAGCGTCTCGCCATCTAAGGAAATGCCGATTACACCAAGACTAGGATTGTGAAAGCATGGCGGACGAGAGGTAGTTCTCAAATCTTGCCATGAATTGGCGTCTTTTGATCACTAGGATTCTTGAGGGGACCTGATGGGTTCCAAAAGTCGGGAGTCGATTGCTACCCATGAAGGATCTGACGGACAGTCGGACAGTCTTGCATTAACAGAGGGGAGAGGGCAAGGCATATTTCAAACCTGTATAGGACCTGGTAGGCAGCGTTCGTATCGCAAGCTTAAACTAGATCAGTAAAGCAGATGAAACAAGAGAAGCGTTGAAATCTCGACAGCTGACAAAATTCATTCATGCCCAGCCGTGGTGAAGCCGTGACACGTATGCACCCAAGTGCGTCGGAGGTAGGAGGGCGGTAGTACGGAGTAATAACAGCAGAGAGCGAAGGATTGAATTGTAGCTGACACGGGCTGTGTCACCCGCCCACGCGTCTTGGGCCAGATTCAATGGGAAAACGCCGCTTGGTCCGGTAATACTAGTGCTAAAGAGATCAGCATCGCATCAGCTCCGCCAGTAATCATGACAGTGCGTCAATGTGTTGCGGCCCCGAAGCAATCGGCGGCGGGCCACGTGGCAGACCTCATGGCAAGCAGGCAGGGTACAGGGATGCCAGCAAAGGGTGATATCGAGAAGACTCAATCATTTATTAATATTGAGGGGGGAGCTTTGACCCAGCGCTTTGAGCTCACTGGGCCGGGACAATGTGGGAACAATTGGGCTGGTGCTCTCCCGTGTGGGCATCCAGGCTGAAGGCTTCCTGTCATGTCTCCCCGAGGAGGGATGGCGGCGAGACAAGAGCAGAACAGAGGATGGGCGTCGACTCCAGAGGAATAGCCCGTTGGTGGGTGAGCAAACGTGTCAACTTTAGAATGTTCCAAACATGGTACGGGTTGGGGTGGGTGAATGTCAATCAATGTACATGTACTACATTAAGTAAAGTAAGTAAGCACATGGCTGCATGGGTCACGGTCCCATTCCCATCTGCGTGCGCATCCACGAGCGGAGTTAAACAAAGAAGCCCGAATCCGCGGACCAGGCAGGACAGCTTGTGCATACCAACTTCTACATGCGTCCATTGTCCACGACATCAACTCCGATGGCTTCACTATCCGCAGCTTCCCACACCCCCATTCACTCGCTCCCGCTCGCGGCAGCACGCCACACCAGCTCATCCAGCGACCAGACACATGGCTCGCTTGGACCGCTAAGCTTTCGTTAGTCGGCCTGACGGTTGAAGCCGTGTCAATAAATACTGGCCTTTGATTTTTTTGATTTCTTTTCCGCCCCTTCTTCTTGTTGCTCCTGCTTGCCATTTGTCCCTTGTTCTTCGGGGTCCCTCTTATGCTGCTGTCTTGTCGCCAGTCGACTTCTGGTCTCTGGCGTCGATTGCACCCGCAACTTGGCCTCGCATCACGACGACATCCCTTTCCTCTGGCCCATCTCGGCGTCATGGCGTCTACATGTACGGACCCGTCGGGCTCGGCTGCCGCGGCTGGTGCCTCAACCACTTCCTCCTATTCTACCGTTGTTTCTAAAATCCCGGGACGATCCAGTCTTCCCGACGAAGCGGCCTTGAACCCGCACCACATCATCAAGGCCGGCAGAGTGTCTGGATTCAAGAACCCGTACCCGTCGTGGTCGAATCCGGCAAACTTGACTTCCATTCTAAAGAATGTAGTGTGGTGAGTCCATGTAATAAATTCAACCAAGCAAATAAATAAATGTATACACGGTCCTCGGCGAGGCAAACTGACACGTGCATGGCAAGGCCAACGATAACCGGCCAACTCAAACGACCAGACACATCACCACCCACCGTGCCCGTCCAAACCCCCGAATGGCTCCCCAGCCGCACAGCGTCGGACAAGCTGCGCGCGACGTGGCTCGGCCATGCCTGCTACTACGTCGAGTTCCCTTCGGGCCTGCGCGTCCTCTTTGACCCCGTCTTCGAGGACCGCTGCTCGCCCTTCAGCTTCATGGGGCCCAAGCGATTCACCCAACGGCCATGCGAGCTCCAGGACATCCCCGTCATCGATGCCGTCCTCATCAGCCACAGCCACTACGACCACCTCTCGCACAAGTCGGTCCTCGAAATCCAGAGACACCACCCCGACGTCCAATTCTTCGTCGGCCTCGGCCTGGAGACGTGGTTCCGCAAGTCCGGGCTCAAAAACGTCACCGAGCTCGACTGGTGGGAGGACGCCGACCTCAACGTCAAGGTCAAGACAGGCGAGGAGGAAGAGACCTTGTCCGCGAGGGTCTCGGCCCTCCCCTGCCAGCACACCTCGGCGCGGTCCCTCTGGGACAAGGACACGACGCTGTGGTGCTCGTGGGCCGTCAAATCAGGCGACAAGTCCGTCTGGTTCGGAGGCGACACGGGGTACCGCGCTGTTCCGGCCCTGCCCGCGGGCACCGACGACTACGGCCCCGAGTATGAGGCGCTGCCGCGGTGCCCGCAGTTCAAGCAGATTGGCGAGCTACGCGGGCCCTTTGATCTGGGCCTGATCCCCATCGGCGCGTACTATCCGCGCGTGGCGTTTTCCGCCATGCACGCCAATCCTTTTGATTCCGTCGAGATCTTTGTCGATACCAAGTGCGAGAGAGCCATGGGCATTCACTGGGGCACCTGGGCCTTGACCATGGAGGAGGTTCTCGAGCCGCCCAAGCTGTTGAGGGAGGCGCTGAAGAGGAAAGGGCTACAGGAGACGGGCGTTTTTGATATATGCGATATTGGCGAGAGCAGGGAGTTTTGATGTCTGTGCCACTTTTTGTGTGTGTGTGTGTGTGTGTTTGTGAGTGTGTCTGGTACTATTGGCGTTTGGGATAGATGGAGATTACATTGCCTTTTTTCCCCCTTTGTAACAATTGTTCCTGTGGCTTTGTCGGACCAGGGGAAATCAGGCTGTAACAAAGTACATACGGCGTCAGAAGACATGAGTATAATCTCATGTCCCGCATATTTCAGGTCTTAATTTATCAGCGTATCTACAAGGAAGCAATATCAAATGACAATTTAGCCGCGCCACGATGACGTCTCAAAGCACTTTCTGAGCTCGAAATACCGGGGGGTAAGCGCTGAGCGACGGCCAAGTATATATACATCACGATGCAGCAATGTCGATTTCCCGCCTCACTCGAGTTTTCTTCGGCCGACCAGTCTTGGCCCTGGCGGCACTGGGCATGTCAGACATGCGTGTTTCCATCCGGCAAGATCCGGCTCGCCCATCGGTGGCGCCACGGCCCATCCTTGATACAAGCTTACTTGGGGCTCCGCCTTGCCAGTCGCCACTGGCCGCCCGGTGTTGTTAGTATATTAAGTCCCCAATCTTGGCCTTTTCAACCTGCAAGCCACCGGACGACCTTGTTCTCTCGAAACAAGCAAAAGACACAGAGTTATTCCACCATCCCCGTTGCAAAAAAGAAAAAAAAAATCATGGGTCTACCCATTTACACCGGCCCGTCTACGTCAACCCCGAATCAGGCGGCGGCGCACGAGTCAGCACCCCGAGATGCAACGCCCACCGGTGCTGGCGCAAACACCGGTGCCGGCACGACGAGGCCCAAGACAAGCGAGGAGCAGGAGGCGGACAGGCTATACGAGGAAGCTATGGAGGAGGAATATGCCAAGAGAGAGGGCGGGGCATAATCTCAATTCCCGGACAGCTAATAATACATTGTACATGTACTCTATGTTCTGACCATGAGACCACGATGGAAGACAGCGGGAGGCCCCCAAGACTAGTAGTAGTGGTGGTACTATTCGTGAGAGTGTACATACAGAACAAGGCACGCAGATGGGATTTTATTCTCCCCGCCGTCAATGTATAACGTCCAGTCATCAGCTGCCAGGTATGCCCAGCCGTGAAACACTCGCATCCCCCGCCGCATGGTCCCTTTGTTTATTTGTTTATTCATTCATCTATTTGCATCTTCACCCTTATCGCCCCCTCACAGCCACGGGGTGCGCCTCCGTATTGTACACGAACTGGTTCGTGGCACCTTGGCCCTGCACATGCACCGGCCCGTCGGCCGCAAAAGTGAGATACAGGTACTTGAGCGTCTCGGCCATCCAGAAGCTCTGCATCTCGTCTACAAAACTACCGCCATTCTTCTTGGAGACGTCGGTCAGCTCGGCGTAGGCGTCGTTTACGCGGCACAGCCTCCGGATCCGCTGGAACGCGTCCCACGCCATGTCCTGGTACTTTTTGTCGCCTGTGAGCCGGTACGCGTAGTAGACGGATTCCACGGTTTCGGGCCGCAGGATGTAGTAGGGGGATGTGTTGTAGAAGCCAGCCTTTTCGTAAAACTCGGTCTGGTTCGCCGGCGGCGGCCTGTTGTTGGGGTTGCCGGCCGACAGGCCTGCGTCTACCCAGTTGAAGCCCTCTGGGCCGATGCCGGCTGCCTCTTGGACGTACGTCTCATAGTAGGAGTCGGTGATTTCGAGGCCGAGTTGCTTGTATTTCTCTTCGCCGAGAACAATGCCGCCCAGTATGAAGTTGCCGCCGGCAAAGCTGGCCACTGTGTTTTAGACCTTCGTGTTAGTGGGTTGGGTGATCTCCTTTTTAATTTTGTCGTCACACGGCAGGAAATGTATTGACGGTGAGGAGGGCTGATGAAGGGGAGGGTGTGTCACTTACAGTGTCCGGAATTGGGGATGGTTTGTTGTCCACGGTACGCAGACAGGAAAGACAAATCCTTTCGGGTCGTCGGGTGCGACACGAGATGCTTCATGGTCGAGTCCACTGCGGCCACCCAGCGGTCCTTATACTCGCCAAAGGCTTTAGGGTCGTACACGTACATCTTGATCAGGTACTCGTAGAAGCTGTCGTCATAAGCAGACCAACCGCCATTACTGTCTAAAAAGCTACCGTCCTCGGTGCTGACCCAGGTGCCAATCAAGCCGGGCCACGCCTCGGGAGCTCCCTTGGGGTGCAGGAGGTAGTTTTCTGCCTTTTGCGCCAGCTCGGCATACGTCTTGTTGCCGCTCAGGTCGCTGAGACGGGTCCATTCAAGAACCAAGGTGCCAATTTCGGCAATATTGTTCCTATCAGTGCCGCTGTTTTTCTTGTTTGGGTTCAGGAAAATGGTTGGGTCGGGAATACCGCTCGGGGTATCAAACGCGACGCTGAGGCTGTCGCCAAGTGACTGGGCTTGCTTCAAGAGCGCATCGACCTTGCCGGCATCAGCTCCCAGGTGCTTATATGGGCCCTTGAGCAAGTCGTACGCTTGTGAGATTGAAATCAATTAGCTCAAACCCCCCTTTGCTTTTTCAAGCCCAAGCTCACCAGAAAGAAGGCCGCCAAGGTATCGGATGTTGGTCTCAAAGAGCGAAATGGCGTCGTTGGCCTCGGCCGTCGTTGTAAAGTCAATCTTGGCAATGTGATCCAACATTGGCTGTACAATCTTCAAGCTGTTCATGACAATAGCCGTGTCAAGCGCATCGACAACAGTCACTCCCCATCCGGCCCTTTAGAATCCGAGTTAGAAAGGTGAACAGCCCGGCCAATGCCACACTCAAGGATGAGCAAGATACACCTACCGATCATCCGCGTAGCTGTTGGTCACGGGGTGGAGGGTATCGTGAGGGAAGGCGTGCTTATAGTAGCCATTCCACGAAATTTCAAAGGCTTCCTTGATATCGTGGGCTTTGTCATGGTCGGCCACAGGAGCCGTGACAGCGCGTCTGGCTGGCATGGCGAGAGCAGCGCCAGCAAGCTCCAGGAGAAGGATTGACTTGTTAGACAACCGCATGTTTGTAAAGCCCAATCGGAGCGACAGAACCTGGTTCAACACCAAGAGCACATGGAATATGGCGACGAGACACTGCAGGCTCTCCGGTATTTATAGGAAGGTCAACAATCTCGTCTCCAGGGGGGTGCGGCAGAAACATGTGCTCTCTGTTAATATCCAACATCTAAGACATGGCGTCACGACGAGGGCCGAGCAACACGCGTGCCCTGCCCCCCTCATGGCAACGGATATTTGCATTTCGTGCCCATCCCGGACGATTCCAGCTTGAGAAAAGATTGACGTAATCTGCAGAGCAAATCAAAGAATAACTAGCCAATACGGAGTACAGTACACGAGAGTGGACGGAGCAAAGACGAGCAACGCTCTAGGCAGGTGACAGTATGCGCCCAGTGGCTATTGTGCCACCGTGCCATCGTGCCTTGGTCCAGGTCTGTTTATTGCTCGTCCATGCATCATGTTGCCATGTAAGGCCCGAGGTTCCAACAGACCAGGTAGTGACTTGGTCACGATCTTGTGCTCGATGTTACCCTGGTCCCAGTAGGCGAACTCTGGATTCACAAACACTATATTACACCTGCATGATGGAGTCGGCGATACTTTATGTTGCCTATCGCCTGGTGGTGGGGAAGAGATGAGCTTGCAAGGTTCTCGAATTCCTGCATCATCTGACAGCATCATTCAAGGGCCACCGGCGACTCGTTCCAGCATGGTGCCAAAGCCTGCCCAATGGATGGTGAGGATTCGGAGGGGTTAATGTAACCCTGCCCAAGATTAGAATGATGCCCCGGACGTGGAACGGCAATCGCACTCACATGAGTTTGACTTGCCTGTTTGTTGTTCATGGGATAGTATTTCCAACAGCTAACATTGAAACGAATCTACAGGCAGGAGAGGAGGACAGACTGTGTGCGGAGCAAAAACGCAAACTGGACGCACGAACTGGACGCACGAACCCGAGACCTGTCTCAAAAATGCTTCGCGGAGCGTGATTTCGTCCTTGTGCAAGCATGTCGTCTAGGAGTGTTACTTTGCAATGTCACGTCCCGCATCTGGGAAATGCACCCTCCATCTCCACATCATCAACAACCCGGGCGTCAACGACCAGCCGAACAGGAAACAGTCGCCGACAGTTGCTTCCAACGGAGAAGTGGACGTCCAAGGGGTCATTGTTCAATGACGGATCACTACCATATATGCTAGTACTCCGTACTCGAGACAAGTCGACGGCGAAATTCCAAGTCATCCAGTCCTTAATCCTTAAAAGACGACAAGAAACAACAACCGTCGTCCATCTATCGGCAGAAATGGTCGGCTGGCTCCGCATTTGGAGCTTGTTCCATTGTCTACTATGCGGGGACGGCGCGGGGGTGTTGTGACGAGGCTTGCTCCATAACAATACGTACATACATGCGTACTATTGTAGTACTTACATATGTATGCACATAATTCAACTTACAGCCGAGCGAACCATCGTATGTGCTGGACAGCCCAGAGTCTCAGAGTGACATGTTCATCGTGGCGTGGCGCTGGATCTCGGAAACATCAGTTCCGGTTCATTGCTTGTTGCGCCCGCCTATTCGGCAGTTTTGCGGCGCATTCGCCTTTTTGGGCCGCCATGCACTGGGTGTTGGCATGCAAGTCTTTGATATTATTTGTAACACCTGTTGACACCATTCGCCATTGTACTTGTGCGGGTTGATTGTTTCGTTCGTCAATAACGAGAGCTCAGCCATTTTCGCGCAGTTTGGCGAGAGCTGCTGCAACGCCACCACTCAACCCATCGTCCATCTTCTCCGCACCGGCTGTCCGGCCCGAGTTGGAGTTTCCCCCGGTTGGCTGTGAAGTCCTTCTCGAATCTTCAATAGCAGCAGCCATAAAAGCCTCTTCCGCATCGTCGTCCTCGTTCTCAACATCGTCATCCAGGAACTGGAACTGCTTTGGAGCAGATCCGCTCGATAAGCCTCCATCTGGCGTCCCCTTTGCGGCGGAGGGGGCACCAGAGCCGGTGCCCACGGCAGGCATATCTCTGAGAGGCACTCTCGAAAGCGGCACGGCTTCCTCCAGCCGCGAGGTCCGATCTGCGTGCTGACCGTCCGCACTTGTGCTTGCCTGCTGGGCTCCGGTTTTGGACGGCTGCAAACCCCGCCTGGCCGCCTTCTTTGCCCGGAAGGGCTCCTCGATTGCAGCAGACCACCTCTTGACTTTGACGCCTCCCCATCCACCGATCATGCCAAGCTGTTCCTGCTCCGCGTTGATGGCATTTTTCAGACTGCCAAAGTTGGCCACTAGCGCGACGGCGTCAGACTTGTTGAGGCTTCGGGGCACCGTCACAAAGTCGACCAGCTTATCGGCGTAGCTGGAAGCTTGTTGGCCACGAATGGCTGCGGAACTTGTGTTCTCGTAGGACTTGTACAACTCGAGGTACCGGCCGGCCTCGGCGGCCGACCAACACAAGATGATGGTGACATTGTTCACGAGTGAGGTTTTTGAGAGCTCGCGTAAGCAATCTTCGTGGTTGGGTATATCCACCATGGTGAGAAGAATGCGTAGGTTGTATTTGCCTTGTAGGTTTCGTATGCGTGTGTAGATGTATTCGGGATGGAGTCGGTGGTACTTGAGACTGTACAAGCGCAGACAGGGTCAGACAGAAAGCAACCAGCCGAAAAAAGAAGAAAAGAAGAAAGAAAAGAATTATACCTCAAAAATAGTGCGCAGGTTGTGAGTCCCATGACATAATCGGCTGGAATATCGCTATATTCCCACGGCAAAGAACGTATAGACGTCAGCACTGGATTTCCTCGCTGGCGAGGAGATACCAGGATGGTCGATCCGCCCGTTTGTTTCTGCGGGAGAGCCTGTGGTGTAGGCTGCACAACCTTGCTCCCGGATGTCTTGCTCGGCGGTGCCTTGTCCATTCGCTGCGGCTTGGGCTGTTGGATTCTTTGGGGTACCGGCTGCTGAACGGTCCTGCGAGAGGACTGGGCCGGATCAGCGGCAGCCATGGCTGCGAGGAGGGCCTCGTCGGCGCCATAATCGTCGTCCATTGCCTCCGTGGTGTCTTTGTCAGAGGGATCAGTTGAAAGACGAGACGCAGGCCATGCAGTGGTTTTGAGCTGGACAGACGTGATGGTGAAAGTTCACGTTGGAGCTTCACGGGGACGTCACAGCACTAAGCAAGCCATCGCCCTCCAATTAGAGCTACCCTGAACGCTCGGACCCGCGGGTTGTCAACAGCTCCTTCTGCGCACTTATTACGAGAAACATTTGAAGTTCGTTACGCCGTATTTAGGTTCTATGAGTTTTACTAGGCCCTTGCCTAATATGCACCGCAATGATATGGTCGGAGGAAAGGGTTAAAGTCTTTACTTACAACACTTCTTGTTGGTAAGGCCTCACGTTTGGCTCGCACAATCCTGCCTCTGGTGGCACGCATCAGCTGATTGGTCTTCAGTCATGAAAATTCTACCTTTGCAGATTCTTGTTCAACTGTTTGGTTCAGGTCTAGCATTTTTCAATTTGGTTTCATAACAAATCGACAGTCCAGTTCTTTCATAACTACATTTACTACTCATCATCATCACCGTACTCACTGTCACTCTCCGCCCCCTCATTCGCAATCGTCTTCTGAATTGCTCTCAAGGCAGCCAACCACGAATCAAACATGGCCCGCGCACACTGAAGTTCAGGATCCTGCGTCTCCATTGAAGAAATTTCATCTCTTAGTTTCTCATATGCCTCGATCATGACCCAAATCTGGAGACCAGACGCGCCTCTCCCCGCGCGAGATGAACGGTCCGCAAAGCCGCTGGATAGCTCCCTTGTCAACATTTCGAAACCAATCTGGAACCGCAACGTCTCTGTGTCTGGCGATTTAATGTAGTCGTCGTCCTCGTAATGGTCATCCTCGCAGCGGCCGTTCTCGGCGGGTGGCGTCGGAGGGGACGAAAATTCCAGTGGCTTTACATATGGCGAGATGTCCGGGGATGACACCAGTGTATCGGCGTCTGATTCAGGCCATGGAGCTAATTCGCACCGGGGTTTCGGTTCGTCTAGAGAGCCTCCGGATCGAGGTTCAATTATTGACAGACGTGGAATAGGCCCGTCGTTGCTTGTGAATTGGTTTATACGCGGTGCTGCAGAGTTAGGCAAGGGCTTGCGGTGGATGGATGGGACGGAGGGAACGTCCGGGATGTTCGTCTTGTCGATCAATGTACGGTATTGCCGTGCGATAGTGCGAACACTAGACTGTCTGTTGATGGCGGCTTCTTGACGCTTCTTTGCGGCCGCCATTTCGAGTTGCCCAATCTTGCGAACCGGGGTCTTGGCTCTTCGAATACCTGAGGCGGGCCTAGGTCTTTTGACTGAAGGCGCTCTTCGTACACGAGGCTGCGGCGGCTCCAAGAAAGATGGTAGTTCTGGTGGCTGTGGAAATTCGGGAAGGGGAGAAAGAGGAGGAGGCGGAGGAAGTCGATCTGGTTGAGGTATCGGTGGTGGAGGAGGCGGCGCCTGTTGAGGAGCTGCGAGAAAGGAATCGAAAACGAATGGTTCGGGCTCATAGTGAAGTTGGAACTTTTTTCCGTGTTTCGGCTCGTTTCTTGGTTTGATGGCGACTGTTGGGGCCACCAGCGATGGCTTATACCTCGAGTCTTTGACGACGACGGGCGAAATGGGCACCTCAGGATTGGCCAAGGTTCCCATCTGCATGCTGCCCGTGTTGAAAAACGAGCTTAAGTCGTCGTTTGCATTCCAGTCTGCCAACTCGCTCTCGGAGGCAGAATGCCTCGACTTTGCGAAATACTTGTGTAGCTTCTGTCGTGTGGGTTTAAGATTATTCGCCATCATGATGAGCGACCGGCGAGAACGCCGACCATCTGTTGAAGTGGGTGAAAAGGAGTCGTTGCTGGATATCGGACTAACAGGATGCTGCGAAGACATTACTGTCACCTGGGTCGATCACCAATACGAAGCAAAACAGAGACAGAAAGAGAGGAGAGAGAGCGAGAGAGAGATAATGTGCTGCCCGAGCTTCGTCTCACAAATGAAAACTTGGCAGTTCGTGACAGTGTAATGGGATGTGTTGCAGACGGCTAGGAACATATAAAAAACAAGTTAATATGCTTCCAGGAACAAGATTCGGCGGTTCCGAGCTCAATATCTACCTACCTAGGTACTTTGTACCTGGGGACAGGACTTTTCACGAGATCGGTCACATCCCAGGCACAGCACCAGCAACTCGTAGGCAAAGTGGCGTTGACTGGAGCCACTGGGGTATACGCATTGGATCCAAATCCATCTTGGAGCAATAGGAACACTGTATTGGCATATCTTGACGCTGGAACAAAGACGTGGCGAGCGTAATCCGGGGCTTAGCGAAATGCACTGCCTCAACCGTGTAAGCCGCTGGCGTTCAATTTGGCTGCCTCTGCGGATCGTCGTGGCGTTTCTTAAAAAGGACATGTAAACAGCCATCGGTTGATCTCGTTCCGTTGTTAGCGTGCATGATCCCTGCATGTCAAGCCATGCAAACACGAAGAGGCGTTTGCGTCAACCAATGTCGAGGTTGTTGATTTCGTTTCAAACCAACTATCGCCGTTAAATTTAGTTGCTTCTAACCTGGGGCCAAGGAATTTCTTTAAATATCCCTGTCGATGCACAATCTGTTTTCCGGCCAACTGACGCCCCCGAGGTCTGGCAGAATGACGAGCGCCGATTTGCGCAGCATCCATGTCCTAGCAAGATGGAGCTGTTTAGACGGAGGGGAGGATTCCGAGCTTGAAATAGCCATCGTAGCCCGCATTTGAAGCTCCCGAGCCAACAGGTTTCTGTTTATGAGCACCGGACGCTTTTCAAGTTATTTGGAATCGCAAGCGTCTTGATTCTTGAATATTATTCGAAGGTTATGTGCGCGGCGCATGCTGCGTTGACGGCCTTGGGGGACGCGCAACGAGGACATGACCATTCGTGTGGGGCGGTCGTGAAGCCGTAGTGCCGCTGCAGGTGCCATCAGACGTCAACTCGTGTTGTTTGTTCAATCGAATGAGCTTACTCATGATGACTATGGTAAGCCCACAAGTGCTTCAATGTTGACTCTGGCGTTAGAATTTTGCCGTTTGGGAGACGAACAGTCTCGGAGTACCATGGCGGACAGCCCGCTGAGCATCAGTGAGGGAAGGAACCTTGAAGGGCACTGGGATCACTGGTGTTGGTTACAGACTTACAGTGGCTTGGTGCCGCTCTTTGGCTGTCAGCCACGATTACACGTCAACTGGGTGGTGCTTGTGCTCGGATATACAGTATCCCGGGTTCCGGATCACATGGCAGCCTTCAAATATTGTGGCTGCGTATGGCGACGGCTTCGGCCATGATTCTGCAACGCAACACACGTTGATTTCTCCCCGCGGGGCCGGATATCCAATTTCGACACAGTGCCCAGACCCATCATCCGGACTCACCATTCATCGTGGCACGAGTGATATGGCGTCGTTTCCATGATAGTGCGCTGATGTCGGCCGCGATGCATGCATGCTAAAGCCACCGAAGCCGTTTCTGGCCCATGTTGAATACACGTCACGAAGCTCAGACCAGCACTATTATTGGGTTATTATTATAATTATCATCAACATCAAGAGACCTCCAAGTGTCCTGTCTAGTTGTTGAGGAACGGAGCCCGCGTACCCATGCTAGCCGACTACAGAACATCAAGGCCAGACACAAAAGTCTCGCCATATTTTACTAGAAACGACATGTCAAGCTTTATAACTCATGAGTCCTAGGGATGAGTCTTCTCGATGGCCATCAAGTCCCTGTGATATATATATATATATACACGAGCCCCTTTGGGCAAATGCGAAACCCCCGGCTTGTGCAGGAGTGTTGGCTAGATCAGGCTCACGTTACGCGATTCATGGTGTTGCTTTGTGCTTGAGGCCCCTCTGCCGATTTCCGTCCGCTGTTAGGAGCACTGTTTTTGAAATATGAGAAAATCCGGCCCAAAAAATAGTTGCGCAAGACCACATAAACGCACGCTAGCGACCAAACTGACGGCACTGCCACGCCCAATCTACAACACCATGACGACTTCACCGATGGGTAATTCTTATACATGACAAAGCTGACATTCCCCTGCCGTGGCTCGTCAAATCTTCTTCCCAGTAGAATTGGCTCAGGCCTCAGCACTAATGCCGCAGTCGGGGGTGCCTGCGGGCTATTTACCCTTGGAAATATTTCATCTAATTTTGAGCATAAAGAGCATCGAGCCGCTTGCAGTTCTCGAAGAAGAAGAAGAAGCTCATCAGACTGTTTCCAAATCCCAAAACCTGCCGACAGCAAGGTAGATGTCGTTCCGATTAAGGGCTACAAGGACCTTGACCTATGGATGCGCGACATGGCTCCGACTTTCGTGCCCGACCGTGAGAACGGGGCAAGTCTTGCAGGCATCGACTTTAACTTTGACGGTTGGGGTGAAAAATACCTTGCTCTCTCCCCTGCGTCGCTTGCATCCATCATCTCCAGCCATATGACGGTGTCCCGCGTGAATTCCTCCATCATCACCGAAGGAGGCTCTATCGAGGTCGGCGGCAAAGGCACGCTCCTCGTCAGGAGAAGCTCCATCTTCAACGATATACAAAGTCTGCTTTTTATAGAAAGTTTGGTGACTATTATAATGACTCAGCTGCACTATAGCTTGAATATATACTATATTCACATATTGACTTCTTCTACTTTGTGGCATAAAATTGTGAATATTAAGCCAGACTGTACAAGATGCTGTCAACACAGGTAACTATTAGCCGAGAAGACAGACAAAGACCCGACGGTAAATTCGGCTGCGGGGCTTGGTTGACGGGAATCCCGAACAGCAGAACAGCACCAACGACTATTAATCTAAAGTTTACATGCTCCAAATGGGGATTTCCATAATCAGTGTTGTGGACTGTGGACTTGTGACACAATTAGTGAACTCCTGGCTCTTCCGAACTTATCAATTGCCGCATCGCCCTCGGCGGGTATTATACCGCCGGCCGAAGTTCCCCGGTGACGTCCGTCAGTCTACGCCATACCACGCCAGAAAACGCCGACTTGGCCATTGTCCATTTATTTGCGCCTAAACAAACGGCAATCAGAAGAATGAAGGAAATGCAACCCCCCAACGCCGCATTCTATTTTCTCCATCAATTATGGTCGGGAGACGACGTCTGCAGGCTTGCTGCAGTCTTGGTTGTACGTGTACTAGCCTGTCGCCGGTGTCGGGCCCCACTGCTTTCCCGAATCCCCCGCATTTTCAATGTTGGAGCCGTGGGTACCCCCGAAGGACAGCGGGGTGGCATGAGGGCATCAATTTTCCGTCGCGTATAAACCCAGCCTGCCCATAGCTTCATCTCCGCCAGGTCATAGGTTTCGCGAGGCTCTACAGCCCCTTAATTACTGCGTCATTGGGTGCGGCTCGGAGCAGCTTGGGTGCGTGTTGGAAAGCAGACTATAAACATCTCGTGCTTGGACGACGGCCCTTCGCCTTCACTCTCGACCGCCGGCGATACGTGCAAGTTGCTGCGATGGCGCAAGAAATCACAATCACAGGATTTGAAACCCGCGATGTGCGGTTTCCCACGTCGCTGGATAAGACGGGCTCTGATGCTATGAATGCAGCTGGCGATTACTCTTCTGCGTACTGCATCTTGCAGACCGACTCACAATACTCTGGCCACGGCATGGTGAGTTGCTTCTGAGAAAGGGCTGTATAGTTTTTTTTTTTTACAGCAACACACGCTGACACTAGATCCCTCTCCTCTCCGATTAGACCTTCACCATTGGACGTGGAAACGACATTGTCTGCGCTGCCATAGTCCACGTTGCCGAGCGTCTCAAGGGCAAGACGTTGTCGTCTCTGGTGGCCAACTGGGGGAAGACTTGGCGCTATCTAGTATCAGACAGCCAGCTGCGTTGGATTGGACCCGAGAAGGGCGTTATTCACCTCGCTCTTGGCGCTGTCGTGAATGCGGTCTGGGACCTTTGGGGCAAGGTCCTAGGCAAGCCTGTCTGGAGAATTGTTGCCGACATGACGCCCGAGCAATACGTCCAGTGTATCGACTTCCGCTACATCACCGACGCCATCACCCCAGAAGAAGCTGTTGCCATGCTCAAGGAAGTGCAAGGCGGAAAGGCGAAGCGCATCGAGGAAGCGCTTAGTAGCAAGGCCGTGCCGGCGTACACCACCAGCGCAGGATGGCTAGGCTACGGCGAAGGCAAGATGAAGACCCTCCTCGGGGAGACACTTGCACAAGGCTACAAGCACTTCAAGCTCAAAGTTGGCGGTAGCGTGGAGGAGGACAGGCGCCGGTTAACCATTGCTCGGGATGTTCTCGGCTACGACAAGGGCAACATCCTCATGGTCGATGCGAATCAGATCTGGTCTGTCCCCGATGCCATCGAGCACATGAAGCAGCTTGCCGACTTTAAGCCATGGTTCATTGAAGAGCCCACGTCCCCCGACGACATCCTGGGCCACAAGGCTGTTCGCGAGGCTCTCAAACCATACGGTATTGGCGTCGCCACTGGCGAGATGGTCCAAAACCGAGTAGTCTTCAAGCAGATGCTCATGAATGGCGCCATTGACGTCTGTCAAATCGATGCCTGCCGTCTCGGTGGTGTCAACGAGGTCATGGCTGTGTTGCTCATGGCGAAGAAGTACGGTGTGCCGATTGTTCCTCATTCGGGCGGAGTTGGTCTTCCAGAGTACACGCAGCACCTGAGCACAATTGATTATGTAGTTGTGAGCGGTAAGCTCTCTGTGCTGGAGTATGTTGACCATTTACACGAGCATTTCTTGCATCCGTCCGTCATCAAGGACGGGTACTACCAGACGCCCATGGAACCTGGATATAGCGTAGAGATGAAGAAGGATAGTATGGATAAGTTCACATATCCCGGGGACAGGGGGATTAGCTGGTGGACGAGCGAAGAAGCAAGACCGATTTTGGAGGGCGAGAAGATTTAAACGTGTATAGACTGGGCGAGGCAGTAAAGTACAAGGATATCAATAGCTTTCCTCTGCTTCTTCTCTTTCGCGGTTCTGGCGATGTAAGGCCACCGCTTTTTATCAAGTCTTACCTCTCTCAGCATTAGCCTTAGTCTCTCAAGGATAGTTCGGTGGTAGCGTTCTGCCACAGTATTCTGTTGGTGCTATTTGGTAGCTGTGTAGCAAAGATGGGTTCCCCTTTCTTTGCACCACAAACGTAGGGTCCCTGTGATATTTTCTTCGCCCCTGTTAAGTCTTATCAGGTGACAGCGTCTTTCGGGTCACTCAAGGGTTAGTATTGCTGTCTTTAGAACTTCTGGGAGGTCTGACTTTTGCTACACAGCTACCGAACAGCACCAACAGAATGGTGTGGCAGAACGCTACCACCGACCTATCCTCGAGAGACTAAGGCCAATGCTTAGAGAGGCAGGACTCTCTTTCTTCTCTCTTTTTACTCTTGTCACATAATTTGAACACTCCTTAGCCCAGGGGCGGTTGGACTTTCAGTTGCGTTGCAAGAAATTGGACCAGGTCTTTTAGCATTGATGCAGAATACCAGTGTCCTAGCCCTTCGTAGGTGTGAAAGTCCACGTCCAGACCCAGCTTCTGCAACAGCAATCGTGCTTGTGATGCGTGTTGAACAACAACCTCCCGGTCTGCGCTTCCATGGCCGATGAAAGCCGGAGTTGACGGAAACCGAAATTCCGATGTTTGTTGAGTGCCAGGAAGCTCGGCTTCTTCACGAAGTTCATCCAAGACTTTTTGATGCGACATTCGAGCATCGGCACATTGACTTGGTTCAAACACATCATCATCTGCACCAAATTCAATGCCGTCATCATCCAGAATATTCAACAGATGAGAAGCAAGTGGCATAAAGCCGCACAAGCCAACCACGGCACCCAAAGGGCCTCCGTCCCATAGTAAGCTGCTCACAAAGGCCATGGCAGCTCCTTGACTGAAACCAGCAAGAACGATGCGCTTTGAATCGTTGTCGGCTACTTCGATTTCACTCCGAATGAGGCCATGAATGTGCTCTATGCTAGGCTGCATGCCGCCCCGAGCCTCTGGCTCCCAATCACCAGTGCCATCGTACCATTGATGCATCAAGACACGGCGGTACTTTGTCGCTCTGGAAAGCGGGGCCGTTGGGAACACAAATCGTGCGTGAGGGAGTGCCTCCTGGAATGTACGATTGCCGATGTCGGTCTGGAGTAGTGAGCCATGGAACTTCTGGGCGTTGAAGCCTCGGCCGTGAAGAAAAATAACGGTGATGCCGTGAGGAGTTTTAAGAGGCGGGATAGTGATTGAGGGAGGGAATTGGCCCGTCATGCCGATAGTCCAGGTCCAGAATGAGCACGTGTGGTTTGTTCTTGTTTCGTTCCATGATGTTAATGAGCCCAATGCATCATCAACACTTGTCTTGGGGCAGGTCGTGCTGGCAGAATACTGGTGAGCAATCAAGGGGAGCAAGTCGGTCTGACGTGGAAAAGGATGGAGCTCTACTCCTTGGGGATTGTGGCTGGTGCGTGAAACAAGCCACAATAAGCCGCAGTCCCGGATTTGATGCTTGCTCAGAGACCAAACAGTCCATCATCAGCTTTCAGGAGACCATCCATCACACTGCTTCGTCAAGTTGAGAACATCACAATTCGACGGATCACGTCTTTGATTCAGACAATGGACCTTGTTGCCTAAGACGGCTTCACTGGGGCGCCATTTACCCCCAAGCGACATAATACAGTTACTATCAATGGCTGAATGCATACAATCGCTTCATCGTCCCACATCACCCTCGTCCAACATTACGATGGACCTGTTCTCGTCGTCTCAACCGATTCGCTCATTGACAGCCCTCTTCATAGCATGGAAAGGCTTCCTCTTGGCCGTCTCTCTTGGTGCCGCTGTCGCACCTGACTACGACACATCCACCTCTCTGTTCTTCGACCGCATGTACGGACACAACATCACCATCCCAACCATCGCCGCCAGATTAACACGATGGGACGCGTTGTATTTCATGCACTCCACCATTCGGGGCTACACCTACGAGCAAGAATGGGCCTTTGGCTTGGGCCTCCCGACCACTGTCGGGGCCATTTCAAGGTCCTTGTCGTCCCTCACGCCGGCAAACTATGCCCTTGAGCCGCTGGTTGCCATTGCTCTCGCCCACGCATCACACTTTGTTGCCATGCTAGCATTGCACCGTCTCACCATGATTCTTTCTGGAAATGCCAAACTCGCATTCGTCTCTTCTGCGTTGCACATCCTCTCACCGGCTGGCTTGTTCCTCTCCGCGCCGTACAACGAGAGCCCGTTTGCCGGCCTCTCATTTATGGGGAACCTGCTATTCGCCGTCAGTCTCAAAAGCAAGGCAAACGGAGTCAAACGGAACGTGACAATGCTTGCGTCGGGAATCTTGTTCGGCGCTGCTACCGCCTTCCGCAGCAACGGGCTCGCGAGCGGGCTCTTGTTTGCCGTCCAAGCAGTTGATGCGTTGCTGCTGTTTGCCCGAGCCCCGAGCTTGTGTACTTTGTTGTCAATGATAGCCCCGGTCCTGGGAGGGCTCTGTGTCGCAGCTGGGTCAGTGGTGCCACAGACTGTGGCGTGGATGAGGTACTGTGGTTCGGATGGCGTTGGGCGTCCTTGGTGCGAGAAGATGATTCCCAGTATTTATACGTTTGTGCAAGATCATTATTGGTATGTATATTTCGTCGCTGATGGAGGAGTCTCCCCTGTGCTGACTTGATGTCGTATTTCGTAGGAACGTGGGATTCTTGAGATACTGGACGCTGAACCAGCTTCCGTTATTCTTGCTAGCAAGCCCCATGCTGGCAATCCTCATCAAATCCGGTCTTGATCTCATTAGCAAGCCCCAGAGAATCACTACTGCTTCGAGAAATGGTGCAGCTGAATCGGACTTGAATACTTTTGTGCGTGCTTTGGCGGGAAGTCAGGCCTTGATTGCAATCTTGGCCATCACCACATATCATGTTCAAATCATTACACGAATCTCGTCAGGTTATCCTGCTTGGTACTGGTGGGTGGGTAGCTGTTTAATGGATAAGAGGAGGCAAGGATACGGGGTGGCCATTGTCATGTTCATGGTGATGTACGGCAGTATTCAGGGCGGGCTGTTTGCCTCCTTTTTACCACCAGCGTAAGGCACTTGGTTGAATACCGGGCCACTCATTCACTTCACCGCAAACGCAATGTGCTTCATCTCCACACATGGCAATGTTCACCATACACCCACGGCCTATAGTAAGATTGGGCGCACGAAACATGCAATGGATTTTGGTCCGTTGCGCATCCATAAGTGATTCGAAGCAAGGGATGGCAAGAAGAATAGCTTATCGACGGTGGGTTTCCGATTTTTATACAGTGAAGCAGATCTTCATCCTAGAGCATTATACCTTTCATTCGTCTTTCCATCGTTCGTTCCCGACATTGGGACGCTAGCGTGGCATGCCTCTCACTGTGTAAGCTCTTTGCGTCTTCATTCACCCTGAGCCCAAGCGCATAGACATGATAACTCGGCTGCCTGGCCCATATTGTGACACCGTTGAGGCCAAAAACCGACCACGGCGCCACAATACAATAACGCTCCGTCCGCATACGTTACCATTCTGTGAAACACCATCATTTCACTTCATAAGCATCTGTGGTTCTCGCAGGCTGTCGGGTGATCAGTGTGTAGAAATGCAACTGAAGGAAGCAATGCAAACGCGTGAATTCTATCAGTTTTACTCTTGGTGTGGGTGTCCCTTCACTTCTATTTCCTCTGAATCATATCATATCTGTGGATAGCGGTTCAAGAGCGGACAAAGATGATTTCTAAAAAGTGTACGTCGTGCCTATATAAGCTGGAGCAAACGCCTCGCGAGTCTCCTCCTTACCTGGCACCTTATAATTACCGATTACACGAACTTCCTGTCCAGTCTTGATACCTCACGCTGCTTGTGCCTCTTCGGGTTTCCCTCTACACGCAGTTTACAACGTGAGTCACCGACATGACAGAACAAAACGACGTCAACGAGCTTGTTCCAGACCTTTCGAATCTCACGCTCAACAACAGCTTCAGCACACAGTCTGACGCCGCATCCCACGAGCTTCCAGCAACGATTCACCACCCAGTCGTCCTCACAGCACCTACAAATCCGCACACGGCACTACAAGAACTTGTCAAGGTCGACGACGAGCTGAGGCTATGGCTCGACCACACGGGGTTCTTTGACCTTGCCCACCGGAAGCGAGTGCTCGACGGCGTGAGAGAACTGCAGGGCCTGGAAGCAGAAAGGGCCAAAGTCCTCGAAAAGATTCAAAGCAGCAAGCCATCGGGGCAGCCCGTATCTGACCCTTCTCTATCCGCCAACTCGACCCCCACGCTGAAAAAGCTTCACTTCAGAGAAGACGCAGCGTACGGAATCGCGAGTCCACCACGTGAGCCAGCTGCTCACGCGAGGAGCCGCCCAGACGTAATGGTGCCTATGATGGGAGACACGGAACAGCTATCTGGCAGACTTGGACCGAGAAGGAGTAAGCTTGTCAATACAGATGCAGTCATCCTTTATTTCTACTTCGTGCGCTAAACGAGCTGCAGTAGACACCCGCTACTTTTTGGTCAAATCGTCCAACACGACCAACGTTTATATGTCACGGAGAGATGTAAGTCGCCGTCGCCCAACTGCGGCGATACTATGGTTATGGTAATGCTAATTCCACCAGGGCCTATGGATAACACAAGCCAAAAACGGCCCCCTCTTTACACAGGCTTTCCGAGAATGCAGGTCCGTTGTGCTCTTCTTCTCGATTAACAAGTCCAAGGCATTCCAGGGATACGTGAGTCCACCCTCGTCGAGTTCAGCATTGAAAAGAAGGGATCCCCGAATGAATTCTAACCAGCAAGTCGTAGGCGAAAATGACGTCCGCCCCTGACCACAGCATCCCACACCCTCCGTGGATCGTGAGCACCACAAACGACATGCACACCACGGCCCCGTTCCGAATCGATTGGATCAACGAGGCAGAAACGCCCTTTTCACAACTCGGCGATCTCAAGAACCCGTACAACGAGTACAACCCCGTGTTTGTAGGCCGGGACGGCCAGGAATACTCCGAGGACTGCGGGCGTTTCATGATGGGCGTCATGGACCGCGTCAAGGCCGCGCAGGGGTCACACGCTCCCTGTGCCCCGACAGGTGCCCATGCCAGCAGGCAAAAGAGCAAGGCCGAGGCGAGGAGGCGCTATGCTGCGGCTGCTGGTCTGGCTTCTTCTGGGAGTCAGCCGCGTGATGTTGGGCTGGGAGGATCGAGGTGGAGGCCCCAGGCGCCCTCGCCAGTGTTCCTGAGCTTGGATTCCGAGCCGGTGCACCATGGAGAGGAGGATCTGCTGCTGGCCTTGCCCTGAGCCGCGTGCTCGTCGGAGAAATTGGACACCGCTTTGGTCGCAGACGACCATAAACGAGACCAAGTTCCCGTCTCTGTTTGGGAGCGCTATCAAAACACCTCTATTCCGAGCCGGCTGATGTATTAAGCTGCTATACCTGTCCTTGAACTGACGCGATATAATAAAGGGGGAAGCCATGAGAAGAAGGCTTTTGGGGAAAAAAGAGAGATACGGAGAGATAAACAAAGGTAAATCTGAAGGACCCAGGGTAGGGTTTGGACCGTGTGCGCATACAAACGAACTTTGGAAAGAAAAGAAGTTATTCCTATTCGTATGTATTCAAATGCCTCGTATACCAGATCCAATCGAAACGAAACTCCTGCTCCAGCACCCATTTCCAATACGCCATACTTCAGCAGCAGCACGATCTATTCTAGAATCTTACAAATAGACTGCCACAAACCATGATTCCAACACGCTTAATAATCTTCGTCTTCGGAATCACTATTATCGTGAACCCGAATAGCACGCCATCTCCTGTCAGTCAAATCCTGAGCTGCCGTGCCTTCACTTTCAGGGTCGACGTAACCGCTTCCGCCTGCCACGCTCAGCGCAACCGGTAAGAACACCAGAGCATGCAGGGCCGCAAAGACAACCAGCGCCAACCACACGCGGAAATAGTAAATTTCGAAAATCTTGGAGCGAGTAAATGCCAGCACGCAGACCCCTAGAAGTTTTGTGACGGTAATGCCAGAGAAGACAGACCCCCCTACATTGACGAGTGCCGTCCAGGATCTCGCGTCGCGCCCACGGAGAGTTGTGTTGTTACTTTCCATGACGGTTCTCGACGGGAACATGAAGGCACGTGCAATGTGCGCGCAAAACTCGACCGATATTCCCACGCAAATGATGAGATTGACCAAGGATACGGCGTTTAGAGAAACCCCAAATACTGCCATGGCTCCCATGATGTCAACCACACTCATGATTACGGTGACTGTGAGGACAGCCGAAGTGAGGGCGGATCCCAGAAGCACAGAGGCCACGACGAAGATAATGCCAACCAGGGCAGATAACAGACCGGCAGTGAGCGGGACAATGGAGAGGTACTGGTCAAAGAAGATGTAAAATACGCTGTATGGGAAGACCTCGGTCCCAGTTCTCCTGCTAATATCGGATGCAATGCGACGAGCCGAAGAGTATGCATTGATAAAGTCGGCCTGACTGCGAAGCGGTGTATGTGCCGTTCGGAAGTGGCTGGCCCTAACGCTCTTGTCGTCGTCAGAAATAACGACAGCATCGCCGTAGGCTGCCTGGCCTCCTAGGGGACAATCGTCGTCCGCAGGGGTGGCGAGAAACTTATGGAGGTAACGAATGAATTCCTCGTCCTCCGGCATCCCGTAGAGGCTGGTGTTCCATGCAGGGTTTCGTCCCGCAAAACACGTTTTGTGGTTCTCCACGCAGCATTGTTCATAAATAGGATTCAGCCACAGGAAGAAGTCGTCCATCCAGCTTGCGGTTGGAGATGAAATGTATGATACGTTAGGCCGTTGCCTTTCAAGTTCCAACGTATTCGTGAGCGAAAGCTCATGACAGGTAGTGAATCTTGAACAAACTTCCTGTTGCTCCTTCCTGTGTGATGCGTCGACATTGCGCGTGACAAAGTATACAGGTGGCCCGGTTTCCATATAGTCGTACAAGTCATTGAAATAGGGGATCAAATATGATCCATCGGGAATAGCTACTCGCTGGTCGAGTCCGATCTCTATCGTAGGTAGCAGGGCTAGGGCGGCCGCGAATAGGCCAAGGAAAACTGTGACGACGCCTATTTTGACCCTCTTTGTCAATAAACTAGGCGCATATGTATTCTTGATGAAGACCTGTAAAAAGCTTTCTTCTTCGATTTCGGAGACTCTTCCGCCTCCAACGTAGCCATTGCTGCCGTTCAGGTGAATTCTAGCCTTCTTAATCTGCCACCACGGCCACAGCTCACATCGGTGGTCCTCCACCCGCATTTGATTCAGTGACAGGAATGACACAAACATGGTCATTTGTAGGACGGCATTGACGAGCACTGCTCCAGCTGCGTAGGCGGCAAAGTTACGCACGGCAGGCATGCCTACCGCAGCGCCGAGGGCAAATGCAACGGTTTCGGTCAGGGCGGAAAACAGAATAGATGGGCCCATACGGCCAAGTGCTCTCGCAACGCGTTCTTCGACCATCTGATCGGGGCAGCTCATATTGACTCTTTCAAGCTCGTGGACAATGAGGAAGATGTTGTCTACACCGACGGCTAAAACGATGAACGGAATGACCTCGACGATGATCAATGTTGCCTTTAGCCCGACCCAGGAGAAGAAGCCGATCGACGCCGTGATCGACATGAGGACAATGATTATTCCCAGCAAACCGAGTGTTACCTTTGACTCAACAAGTAATAGCGCCGGATTTCTAAATATATGCTTGAAGGGTGTGCCAAGCGCCATGCAAGCGTATATAAACATGACAATGTAGCTGACTACTACAATCTTGGCATCAGTATTCGTTGATTTGTTCAGTTCTTCCTCTAGACTGATTTCAGTGTTGAAGGACAATCGCAAGCCCCTGTCTTGCGCTTCTTTTTGGGCCTCTAGCAAGCGGTCTCGGAGTGCATTTTCCCAATCAACGGCCGCCAGTTGGGCAAAGCTGCCTTCCTCTGCATTCCGAACGACCCAAGTAGCCGTGATCGCTTGTGCCTCGGTCACATCATCTTCGTAACCCCCAAATACCATGCTGGGCTCGATAGGCTGGCCAAATTCGGGTCGGCAGTCGACAGGGGATTTGGCGCATTGGCGAAGATCGTCTTTCCAAGTCTTGGGGTTAATCACGCCACCCTTGGCAAACCAGTAACCAGTAACTGACTGGACGACACAGGCATCATTCATCGGCTTGAAGCAAACATCGTGGAGGAACTTTGCATATGTCTTGCTCTCTAGCTGCGCAATGCTTTTTTCAACCTCTGCCCACCATTTGAGAGTTTCATAGCTGAGCACTGGTCCCGGCCCACTAGGTTGCGTGTCATTCACCAGGAAGATCTTTTCGGCGCGGTAGAAGGGCCCAAAGTGGGAATCAAAGTATGCCTTTTCCTGGGCAGCTGGCGAAGATGGACTGACCCAAAGTCTTGCTGGCTCTTTTTCCAGGTCAAATTTGAACCATCCAGCGCTTAGGATCGCCACAACCAAGAGACTCGTGCCGATGGTGAGGCCAGGGAAACGGGATGCAGTATGGCCGAGCCTGTAGAACAAATCGTCACACCTGTCATTGATCCAGTACCGCTTCGTAGGGCGATCTCTCATGGCCTCTGTCAAAACCGGCCCACCTTCATCTTCATCATCGCTGTGAGAGGACTCGTGCAGTAGTCTTGTTCTTTCCACTCGATGCTGCGCATAGCGTCTCCAGGCAACATGGCCAAATACGGAGGCGGCAAAGGTAAAGAGAAGCACGGAATAGGTGAAGATGGACGCAAAGGAGAGACAAGGCAGAGCGCCCACATGACATGATCCGGACTTCCTCACGGCCGGCAACTCGGGACATACGGCAGGACAGTCGACGCAGACGCACCTGTAGTCAGGATCTTCGTCGTTGCACTTCTTTGACGTCATATCCAACGGGCCCATGTTCGGTTGCTCGTAAGATTCGGGGTAATTGATTTGGAAGGGTGATCCGACCAGCGGTTTCTTGTCACCCAAGAACTTGAGCATTTGGTGGTAATCTTTGGCACCGCCTCCAATCAAGTCCATGGCACGGCTGTTTGCGCCACCAAACTTGACTTCCTTACAACTATCATACAGGCCAGTGCCATACTCCTCGGATATAAGTTGGTCGAGCTCAGTCACGAGTAACTTGCCGTTCTTGGGGGCAGCATCGGTGACATTAACAAACAGGGACTGATCAGGCGAGCATGTGAATTTGCAAAACATGTTGAAGAAGTTGTGTTTGCAGGCAGGACATGATCCAATGAGTGTGTTGGGGGTGCCGAGTTCGGACTTGAGAGATTGAACCTGGCACAAAGTCAGCCATCTTGAGGCTTTCTGGACATCTCAATCGGGTGAAGTTTTACCTGTTCCAGCGTGCAACACACTGGTCCTTGGTTCCATTCGGCTCCACAGAGGTCAACAAGCTCCTTTCGCAGTTCTGCATCGGGATCTTTGGCCACATCATTGTCGACACAGGGCAGCTCCTTGCCGAAGAAACTTTGCTTGCCACACTGGCCTCGGAAAGCGCACCGACCAGCTTCGTGTTTGGGTGTCAAGGGAGAAGCATTCGCGCTGGCTAGAGCAGCGATGATGGCTGGCGCCGCTCCCAGAAGTGTTGCGACCTGGTGACGCATCTCGGGATACTGGGCGGGCCTTGTCGGCCGCAGCGGAGAAGCGCGGCTGGCAAATGGCTGGGGGCTTGTCGGGTATCACTATTAGTCGTCGTAAGGTACGTTAAGGACAAGATGACGAGAAAGTGCGTAGACGTGATGAATAAGTCGATATTTGCTAGAGTTTTGCGTACGGATGCCGGGTCGTAAAGAAGCAAGTTTGGTGGCGTGCGAGGCGCTGGCGGGTGTTGGGGAAGGTGCGACCCAGGCACTTGGCACAAGCGCTTGCACCAGGCTTGTCGTCAAAGCTGCCAGTGCGCCAGTGCTGCCGCTGACGCATGGGAGGCGGTTGGGGTAACTGGGGGCGGGAGCCCTTGAAGCTGTCCCTGACGTCGCACTGTCGGGGCTCTGGAAGCTCCGGGACCCACTTGACTCCTGGCCTCTGCGGCAGGTGCCTGCCCTTTTGTCTCTCATGACGCATTATTGATGATCATTGATGCATCCGGTCAAGAGCCGTCATCGTCTGTTGATGAGAAGAGTCCGTTTTACGAGGCTTGACAAACTGCTTTGTGAAACCAACAGTTTAGAACTGGCATTCCGTGACACGCGTGCTCACACCATGTTGCCCGCTTGCCCGGTACACTATCGAGGTCATCGCAGGCCATACTTTATCCTATCGTCTTCCTACAAGGATTCTCCGCGGCGCAAACCATCCGCCTGCAAAATCCGGCGTTTAACGACTAGGTGGTTGGGCATTCTTCATATCTGTCTTTTATATCACTGTCTCGGTACATAATTGCGCCGTATATTCGAGTCTAGGGCTGCTCCCGTATGTATCTGCGCGACCGAATTATCTCGTTTGTCCTTCTCCACACGTGATTCCATACGGAGTAAAACTAGTTTGGGCCCAATTTCGACCACCTGTTTGTCACGAATCACAGCCCCCAAATCAAGCTTCATATGTCTTCTCATCGACGCACCCACAATGTGTGTGAAATCTTTTGTTTGAGCAAACCATCCCTTCCTTCCCTTTCCGACTTTCTGAGAAGTACGTCTTCACATTTTTGTCTTTCGTCTTGGATAATGCCTGCTCCTCGGACTCGCTACACTTCCCAACATCTTCCTACCTTCTGTGTGAAAAGAATTGCATGACAGCCACGTTATGGCCACTGAAAACGAACCTGAGCTTTTACAAAACTTGGTGGTGAGTAAAGGCTATCATCACGGCAATGTGTCTCCAATGTCCTCATTTGATTCCATGTCGGTGTTTCATCCGTCCTTCCCCCGGGGTTTTGTCGTCTGTTAATTTTCTGCGTCTTCTGTACCTAAAAGAATATTCGCAGGACTCATTCCACACACTTCTCGACGAAGCTCTCATTGTGGCTATAGCAAGCGACTACAACCTCAAGAGTCCATCTGCTTATAAACAGGCGCAAGCTACTCTACAAGACTTGGCGAAAAGTGTTCCCTCGGAGGAGGCCTCTGGCTTCAATCCCAGCGGTATCCCCCAAGGACCTGAAGGAGAGGCGCAACTTGTTCAAGATGAGCCGACAGCAACGTCAACGACCAGCGCAAGTCGTCGGACATCGCAGGCCCACATCACAGACAAGTCAAGCACAGATAATTCATCATGTGTGCCAGATTCGCCGAGTCTTATGCCTCGGTTGACAACATTCAACCAAGACAGCGAAGAGGATAAGCTCCTCTTGTTACAGAGCATGTTTGCCGATCTGAAGCAATTTGACATTCAGTATGCGCTAAAAAAGGCCAATGGGGAATTTCAGACTGCGCTGGATGATCTCCTGAATGTGCAGTATTTACAGTCTACCGGTCAACAGATAAAGGGTATCGATGGGTTCTTTGAACTAGAAAATGGCAGGAGTAAGGGCAGGAAGAAAAAAAAGGGAAAGAAAAAGGTCGCATCAGATGCAGATCAGTCAAGTGATGGTACATCATCTCCTAGCATTGCCAGCGAAACACAAAGTGAGTGTGTGGTCAATTTCACCTCCCTTTTGGGAACATTTCTAATTCCGTCCAAGGCCAGGATGAAATCGAGTACGTAGCTGAGAGATTCGGCATTCGATCCGATCAAGTATCCCCCATCTACTACAAACTCCAGTGCTCCAAAGGCGCTACTGTCGTCGAGCTCCTCAACCAGTACATCTCCCATGGCATCGAAACCCAAGATGAAAGCGGCAAAGAAAGTGCCGAGCGCCTAGCGCAAAATTATCGGCACGTCCCTGAAAAGTACATGCCTACCATTGTCCATGTTGCCGGATCTATTCCCCAGTTCGCAGACGACATCGCCGCTCTTCTCAACAAGTATTTCTCAAGGCAACCCAAAGCCAAAAAGATGGATCTTTCGTATCGCCTCACGCCCCTCCCGCAGGAGGACATCGAAGGCGGAGATGTGATAGTTTCCCCTCGTCCGGGCGCCAAGCCGGCAGTTGGACTGGTTGCAAAGCCATCGCCCATAAGTGATATGAACTATGAAGAAGCCATGAGCCGAGCAAACACGTTTCACCAGGCGCGCCGCGATGCCGCAGCGTCTGCGGCGCAAATGCATCGCCGGGGTGCATCTAGTCCGCTTTTCAGACAGGCAGCCAGCTATTACTCCGACCGGGCTCGGGAACAGGGCCGATACGCCCAGAGTGCCACATCCACAGCTGCCGATATTCTCGTTGACCAACGAAGCACGGCTTCCTCCATCGACCTACACGGTGTTTTAGTACAAGATGGAGTGAGAATCTCGCGGCAAAGGGTCCAAGAGTGGTGGGGTGGATTGGGAGAAATGAGAGCAAAAAAGCTGAGAGAAGACGGCGGTTTTACCGTGATTACTGGTCTAGGCCGCCATAGTGCCAGTGGCGTGTCACAGATGCGGCAGGCTGTCGCAGCGGCCTTGCTGCAGGATGGATGGAAGCTGAGCGTCGAGACGGGGAGGTTCGTGGTTACCGGGCGAAGATAGTGCATGGCGAGGGAAGACACCATACCAGGATATGTACGAAGGCATGAAGTGGATGAATCATGATAGGAATTCCATTGTACAGGAATATGAGAACATAGTTGATAGTCTATAGATATGTTTGTCTAGACATGGAAAGCAGGGAGAGAAGATTAAACCCATGCTCGTATGATTTCGAAATGCAATGTCTATCCCGTCTATTATTTTTCTTCCCCGCCATTCGCAAACATCTCAAGCACGTCCTTTGTCAATAGCCTGACCGCACCTCTCCCACACAGCGTACCCCGTGAAAATGGTGCTGAAAAGCATGGCAACCCATACCACGCCCGCATCAATATCCGCCAAACCAGTAGCCCAGGCCGGAATCGCAATATCAAGCAAATCAGCGAGTAACTTCCTCGTCAGGCCCCCAATCTTCCGGCCCGCCTCTTTGGACGCCGCCTCCCTCTCTTGCCTCCGTTTCTCAGCGGCCGCCTGGGCCTTGTTCTCGCCGCCTTTGCCAGTCTTCTTCTTCTCATGCTCGGGGGCGCCGAAGCCGCTCCCCGTCTCGGGCACAGCGCGATGAGCATAAGACTTGAGGATTTTGACGCCGGTACATAGTGCGGAGCAAGCCAGCGCCGCAAGCCACACAGACTTGGACTGGTCATCGATTCTAACGGCTTCAGCGAGCCCGAAGACGGACAGGCCCTTGACTTGCAACAGATCGGGCAGCGTGACAGACTCCATCAAGCCGAAGAGTCCGAAGAGGCTGTCGGCGAGGATGGCGAGCCAGGTCTCGATGCTCTTCTCGGGAGCTACGTAGGCGTTCCAGCTGGTTTGGAAGCTGCCGAGGCACCAGAATAGACGGACGGCGCGGCGGGTCATGTTGAGATGGTTGGAGAGTTGGCCCATTGCCAGCGCACTCGTCTTGTGGACGGCGGAAGGCTGATGGGAGAGAAGCATGGGTATCAGGGCCGGGTAGGCCGTGAGAATGGAAAAGACGGATTGGATGAAGCGCATGATGCGCTCGAGACCGACTGCGACATGTTAATTCCCTCTACTGAGATGATGTGGACTGGTTTGCACGTTGGGGGTAACAATAAGACCAGGGGATGTGTGTCCTGAGCAATGTAAAAGAAAGAGAGCTCCAGATGGAAGCCATCCGCATGAGTCTTGCCATGAACATCTCAGGACACATATATATATATGCATTGAAGCTACGGGATGGGGAAAGGCGGTGGATGGTGATGAGGGAAGAGAGGTCTTCATACCGATGTCGGTCCCGAAGGCGACGAACTGTTCAAAGTATCCCGCCATTGCGATGTTTCCGGGATACCCGGAGTCCCGGACGAGCTCAGCTGTTGGAAAGAGTACCAACTAAAGGCGGCCTTGCTGCGGGAATACACAGCAAGTGGTTAGGTCAATATGATTGACGCGTTTTCAAGAGAGGTTAAGGTTGAGGATCATGCTTGAGCGATGTCTAGTGCATGGATAATAAGTGATTGATGACAAAAGATATATGTATAGGGGGAACTACTAACACACAAAGTATGTGCCCATTTTTTGGTGCAATAATTCATTAATGACGGCCCCTGAGCCATGTGGAGCCGAGCAGCGCCGCATCATCATCGGCACATTTTCCGGCAATTTGATGCAAGTCAATATATCAACAAGCATCACAACGCGATTAATGAATATCATGATGCACTATATGTACACGTGTCATAATTTGCTAAATATCAATCAAGTTAATAATGTATCGTGGCGTGCGGTGGTGAAGGTTATCTCGTGATAGCCACGAACACGGATTACGTGAAGGTATACGTGAAGGTAACCGTAAATGTCACGGTTGAGCTAGAGCCCGACCTAACAGTTATCGCGGAGCCGAAAATGTCTGGTGCCTGTACAGATGCAGTCTGGTGCCAATTGAGTGAGCTGCGAGCAATTGGCCCGGCTGCCTGTGCTCACTGCTGACTGATACTCATGATGGCCCGCTGGGCTAGACCATGACGAAAAACTCAGAATACGTAGGCATACTATATATTCATGAGGTTTACGCTCGTTAGCATTTGACGAGTCCCTCAATTCTTGTCATCTCTCCATGACCTTTATCTCTTCTACTATCAACATTGAAGATCGACCCTGAGTACACAACATCTCGTGTCCTCTCCACTATAAAGCTCCCCGAAGCACTATAGCCACTCACTTACTAATAACATCAGCCACAACAGTCAAACTAAACTTGGAAGACTAGACATCAATAACTTGACCACAAGACCAACACGCTACCTAATAATACCCATTACAACCAAGTCACCTGTTACAATATTCAAGGAGGTGTCAGCAGCGAAAACCTCTACAATAAAAGAGAAGCCAGCTTGAAAGCGGAAAATCCTGATTCGAAGGAAATCAATCATTTATCAACTTGTTCCTCGACGTCAATAGCACCAAGTGCAGGCACTAGATAAAGTGGGCCTTGGACCAGTTGACCCCTCATGCCCCTCCGGCCCCAAATCGGAGCTGCCCCATAAAAATTTTTGAGATTCGAATTACGACTCACCTTTGTCCAAGTCTTCTCACGACATATCCAATTCTGGCCAACACGCACTCCCTCATAGCTTACAATGAGCCCAAAAACTCCTGTTGTTGGCCTCCTCGGGGGCGGGCAGCTAGGGAGAATGCTTTGCGAGAGCGGGGCCCCTCTTGATGCTCAGATTGCCGTTCTCGACGCCGAAAATTGCCCGGCCAAGCAAATCAACAACAATCGCCATCATGTCACCGGTTCATTCAAAGATCCTGTCAAGATCAAAGAACTCGCTGCCAACTGCGACATTCTCACGGTTGAGATTGAGCACATTGAGACTGAGGTTCTCGAGGAAATTGACACCAATGGCGTACAAGTTCGCAACGCTGATGGGACCACGACAAACAAAAAGGTCGCCATTCACCCCTCCTGGAGGACTCTTCGTCTTGTTCAGAACAAGTACGAACAAAAGGAGTATTTAAAAAACCAAGGAATCCCAATCGCTGAACAAATGGCAATTGAATCTGGCGACGCCATGCTTGCTTCGATGGGGGAAGCCTCCGAAAAGTTTGGCTTTCCCTGGATGCTGAAAGCCCGAAAGGACTCCTATGACGGCAGGGGAAACTTCAAAATCTCCAACCAAAAAGATCTAGAGCAGGCAGTCAAGGAATTCGGCAATTTATCATGTTATGCCGAGAAATGGGTCCCATTTGAGCTGGAACTAGCCGTCATGGTCATCCGAACAGAAGATGATAGCGGCAAGATGAAGCGTGTTGTTCCTTATCCTGTTGTCGAGACGGTCCACGAGGATAACATCTGTTCAAAGGTCTTCATGCCCCCGCGAAATGTATCCGAGAATGTGTGCAAAAAGGCGCAAAAGGTTGCGACATCTGTGGTCGAGAAGCTTTGGGGCAGAGGTGTCTTTGCCGTCGAGATGTTTTTGACAAAGGAAGGTGATATAATCTTCAACGAGTGTGCCCCTCGACCCCATAATAGCGGCCATGCCTCCATCGAGTCTGTCCCGTACATGTAAGTGAACCCACTTGTAGCAGCTTGGAATCGCAACTCACTTGCAATAGGTCCCAGTTCAAGGCTCAGCTGACTGCCATCCTCGATGAGCCCCTTCCCGAAGTTTTAGAACCACACGTCTCGTCCAGCATTATGATCAATATTCTGGGCGGCGCTGACCCAGACTCTCACCTGCCTCTTGTCGAGAAAGCCAAGTCCATGTATGGCAGCAGGACAGCCGTCTATGTGCACCTCTACGGCAAAGAGTCCAAGCCCAGCCGCAAGATTGGACACATTACGGTCACTGGTTTCGGTTCAATTAAGGATTTGGAGGCGTTTGCTCAGCCATTGCTCAAAATGGTAGACGCCATTCGCCAGGAACGACTTCAGGCATCAAGCAAAGCATTACGTGTTCAAGCTGCTCCTACCCCGGGCAACCCAAAGGTAGCCAAGGGAAATCCTCTTGTCTTGGTGACCATGGGCTCAGATTCCGACCTTCCCGTGCTCAAGGCTGGTATAGACATCCTAAATCAGTTTGGCGTTCCCTGGGAAGTTGATATTACCTCCGCACACCGAACGCCTGCCAAGATGGCGCAGGTTGCCATCGATGCGGCAGATCGCGGGATTAAGGTGATCATCGCAGCGGCTGGCGGTGCAGCTCATTTACCCGGCATGTTGGCAGCGTACACACCTCTGCCTGTCATTGGTGTGCCAGTCAAGGCTACGCACCTGGATGGATTGGACTCCCTTCTCAGCATTGTCCAGATGCCGGTATGTAACATTTGATCCTCCTTCTCTTGTATGCATTTATCGACAACAGCCTGGTCGCTGACACTTCAAAGCGCGGTGTGCCCACTGCAACCGTGGCAATCAACAATTCCACTAATGCTGCCTTGCTCGCCATCCGATTTCTTGGCGCCTTTATCCCAGATCTACTGGAAAAGATGAAGAAGTACCAGCTGGAGATGGAGCATCAGGTCAAAGACAAGGCCACCACGTTGAGGGATATTGATGTGGATGCATATCTGGCAAAGATGGGCAAAAAATAAGGATTGTACATATGTGGCGAATATGTTTGCATTTGGAAGCACACAGTCCTCGACAAAGATATTCCCGTCCTTCATTCGACGCAAAAGATATGTCAACGCCATGCTTTGCACCTCAGGGCTCGAAGATGAGAAGCCACTACGAATGGATGAACTCGGCTGCCGGACTTGAATCCCGTGGCAGGCCTCGAGGCAAGCAGTTTTGTCGTATTGCGCGACTTTCCACATGCGGTCAACTCAACTCGCGACGGGCAATTCAAGTTCTGTGTCGTTCGTACCTACAGCCGATGTTGGATTCACAGAACAGGCCACACCTTGAATCAGAAAGTCAACCTTTGAAGGCTGAATTTGACATTTCAACCGTGACCTAGACGATGGTGCCTACACTACGGGGTAACCGACTATCCATTCCTATTGCATGACGGTAATGGCGTCACTACAAGACTACGTGGCCTCACCCGAAAAAGCGAGTTATATCAATCCTGGACTGAAATTCAAACATGTAGCTCCAGAATAGAACAGGCATACTTATCGGGGTAGGTAGACAGAATGATACACCAGCCGCATACATCAGGACCTTTATCAGTTTGGCACATCAACCCCTCAGAGCGAATTTCTCACATCTTCAAAGCAAAGCCCTCATCAATAACAAATTCCCTCCTCCCAACATCATCCCCCCTCGCAAACGCAACCCACAAACTCTTCACTTCATCCCCAACTCTCTCCACGACCTCGTGCACGCCATTGCCCTTCATCATCGGCGCGTCTTTCCAGCTGGCCCAAGTCCCCAGCAAGAACGGCATATCCACTGTGTGCGCTGCTCCCCAAGGGCTCTGGTCAGGCGTAATGTTGAACTCGTAAAACCAGGGCTGCTCCACTGGCTGGGCACCTTTGATCTTTTGATATAGCTCGTTGGACTCAGTTTTAAACCAAGCTTTGCCGATATACTCGGCGGGTGACGATTCCATCTCTGCCGGCCGTACCAAGGGGTCCATGTTGTTGAAGAGCGGTACAAACGCAGTTCCTTCGTCTTTGGTATACCCTATGAAGATGGGTACACGTCGAATCGCTTCGTCCAGCCGCTTGTCAAATGTCTCTGCATCTGGCAGCGGATCATGATTCATTATGGGGCCAAACGACAAGCCAGCCGTAGCAAACGACAACCCCTTCATCGCCAGCTGGCCCTGGATCGTCAGCAATTCCTCCACAGAGGCAGCCCCGGGATCCCCGGGCACCAGCTCTGAAGCCAGACTCTCCAAAGCATCCAGCATCTCTCGCCGATCCGATAATCGCGCCCCCAAAGGCGTACTCTGCATGACGGCCCTTTGGAACAGCCCCTCTGCCCCATTCGCCCCCATCAGACAGTATATAGAATCCGCGCCGGCTGACTCTCCGAATACACAGACCCTCTTTGGGTCGCCTCCGAAGGATTCGATATTCCCCTGAACCCATTTCAAGGCGGCTATCTGATCCATCAGCCCCAGGTTGGCGGGCGCTCTCCCGCCGATGGGTTGGTAACCCAATATCCCCAGGCGATACGTGATGTTCACCACCACAACGCCCTTCTTTGCGAGTCCCGCGCCGGAGTAGCAGTCGAGATCTCCTGCGCCAGAGGAATACCCTCCTCCGTGGATGAATACCATTACCGGCAGAGACGGCGATGGGTTCGACGCCGGCGCGAATACGCTGACGCGAAGACAGTCTTCCGACATGGCTCGGCCTTGGGCAATGGGGCCGTTGAGTGCGTCCAGACGGGATTTTAGTTGCGGGCATATAGGACCCGGTTGGGTGAAGTCCTTGACCGAGGACCAATCTGCCATCGGCTGAGGCGGTTGGAAACGCTCGGCTTGCGCGTAGGGAATGCCGCGCGCTACGAGGATGTTGTCATTTTTCAAGACGGTAATTTTGCCGTTTGCCAGTTGGAGTGTGATTTTCGATGCGTCTGCCATGGCGTAGGAGTGGTGGCTATCCCCGAGTGTCTGAAGGATGAGGTGTTGTTGCACAAAGTCGATTCAACATGACCAGTTGAAGAGTCGGCGGATATGCATATATATATGCCAAGTACCTACTTGGGCAGGTAGTCAACGTCGGCCAAAAAAGCCCCAAGAACCCCAAAGAAGAAATCTTGACGTCAAAGATGTGCATATTATCTATCGGCACAACTTTCCAACACACGCGGTAGAGACATCCTCCGTCCCTTCCGGTCATCGGGATGATCCGTCACTGGTCGCCACAATGGAGAGGCTACGGAAGCCTTTCCTGTTTGGCATTGGCAAACATCGGCCGTGTAACCTCGTAATGATGCCGCCGCTTCAGAACGTGAAACGACAAATAAGCGCACGGCGATCGGGACTTTGGACCGGGAAGCGCGAGGTCCGATTGTCCGATGTTGTCGGCGTATCGGAGCACACTAACCATCACCCAAGAATCGTTCAACAGGATGAGACGTGATTGATAAACATCAACGATACAGTAGCATTTAGAACATAGTAAATACAACTCCAGCGACATCTGCTACGTTTTGCAGTGCATGCCGGATGTAGGTATGGGGCTCCCAACCATAAATTCTTGCGGCGCTCCGAAGCATCCAACTCTCTTCTCTTCCTCCATCCACAGCCGTCCCCTCCGTCTAGTCTAGATGGACAAAGTACGCTTTATAATTACTGGCCAGGGGAAACAAGCTTGCCTTGTGACCTCGTGTTGGCCTCCCATCCACCAGCCAGAGCTGCACCGCCGTTCTCCTGAGCAAACTTCTGCATTCTAGCCTCCAGCTCGGGTCGGAAGTGGCGGATAAGACCCTGGATTGGCCAGGCGAAAGCCTCTCCCAAAGCTATGCGTTATTTCAAGTCAGTCTCGCAATTGGCTTTCGTACTGGTTCGGAATAAGAGTGTTTGTGCTTACCGCAAATGGTGTGGCCCTCAACCTGCTTCGTCAACTCCTGAAGCATATCGATTTCCCGCTCCCGTCCCTGACCACGCTCGAAACGAGACATGATCTGCTCAGTCCATTTGCTGCCCTCGCGGCAGGGAGTGCACTGGCCGCAGCTCTCGTGTCGGTAGAAGTGGCTAAGTCGGGAAATGGCACGGACAACGTCGGTGCTCTTGTCCATGACGATGACAGCAGCAGTTCCAAGACCAGACTGGCTATCCTTGAGAGCATCAAAGTCCATGAGCTGGTCGTCGCAGATGTTCTTGGGCAAAATGGGCGTCGATGAACCACCAGGGATAATAGCCAAGAGGTTGTCCCAGCCACCACGGACACCACCGCAGTGCTTGTCAATGAGTTCACGCAGGGGAATGGACATCTCTTCTTCAACTGTGCAAGGGTTGTTGACGTGGCCAGAGATACAGTACAATTTGGTGCCTTGGTTGCGCTCACGACCGAAGCCAGCAAACCAGCTTCCTCCACGGCGACAAATGGTAGGGGCAACGGCAACAGTCTCGACGTTGGCGACGGTTGATGGACATCCGAACAGACCGACGGCGGCAGGGAACGGGGGCTTGAGGCGAGGTTTGCCAGGCTTGCCCTCGAGGGACTCAATCAAGGATGTCTCCTCGCCGCAAACGTAGGCACCGCCACCACGGTGGATGAATACGTCAAAGTCGTAGCCGGAGCCGCAGGCATTCTTTCCGATCAACCCGTCTTTGTAGGCCTCATTGATGGCGTTCTGCAAGACGGCAGCTTCGTAGACGAATTCACCTCGAATATAAATGTAGGCAGCGGTCGCGTTCATGGCTCGGCCGGCGACAAGGCAGCCTTCGACAAGTTTGTGGGGGTCCTTTCGCATGATTTCGCGGTCCTTGCAGGTTCCGGGTTCACCCTCATCAGCGTTGACAACCAGGTATCGGGGTTTGGTGTCCTTGTCCCAATCCTTGGAGTTCATAAAAGACTATATATTTTGAAAAGAAAGAGGCAATCGGGTTAGAATTCAGGCGTCTCACAGTGTCCCTGGGGCAAAGTTGACAAGAGAAACATACCCACTTGAGACCAGACGGGAAGCCGGCACCACCGCGGCCTCGTAGGCCAGAGGCCTTGACCTCGTTGATGATCCAGTCGTGGCCCTTGAGTATAATTTCCTTCGTTTTATGCCAGTCGCCCATCTTTTTCGCGCTCTTGAGGTCCGGCGGGAATCGGCCGTAGAGATTCTGGAAAATACGATCTTGGTCCTTGAGACCTCCGTACGTGCGCTTGGGGGTTCCATCCTGCACTGTGGCGAGGCCCCTCGCGGCGTTCCGCGAGAGACTCACGGCCTTGCTTGGCGCCGCTCTCGAGGACAGCATTATGTCGTTGTCCGGTTGGGCGGCGGGTTGGGGGTGGTGATGAGGTCGTGGATGTGTCGTGAAGATGCTGTGCGGTACTTGGCGGCGAGATTTGTCCAATGTCAGCGTCAGAATTGCGGGCAATCTGGTTGGCCAATGCTAGGTGTGGGTTATACCGCCCGCATTGTTAGCCGCTACGTAATGTACCTCCTAGATAAAGACGGACGCAAAGTACTCTCCATCACAGCATCTGGTCATAGAAGGCCCCACAGTGTCCCCGTTTCTCCTTCCCAACCGATGCGAGCTAATATTGAGTGGCAAAGAAGTTGGTCTCCAATCGTGGAGCTCTATGCAACCTTGTCCCGAAACGCCATCGTACCGGACAGTTTGCGTGCATACCAAGGGCGAGATTTTGGGCCCTTCCTCAAGAATTATGAGCCTTGCGGCAACCATTGCTAAAGGCATAGGGCCATAAATTTTCCAGGTTGCTCATTTCATCATTAGCTTACCATGTCGAGCAAGAGACACTCAATTCTCCCGGCCATTGACCGCAGTGGTCCAAAGCCACCCGTTAATTTCTCGTCGTCGCTCACCATCTCCGAGAATGCTATTCTACAAGGCACACATTCCATTACGATGCAGTCAGAAACTGTAGTTCATCCTCGGTCACGGTTCGAATCCAATCTCGGCAGCATACTCATAGGACGACGGTGTATCATCCACGAACGAGCTTACATCGGAGCGCGTCCTGCCGATTTAGATACCGCCAAGCCAGGAGGCGTTGCACTGGGAGACTACGTTGTCGTTGAGGTTGGAACAGTCATTGAGGCAGGCGATACCGAAATTGGCGAGGGGACTACCTTGCAAGTCGGGTGCAAGATTGGCAGCGGCGCCAAAATCGGAAGACACTGCACAATCTCCCAAAAGTCGGTTATCCCTCCGGGTGAACATCTGCCTGATTACACCGTGGTTTACTCAGATGGCTTACGCCGATTGGATAGCCGCGGTGTCACGGACATGCGGAAACTTGGACTGGTTAAGCAAATTGCTGTTCTAAAGAAAATGATACCCAGCAACCCGGACAAGTTCAAGTGATGCAACGAGCAAACCTCGACATGCGATATTTACCACATCCAATTTGTACCATCAATACGCTAGATTACATATATGCGCGGAGGCTTAGTGATTCATGGCGTCTTCGAAGAGTCTGCGGAGCTGTTCCTTCTCAGTTTGCAGTTCCTTATCTAATCCTGGAGCCAACATGAGTACGCGAGCCTGCGGAATGGTGCCTTCGACAAGGGCGTCAATGTGCTGGCTGCCAAAGCCAAGCTCTTTGAGACCTGCGGGCTGGTCACCTAGGTCTGCAAGGAACTTGGTCAATGCCTCTGCCAACACCTCACCAGCACTTTCCAGCTTCACATTAGATGTGTCAACGCCAAAAGCCTCAGCAGCTTCGAGATGTCTCTGGGGATTTGAAGCAGCAGTGAATCGGAAGACAGCGGGAGCAGAAACAGCGACGGAGACGCCGTGGGGAATCAAGGGTGCCGGCACGTCGTAGCCGGCGTGTTTATATCCAGGGTTCTGTCCAGAGATGGGATAAGACATGCCTAGGTAAAAATATCAGTCTAAAGCCCCTGCTACTATTGCAGCGTGACAATGGGGTCGGTTTGACGTACCGTGACACAAGTGAACGCCCGCGTTTCCAAAGCCGACGCCAGCAAGAGTGGCCGCAAGGAGCATCTCGCTCTGCGCCTCAAAGTCATCGGGATCCTTGACAGCTCGAGGCAGGTACTTGACCGTGCGGCGAAGAGCATGGAAGGAGAAGACATCCGATATGGGATTGGCACCCTGATAAGCCGGTCTCATAATTGGGTTTGGTGGACGGGGGGTGCGCTCATTGTAAGGAATGGCCGTCCAAGACTCCAAAGAGTGGCAGAGCACGTCCAGTCCGGAGCTGGCCTTGACAGCAGCAGGCATGGTACGTGTATTGATGGGGTCACATATTCCCAGCGTAGGCTTCAAGTTTCTGTGAGCGACACCAGTCTTGGCTCGCTTGGACACAAGGTCAAAGATGGCTGTGCCAGTGGTCTCACTTCCAGTCCCCGCAGTGGTAGGAACAGCAATAAGCGGGCAAAGAGGTTTGTCGATAGGTCGGCCCTTTCCGAGGGGAGCATTAACAAAGTCCAAAAAGTCAGCGTCGGGGTAGTTCAAGTACAGATTCATTAACTTGGCCGTATCCATGACCGACCCGCCGCCGACGGCCAGGAAGGCGTCTGGCTGGTACGGACGAACCCATTCGATAGCTTCCTTGATTCTGTACACCGAGTCAGCCTCGCATTATGATATCTCAACAGCACACAACCAGTCACACTGCCGACTTACGAGCTGTCTTTCGGCTCGATTCTCACATTGGAGAAGACCTCAAAGCTGATGCCCTCTCTTGTCAACCCCTCCCTCACCTGCCTCATGGCGTCCAACTTGTCCACAGTAGGATCCGTGACAACACACACCTTCTTCGCGCCCATGTTTTTGAAATCCATGCCGACTTCCTGGGTTACACCCGGGCCAAAGCGGATGGATGAAGCCGCCATCTCAAAGGCATATTCCTTCAACCCTTGGTTGACGGATGTGGGGGTAGCATATTGCCGACGACCTGCCTCCCTCGCACGGGGCACAATAGACGGAGGGGCTTTGTGATAACCTGGGTTGGAGTGGCAGGGACATGAAGGCGGGTGTGTATATTGAATCGTACGAAGGAGGCTCGTTGCCCGCTTCGCAGCCTATTCCATGTACATGTTTGTAAGTCATCATGAGTTCACGTTGTCTGCGTTTGGAGGAGGAGGATGGCTTACGTTAGGAATCACACGGACGGGTGCGACCATGGTGGTTTTCGTGCCGGGATTGATGTGTAAATGGTGCTCCCAGTCTCTTGGGTTGGGGAAGTATTGACAGGTGCAGACAGCCAAGGTGGTGTGAGATGGAGATGATGGTGTGGAGGGAATCCACCGGTGCGGAGTGGTTGAGCCTCGGGTATTGATTGATTGAGGCTGGTGAGCTGGTGAGTGACACGCGACCCGGCTGTGGGGGAAGCTTTTTTGAGTTTCACCCGGTGTTGAAACAGAAAAACCGGGGTCAATAATTTGCAGTGTCTTGCGTGGGGATGTGGATGGAATCATCACATTTGTACGGAGTACGGAGTACACGTCGAAGTAGTACTAACTCAATTGATGTGCTGTGTGCACCAAGTTACACGTCAACAGTAGTTGAGCTGGTCTGGAACACCACAGCAATCCAACGGCTTACCAGTCAGACAAGTCAACGACCGTCATGGCACACTTTCAGGTAGCATCATGCAATTCGCTGTCCTATGAGGCGGTCACCGTGTGTATTTAACTGACCACCTTGTCTCCGGCGTTTGAGGTGCCAATTCGGCACGACGCTTTTTGTCTATGCTTGCCCACTCTTGATCTGACTTGGACAGAGAACATTGAACAGACAGACAGTCCATCATGTCGTCGTCTGCTCGAGCTCGAATTAGACATGCCCTTCCTCAACTTTCACTGAGGAAATGGCCACCAGGGACGCTCAACTCCATCACGGACGTGCAAGGTGTTCTTGTTCACACAGAGTCTATTCATACAGATGATCAGAGTGTCAACAATAGGGTTACAACAATCCTGCCTCGGAAGAACTGGCACGAGCATGCAAGCTTTGCCAGCACGTTTCGCTTCAATGACTGTGGCGAGATGACAGGCACGCATTGGATCAATTAGACTGGTCTCCTCACATCGCCCATTATCCTGACGAATTCCACGTCGGTAGGAGATGGATACCGTGGCATCATGGAGCATGCGTATCGCAACTTCACCGATGAGAAGACCGGCGAGATGTTCATATTCCCCGTCGTCGCGGAAACGTTCGATGACTACTTCAATGACCAAAGCAAGTTTGCAGTGACGCCGGAGCACATTATTCGAGGCGTTAACAAGGCGACGGCAGAACGAGTGCCAGAGGGCAACACCGGAGGTGGAACGGCAATGTTATGCCATCGGTATAGGGGCGGCACGGGATCAAGCAGCAGAACGATCAATGGATACGATATAGGTGGTAATCCGGCAACGTATACCGTGGGAGTGTTGGTGCAATGAATTATGGCTGCCCCGAGAATCTCCACGTCGGCGGCATACCACTTGGCCGGATCCTCAAGGAACCGGAAATGGAAATCGCGTCTCTAAAGGATAGTAGTGATGGATCCAAGGAACCTCGCAAAGACGGCAGCATCATCATTATAGCAACAGATGCGCCTCTGGTCCCTATCCAGCTACAGAGGCTTGCAACACGCGCGACAGTCGGGCTAGGCAAGGTTGGCGCCTACGGGAGGGACATTTTCCTCGCCTGTTCAACCGCAAACAAGATTGCGTTCCAGGAGTTCTCAATGCAGGGACAGAGCGGGCCAGCCGTAGACCAGTATAAACCGTTTCCGAGAGCTATTCAGATGAGCGATAATGATTCAATCAACTGTCTGTTCGGGGCAGCTGCGGATGCCATCGAGGAGGCAATCTACAACAGAGTTTGTATGGCTGGGACAATGGCGGGAGTCAAGGGTAGAGCCGCCGAGGCAATAGATTTGGACAAAATGAAGGAAATCGTCGGCGCACGACTGGTTTGACGGGGTCGGAACCGTTGGAACCGTTGCATCATCACACCTGATACAGAGGCGTTTGAAGTTGAAGCCGGTGACGATGCTGATGGTGCTGGCACATAGTTTCGCACAGGCTGAGGGTTGACAATGTAAATCACCGCTTCTGCGGTCAAGTAGCTTTAAGCGTCCATGGGCCGATGTGATGGCGGCTGGGATGGATGGCTGTTGAGATGATGGCCCCTCACGGATGAAGCGACAAGGGAGATCCCAGTTGAAGTTCAATGTTGTTTTCTGGAGCTGGGCGGAAGGGGTCATCAGATGACGGCACTGGGAGGTACAGAGTACCTGAGTACTTGAGTTGACGTACCGAGCATTTCTAGAGTACCAACATTGAATGCTGGGCGTGGATGGACCAACCACAAGCCCGGAGCTGCACCCTCCCTGTCCCGCCCACCTCACCAGTTGACCAAGTTCCAGCCCCAGACAGCCAGCCCTCCTGATACTTGTCCTACCTCAATTTCTACCTCAATCCCAACCTCAACCTCGGCGACGGCTTTGACGTCTCCATATCGAATCTGCCGAACACGCCTGTCTGTCATAGTCTAAACCGTTGCTGCATCTCGAAGCTGCAGCGCGCAAGCACAGGCAGAGTCTCCGTCATAGCCCTGCTGATCTCCGTCACCCTCCCCCGTCTGCGTTTCCGTCAGATCGACGACCATGCTCTCGCCTCCTGTCTCCGTTGCCGACTCCCCTTCATGATCCCGCTCGACGACGCGCTTACAGATGGACCGCGGGAATGGAGCCGGCCCTGGCGCTACTGCCGCCTCGAGGGCGGAGCGATTCGAGGATGAAAAGCGCCGCATAATCGAAAGCTGCTTTAGCAAAAAGGACACTGATGGCTCCCGTAAGTGCTTGGCCCGATGCTGTTCCTGAAGCCGCTGGCGTCAAGGAGTTTGGGGTATGGGCTTGGCAATGCCACGACTGAGCTTCTGGCACACACGAGCCCTGCCTATCCAATTCACAGCCCAAAAGCCTCAGGCTTTGATATGTCAAATCAAATAATGGTAAACTAACCTCAGGGACACACTAGTTCTCGAGACCTACATCACCCACATCCGCACCATCGAATATTCCTCCCATCCGTCGACCCCCCCGCCACCGCAGGCTCGTACCCCCGAAGTCGAGAAAGCCAGAGTCATCATCGTGGCAGTACGCAAGTCGGGCCGGGTTCGCATGCACAAATCAAAAGAAAATGCCAACGGAACCTTTTCAATCGGCAAAACGTGGAACCTTGATGACCTGACACATATTGGCTCCTTCACTGGACCCCAGGTGAAGCCAAACAATCGAGAATGGGGAGGCGACACTGGCTTTTTGGTAACTCTTGGCAAGCCCTACTACTGGGAGGCACAGACCGACAAAGAAAAGAAGTTCTTCATTGCCAGCCTAATCAAAATTTACGGAAAGTATACTGGCGGCAAGACCCCCGAGCTGGCCGGTTTTGATCAGAAAGAGCTTGACCAAGTGTTGGGCGCCGGAAGACGACCTGCTGCATCTGCATCACGACCTCCTCCGCTTGAGCAAACTTCTAGTCAGCAAAGCGTAGTTTCGGGTTCTCCAGCGCCAAGTATTCCGCCTGTGCCCTTAGCTTCGCCGTTGGTGCCACCACAGATTTCGAGTGCGCCTGATCCCGCTCGGTTCCAGAAGAGCCCTGTGGCTGTGCGACAGCCGTTGAACGGCGGCAATTCACCTGCAGGTAGCTTCGAATCGGCAATCTCAAGGGATCGTCCGGGGGATCGTCCGGGTCCAAGATGGACAAACCAAGCGAACAGGAGTCAGGATTCTGTGGCCAACTCATTCACTACCGCGAGAAGCGAAGATACGTCTAGTCAACCGCCTCGTTCTCGAAATGGTATGAATGGTCCTGGGGCATTTGGGCGCTTTGGGGACTCCCGAGAACCTCCTGAAGCTCCTCAAGAACCGCTTCCCACACCTCCTCCTCCTCAAGGACCTCCGCAATCAGAGGGGAAGCCACCGCCAGAAAGACGACGCCCGCCAATGGATCCCACTCGACCTCAAGACCGCGATCTTGTTCCTCCGCCCCTGAACAGTCCAACAGTGAGAAAGGAACCTGTTGCCCCACCACCCAGAAGTAGTGATAGAATATCACCTAGGACCGATACTAGCCAAACGACTCCCGCACCGGCAGACCGAGTCATGCCACCTCTAACAATCCCGCCGTTGGACAATTCAAGATCAGAGAGCATTAATCTTGAAACTACAGTAGAGCCAACCAACAGCTCTACCACTTCATTATCAGTTCCGGCTTCTAACGATACTGGACCTGTTTTGGAGCCGCCGCCCGAGCCTGAGGAAGACACACGACCAGGATTAGGGCCTATGATCAGACAAAAGAAGTCAAAGGGTGATATTGCCGGAGCGCTATGGAAAGCTGCATCAGCTGCCTCGGCTTTTCGTCCTCGTCCAGGTGGTGCCGGAGAGCGTTTACGTCAAGCGCAGCTTAAACCTGAGGGACCTGACGGCATAACTGGCGTCGTACCTGCGCCGCCTCGCCCCGCCACCCCTGACATATCTAAACCCGTTTCCGGCCATGTGGAAACGCCAACTGAAAGCCCGAAGCCTGCTGCTGGCGGCTCACCGGCTTCAACCCGGACTTCTACGGCGGTTCCAGAGGTAACCGTTACTATTCCAAATGCCAGTCAAGCAACGACTGCTGAGCCAGACAAAGGCAAGAAGGAGGAAGCGCCCAAAGAAGAACCAAGAAAGTCTATCGTGACAGGGAATGATGCGAAATATCTACAAAGTCTGAGCGTGGACCCGAGCCTTCTCGATGATCGGAGTGAGGAGTTTGGTAAGTGGCTAGACTATTTTGGCTGGGTCCCCGGAAGGCAAATGCGCTCTCATTCGGCCGAGGAGATAAAGACAGATGTGGAAAGAGAGATCAACAGAGCTCAAGCTGGTGGTTGGCTCGCCAGATTTCAAGAAGAAGACGACCGAGTAGAAGCTATCAAACGGGGCATCGATCTAGCCATGGGAGAGTGTGAAGAGCTGGATAATCTTCTAACTTTATACTCTGTCGAACTTTCGGTAAGACAAGCCAGGGACACTAAATATTTGAGGGTAAGCTTCTTGACTAACACATTCTACTAGACGCTGTCAGATGACATTGCCTATATCGAAGCTCAAGGTCAAGGTCTTCAAGTGCAAACAGCAAATCAAAAGCTTCTGAAAAAAGAATTGGAATCACTATTAGAGACTTGTGCTATTACAGCAGGAGACCTGGAGGCTCTGCGGCTCGCACCTTTGGACAATCTGCGGGGTCTAGAGGATGTCGAGGCAGCACTTGTGATACTCTTCAAGGCCATGATTAAAATTGACCCTTCTTTAGGAGGTATTGAACCAACACCAAGTACTAAGTCTAGCACCAACCAACCCCCGGTTTTTAACTCTGATTACGACAACATGAGAATCGTGCAGGAAAAGAAGCAGATGTATCTTCAGCAGAGCGCATTCTTTATGCAACGACTTGTTGAGTTCATGTCTCGCCAGTTTGATGAGGCGTGCGCCGGTTCAAAACGTGCGCTAGAAGGTGCTCTCTCCAAAAAGGTCGACTCGTCCCACTACGATGCCGGCCGCGAGTTGCTGTGGCAGTACAGTCCCCTGATGCTGTATGCTCGAGACGTTGACTTGAACAATTGGAATCACCTCATCCAGATCTATCAGGACAAGAGCCACCCGCTGTACAAGGGCCAATTCCAAAACGTCGTTAGTATATGGCGTAAGAATGCAAGAAAGACAACAGGAGAAGAAGCCGAACTCCTGTTCTCATCACAGGTTGAGAAACAACAAGAGGGCGTCGCAACCGCCGCCAGAAAGATGACAGTGAAGCGCAGTCAGACCCTGGCCAGAGCTCTTCGGTCGCCGCTTGCAGACAGCGGTAACCGGGCCAATCCAGAGAAATCGCCTACAGCCGACAGCAGAAGCTTTCCATATGAAGTATTCTCCGGCGTATTGGATGACCTTTTGCCGTTGGTTGAGATGGAACAAAACTTCATCATCGACTTCTTTCATGCGACTACTCTGGAGCAGGCCGATTTCACTGATGCTGTGGCTGTGAACGCTCCTCGAGACCGACGCGGAGGGGATTTGAAGCGCCACCGTCTGATGGAGCCAGATCGTGACTTGGCACGAAGAGTGACTCGTTCTATGGAGGTGATATTTGCCTTCCTTGAGTCTGAATTGCAGCGACTCATGGAATGGGTGGTTGGACAAGACCCATTGTAAGTCGTTGTGTTAAATACGGACCGACTCTCATACTAATCATATCTATAGACAAGGAGTCGGTGTTCTCGCAGCGCTTGAAAGGAAGCTGTCAGAAATTAGTCAATCTAACCAGGATTACCTCAACACATCATTGCAAAAGCTGCACAGTCTTCTGGAAGGTCGCTTCAGCAAGTTTGTGGAGGAGCAGATCAAAGCCATTGAGGAAACAAAGGTCAAAATTAACAAGCGAAAAGGAGTGATTTCCTTCTTCCGCGTCTTCCCAGCATTCATGTCGGCGGTAGAGAATATGATGAGCGGGCTCGATACGAACTCGGCGCTCCGACGCATGGTTGACCGAGAGTACGATCGCATTCTCAAATCCATGTTTGACTCGCTCATGGTCATTGCTCGAGAGCGGCCAGCTGTTGTGGGCGTGTCCACCGGGCCGGCTGATCCTGAGGACAAGGAAGCGCTCAATTTCCACATCTTGCTCATCGAAAATATGAATCATTTCCTTGAAGAAACGGATACGCGGGGCCTTGAAGTGCTCGAGGAGTGGAAAGACCAAGCTAACACCGAGTATCATGAACACATGGACATGTACCTCAGCGCTGTCATGCGCAGGCCCCTTGGCAAGCTGCTTGACTACCTTGAGAACATCGAGGCACAAATACAGTCGGGCAAATCACCTGCGGCCATTGCGCAACAACCGTCCAACGACAAGGCCATATTCAACAAGATTCTTGGAAACTTTGATTCCAAGGAGGTCCGCAAGGGGGTAGAAGCCCTGCGCAAGCGTGTTGAGAAACACTTTGGCGATGCCGATGACCCTGCGCTCAGTCGTGCTCTAGTGGCAAAGGTGACATCTGAATGTGAGAAATTTTATCTCAGTGTGGAAACCAGAATCGGGCAAGTCACCACGGATGTGTACGGGGGCGATGTGCCGTTTGAATGGCCTAGAGCTGATGTCAAGCTGGCCTTCAGATAAGTGGCCAGAATGGGCAGATAGAAGAGCTTTCATTATTGGGAGGAAGCATCATTGATTTCTGATTGGAGCTTGCATACGATAGCGAGGCTGTTTAAAAGACGCACGGGCATGAAGCATGTTAGCGTCTACGAACGCATGTATACTATCACGGAAGATGAAGTATGTGAGCAATGAAACCGATGTTTGTTGTAGCAGATTGAGACTGAGAGAGTGGGGCATTGAATACTACTAATGACGAAGCAACAATGATTTGCAATGTCCATCCATATTAGGGTTAGGGTTGTGGTTTTGACCAGGATGCCTCATGGGTGCCCAACGCGTAAAGTGAGACGCGTTGGCCATCGCCCCACCGCCACCTTTGGCATCATCGTTCATCTTCCATGAACCTCTTGATATAAGCTTTCTGTTTATCTACTGCGCTCTCCCACTTGAAGTCCCAAAGGCAGACGCCAGCGGCCATGGCCCCCGAAACACGTTCTCGTGGCGTCCCTCCTTCCAGTCGAGTATATAACTCCTCGCCCTCCTTGCAACAGGTACAATTCCCTGCGCGACGAAAGAAGATTCGAAGATATGAAGGCCCTGAGCGTCCGAGCCTGAAGCAACAGACCTTGACTCAGATAGATTTTGTCTCAGGCTTCGGCGAAGACGTTATAATCCTCAGCGATAGCGATGACGATATCCAAGATGAAGACCCCGGTTCAGAGGACAAGGAGAATATGAAGCCGAGTTTACCAAATGGGCAGGATCAAAACGCGCAAGAAGAGGAAGAGAAAGGACAAGAAGAAGCGGGAGATGACGAGGAACCTGTTTCAATAAGACGGAAGAGAGCAGCTCCATCGATAAAACAGAGCAAAAAAAGACGACGAACCATGGGCGATGAGTTAAAGAAAGCGATTACGCCCAGGAAGGAGGACAAATCGCGGCGGAAGACGTTGGACGATATGCCAACACGTTCGAATTATCATACGCAAACACTCACGCAGTTCTTGGGTCACCAGACATCCTTCGTAGCCGACTCGGATGACGACCTAGATCTTGACAAGGATGATGGAGACGATGGATTTCTTTCGTGGCTAGGCGAACCCGGTAGTCCGAGCGCTGGGCGAGGCAAACGGGACTTTTCATCGCCAGCTATGAAGCGGCGTCATGAAGCAACGGCTGCAATTACTGCCTCAACTGCGGATGTAAGCATGTCTCGGGAAGATTCTATTATTCCCCAGACCCCTGCGAAGAAGAACACTGCCATTAGATTTGATCTTCCCTCGGGGGGGTTACAGTCTCCCAGTCAGAGAATGGTTGAGCGCTACGGGGCGCCAGATCAGCAAGACTCGCCATTGAAGAATCATTCTTCGCCCATGAAACCGCCTCTCGTGAAACTGACTGGGGAGCCACGACGTGTCTCGCCGGGAGTTACGAGACAGTCTTCACTGGTTATTCAAGACTCATATACAACAGATGGTTGCATCACGCCCAGCAGGAACCAAGCAAAGGTATCACAGAGTAAAACACCAACCCCTTTGCGTGTTTTGTTTGATGCACCGTCTATACTGAACCCTGTTGGGGACGACGACACGCCGACGAAGAGGAGACGCCCTCGGAGGAAATCCCCTTCACCAAAGAAGCTCGCCGCGAAGGGAGTGCTATATGAGATCCCTGATTCCGATGGGGAGGATGACGGGTTCGGTGAAGAAGATGAAGATGACGGCAAAAACCTAGACGAGAGATATGGTGTCGGCGTTGAGACACAGCTGGTCTTGAATGAGCTGGTGTCTACAGAAGAGAGCCAGCACAGTTGCCACGATGCAGTGCCTTGTTCGCCACCGACATCAAGGATGCATACACAGGCCGAACCTGTATCGGCAACAGTCCAATACGAGCAACAATCTACAGAAAATCAGCCAATCCATGCATCCTCAACTTCATCGAGGCCAACAACTCCGCTGCGACCCAAACCCATCCGCAAACCTCTGCCCCATCTCTCTGTCCACACTCAAATCCAAAGCCAACCTTTCGAATCTCAACGTGTCCATGTCTCCATTCTCCAATCCCTCCCCGCTCCGTCCGCAAGATCAGACATACTCCTCCCTATCTCAACCGCCTCCCTCGAAGGCCTCATAACCGGAACCACGCTGCACGTCACCACATCCTTCAAAATCCCCTCCCAGGTCGTCCGCTTCTGGCTCTTCGAGAACGGTCTCCTCCGATACATGGCCTCTGTCGAGCCAGGTCAGCAAGTCCCACCTGCCGGCTTCTCCTCATCTTCCCAGGGGAGATGGCAATTCCACACCAGCCAAGTATACGAACTAAACAACCCCGTGTGTGAAGACGACATGCGCCAGGAAGGATGGTTGCGTGGTCAAATTGCCCGATACAAATACCTGCCGCCCGCTGTCATCGGACAATTACTATGGAACTTGAGACACGCCCTATTTGCCGACGAGCCCTGCGAGCAACAAGTCGCCAGTTCACCCGTCCATCCCGGCTCTCAGCCCAAGCTGCCTCGAGGAGACGACGAAGACCGCGCACGAAACTGTCCCCCCAGCTCCGCACCACCAGGCAGCATGACAGTGTCGCAACAGATCACGGCCCAAATCCACAGCGACATCGCATCGTCCACTCAGTTCCCAACGTCAGACGACATGGTTCCATCGACGCCAGACTTCAACGAGCCCCTTAAACTCCGCTCCTCGTCGAGAACAACCACTCTCCCTACCCCCTCGGCACCCAAGCAACCCTCAAGAACAGTCCGGCCTTCCCAAGCCACCACCCTCTCGCAACCATCCACCCCCGAGAAACAGACTCAGCAGCCAGCAAGCATGCCCCCGCCTCCGCCTCCGCCACTCAATCCCTCCCAGGGCAGTGTGCAGTTCGCTGAAAGCAGTTACCTCAGCAGCTTACCCATACCGTCTTCTTTGGGATCCACGTCACAGCTCTTGACAAAGAGTCAGATGCTGCCGGACAGTTTGATACAGGACCATGCCCCACCCGTACAGCCCGAGATATGGGACTCCGATGAAGAGGATGCGTCTTTGTAGGTGGAGTTTAGTAAATTGTGCGTGTTGGCGGAATGAGATATAGCACGACCGATATGGAAACGTGATCGTATATACCACATGTCATTTGGAGGATCCATGGTGTTCAGGCATAGCGTTATTCGTTCTTTGTTTGACATTGTATCTTTGTTAGTTCACACAATCGAACAACATACAGGCTTTCATTGTGATTCATTACATGAAATTATGCGCATAGTACTTACGCATGGCTCATACGTAAATACGTGATGTAGCCGAGGTGCCCCCACGCATCACATACTCATATTCGATGAGTCAGAGGGGCTCATCAGAGCATAGTAAACGACACGTCTATGCATCTCCTAGAGAAAGTTGCCGTCATATGAACAAAAGTCAATTTCTATACCTAACTGCCATGCCTGATTCATGTGTTTGCCTGTCTGCACTTCGTCACTTTTCTTCGTACAATAGGAACCAAGTTTCAAAGGCTTTCAGAATCATCCGTTCCAGCTTTGCTCGAGAAAGATTGTTGAAGCCGGCATCCATCACCAAAAGCCTGCAAATGCAATAAGTATGTCACAAGGTTTTCATCCGTCTATCCATTTTTCTCTCCGTCGCTTCCCAAGACCACCATTACGTTCTCCGTCATGCTATTAAATGCGCCAGTGATTGGTGGGAATGCTTCAAATGTGTAGTACACAAGACGCTTCATGTTTGCAGAGTTTGGTGTGAAAGAATTAAGACATGGTCAAGTGCAGTTTCATCCGAGTTCCGTGTGGTCTTTCTTAAAGAAAGGTAGGCAGTGCGTTTGAAACCCTCACGACCATGATCGTGTAAGTTTTTATGATAGGTGAAAGGCACCCTGGCCCTCCTTCATCGCCTTGTATAGTTGTTTTTTCATTGTCTGGATAGTAGTGTAATCGGGTAACTTCAAGTAGTTGACGCACGTCATAACACTGGGTAGGTAGTCATCAGATGTGTAAGGGTCCTCGCTTGGTTTGCATACAACGGTAAACATTGGAGTCAAGCTTCGGAAGCCTGTGGCAGTTGTTAGCATCTTCGTGTTCCTGACAGATGAAAAGCAAGAATGCTCACCTCCAATTGGAAGCTTAGGGCTACCCGTAGTAAATTGCAAAAAGTCACGTCGCTGTTGCACGTCAAACTCGCTCATGGATTGTAGCAAGTTCTTCACGCTACGGCTATCCATGTTGAAGCCGTGATCAGCCTTGATAGAATCGGTAAGAGCTGGAAAATGAGTCACGTTAGCCAGAGTCTCCATTGCAACATTTGTGACGCACGTAGGAATAACTTAGGGATAGCATACTCTCTAAAGACCAATCCTCCTCAACTTTTCCGAATAAGCTCACAAGCTCATCTGGAGTGAACGCACTCAGTGCAGAGTAAGGGAAGACTTGTGAAAAGCCGCTTCGGAACGCGTCGACTTGCTGACGGACACCGGATCCGAGAGTCATATCAATGACCTTTTCAAGGTAAATGTCCACGTTCTCGATGGTTACACGCTTGTGAGATCCATGATCCTCAAGATCAATGTTAGGATAACCCGGTAGGGTGAAATCCAGGCACAGATCATCCAAGCGGACGTTATCAATCACAATGGACTCTGTATCTGCTACTTTCTGTGCAGCCGTACGGTTGGGATCCTCGTCAATCTCCTTCTTGGCCAGTGCAAATTTCTTGATTGTCTTCAAAGAACGAGCAAGACCAGGATCAACTATTTTGACGGCGCCAAGAGAAGGTTTAATGCCTGTACTTGGCGCATCGCCGATGCGGAAGAATATCGGGTTAAAGTGAATATCAATAATGCGAGAATCAATCATTGATCGAGCGACGAACTTGCCAAGCATTCTGAACAAATGGAGGATCCGCTCCCCATTAGGCGCTGAGAGCTCCTCCTGGTTCAGAGGCCGTGGAAATAGCCCAGACTGGCCTGTCACAAACTCATCAGATCCAACTGAGTCCATTTCACGCCAGAGCTTAAGCTTCTTCTTGGAGAATTCCTTTGATACCGTTGAGTAAAACTCCAGGGTTGGTCCCAAGCCAGTGCCGACTTCCTCGAAATACTCCACCTCTAGGATACTCTGGGAGGCACCATACAGGTCCATGACCTTGAGAGCCGATTCGAGAATTTTGAGTCGCGAGATTCGGACTTTCTGCCGTTGCAATCGACCAAGAAATGGCCGATCATTGTTGCGGTCTCTACGGCTATCTTCAGACTGCGCATTCTGCCACCTCGCCATCGATCGGGCGTATCCGAAGGACGTGGACTGGAGGAAGAGATGTCTCGTCTCAAAAGGGAACAAGAAGGGGTACAAGCGAGCCAAGTCCTCAGACCAGCCAGGGAGGCAGCTGCTGGCTACAATTAGGGGCTCCTCCAACTGCCTGTTCAGTTTTGCCGTCAATTTGGTGTTGACAAACTGGGATAAAGGTTCCACATTAAGACTTATAGAACTGTTCCTATTCTCGGCCAAGACATCCTCAATGTTTGCGTTCAATTCGTGCAAAATATTGAGCAAGCGCAGGATGGAAGCCGTAGTTGGGTTCTTCGCCAGAGATGCGGGGATGCCATTCACAGTTTCGCCTTCACTGTCTGGGTTGCTACCAAATGTAGCAGGTTCGGTAGTTGGCGGTCCAGGGACACGGCGGAATTTGATGGGGTGTGTAGCAGACCAAATGCTGCGGCTCACAAGTTCTTCAGAAGTAGAAGTGGATGTATGAACAGCTCGATAAATGGTGGTCTCGTTCGGGATTACTTTACTGTCAAGGCTGAATTCGATATGCCAGTCTTGGGGAACGGCTTGGAGAGCCAAAGAGTACGACAGAGGCGGTCGCGATGTCGCAGGAGTCGGAGTTCCCTGCCCCGAGGATGGGGGCGGCGGAGGCGGCCCTCCAGGAACAGTAGCACCGCTGCTACCACTGCGGCTAGTGAAGAGAGCTGAGCTTGAGGGAGTAGGAACTCTAGTTCCATCGTCCTTTCTTGCAGTTATTTTCCCGCCAGTGGCCACCTCGAGATTCACGGCAGAGGGATCCGGCCGAGATCCGGTGTGGTCTGCATCATCCATATCCTCATCAAGCTCCCCTACGATTGCATCTAGGGCACTTCCATCTTCCAGGTCATCTTCATCAGACATTTGCTTCTCATCAGCACACTCAAGAGTGTTCTGCGTGTCGTCCCCATCGGTTGGTGGTGGTCGCGATAACGGTGTCTCCTCCGTTGATACTACTTGACGTCTTGAGGAACGGCGTAGAATACCCTTGTCATGGGATGGGCCAACAGAGGGATCTTGCGAGGTCGCTGGGGTGTTAGGCTGAGGCATTGACCGATTCTTAGACCTTCGGGAATACCGGGAGCTCGACGGGGTTGTAGTAGCTGCAGGGGGCGGAGGAGGCGGAGGAGGCACAGAGCCAAACGATGATCTTTCAGTGAGTCTGGCACCAGCTGCACCAGCTGTGGTGCTAAATTGCAGGCCTCCCATGCCGGCTACAGCAGCGAGGGCTCTAGAGAGTCCATCTCTACGGCCAATTGGTGGCCGTTCTGCTAAACTTATCCGAGGTCGAAGATAATCGTCCAACGACTTGAAGGTGGCAATTGCATGAATCGATACCATGATATTCCTGTACGGTCGGGGAATGTTGGACTCGTCGTCTGCCACAAGGCGAAGTCGGATTTGTTTACCAAGCATCGACGCAGGGCTGCTTCGGTTGCCATCAAAGGTGTTGTGATGAACGGTAAGCACTTCAAAATGCTCTGACCTACTGAGCAAATCTTGCATTTTGTGTACCAGAACGCTGAATGGGGTAGCGGGCGAATCTGCCGTCGCCGTCTTTGGCTTTGATTTGAGAGAGTAGCCCATGAAGATCTCGAGGAAGGTGGATTGGGCTGACCGGGCAAGTTCTTCATCAGGGTTGCTAAAGATATCAAGTAAGGTCTGTACGAGTCCAGAGGCCAACAATTCAGCACTAGTAACACTTTCCAGGACGTCAGTATCGAAATATGACGCAAGCTGTGAAAACAGCTCTTTGTCCTTTTGCGCTCCACCAAGCGTAGCAGAAGGCCGTTTCAGATAGTATGTTTCCAGCTCCGTGGCCAAGTCAGACAAGTCATGTAGGATAAGTGTAGCTTTGTTTTTCATGATTTGTGCATGTTCCCCTCCTTCATGGGTTTCGAGGAATTTTTTGGCAACATTCCGAATCCGAGACGTCATTGACTTCATATCCGAGATATAACGATGGGGTGGCATGTCCACTGACATGGTAGACCCACGGGAACTAGCAGGAGACATATCGCCAGGGACGTGATCGCCGTCGTTTTCTTCATCATCGTCCGCATCTTCGTCGTCACGTTCATCTTCATCATCGTCCCCAGAAGAGTTATTGTCGTCGTCCGCTCCAGCCTCGTCACCGTTATTCTCACGCTCTTCTACCCCTACAACATTGGATGAAGACTGCAAGTGATTGCCCGACTCATCTTTCGTGGTGTCCTGTGGCTTTTCTTCGCCATCGCCCTCGTCGTTTTCGTCCTCGTCTTCATCTTCCTGTTCCTCATCGTCGTCGGATTCTTCCTTCTTCAAGTCCAACGGGTCCTCTTGAGATGCCAGCTTGTTGATCTCGTGGATGACACCTTCTCGATACAATTGATATCGATAAATGGACTCGAGTCTGCTTACAAGAAGTTCCGTGGCTTGCAAACCTAACATGACAAGAGACGGGTGGTCTTGTTGTGATAAAATTGATGCTAAAAATGATGCGTAGGGCACAGGAACCAAGGCTTCTACGAGAATTTCTTCATCCAAATTGGACAGCATTTTGAGTTGAGCCGTAAGCACCTTTTGTCGAACACTGAGATTGACTGTGCTTGAAAAGGCATCTGTAAGAGTAGGAAATATAATCAAAGCAAACCGACGAACTTCAGGCTTGCATTGTTCCAGGAGATCAAGCCGCTTGTCATTTGGGCTCCTTCGGCTTCTACCACCAACGGAGGAAGGAGTGATTGGTTCAGTGGATGCATGAAGCTCAACAAAGTCTCCAAATGCAGGGTCGGCATTTCGGGGCAAATTTGGCAGTAGTTCGCAAATAACGTTGAGTGTCTCCACGATTTGCTCCCTCGGGCGGTGGATGAGGGCCTGCATTACGACAACGCTGTCCAGTTTGGAGGCAACGTTCTCCGTTCCGCTTGGGGGAGAAACCCCCGTCAAGATTTGGTAGAGAGTTTCCACGACGTTTAATTTGAAAAGTTCGGCCGACAATCGTGGACTAGCCCGTGCCGTAAAAGCCAGGACTCGAAGAAACTGTGTATGAATACTAGACCCAATCAAATTCGTAGTACCAGGGACCAGGAGACGCAAAACGGCGCGAAGAAGATCGACACTGACAAGCTCTTCAAGCTTGGCTGGCTGGTACTTGAAGCTCTCAACAATGCCTGACACGCAGAGGGAGGCCTGCTCCACAACCCGTTGGTCGCTGCTATTGAGGACATTGAGGAGGATGGGCATAACGTCTTTGACGACAGGAAAGGAATCGTCAGGGATGTTGCGACAACAGTTCGCGGCTGTGGTAACTGCAGTTCTCTGCGTGCTTGTTGCAAAGAAATCAAGGTACGACAAGCAGGCAGTCAATCCACCTTCTCTAACGATATTCGCCGGATACTCCAATGAAATTTTCTCCAGAGTGCTCAGTGCCTGTTCGGCTAGATCGATGAAGGAGATTTCCAGGAGCTTTTGACACAAGACCGGAACGGCCCCTCCGTAGACCACATTGGCAACGCTGGCGGGCAATGCTTCCATAAGGTTAGCCAGACATCGACATGCCAGCAGCATAACTTCTGGGCTCTCTTCCTTGTTCATTAAGAGAACTAGCTCTTTGACGAACGAATCTGGTGAGAAGTGCCCAGAAAGATTATCCTCATTAGATACGAGGAGAATCTCGGACAGTTCCTGTAGAGCAATGACTTGAACCGAAAAATCATCGTCTCTCAGATTATTTAGAAGCTCGCGTAGCCGACCTGTCAGGCCAGACATCATGCCTGTCAAAGCCCGGAGTGTGCTAGAGAGGCCAGCCACTGCTCCCCCTGAGCCGCCAAAACCACCAAACGGGTCATCGTCGTCATCTTCATCGTCCTCGTCCTCGTCCTCATCTTCATCTTCATCTTCATGGTCATCATCATGATTGTCGGATCTAGGTTGGTCATTTTCATGCCCATCCTCATCATTATCTTCACTACTATCATCGACAGGATTCTCGATGGGCGGTGACGGAGGTGGTCCAGGTTCATCATTGTCGTCTGTGCCGGTCATTGCGGTGTCTTGATCGGCGTTGTTGCTATCGTTCCGTCTGGATCTTCGTCTAGCAGAAGTGGGAGTAGTGGAATCCGACTTTTTGCTGCGACTTGATTTTCTGCTGGAAGCCACTTGTCGGCCACTGACCTCGGGGGGTTCCGCCGGGGAGGCTTGGCCACTGTAGGATTGCGGTGTTTAGGTTAGCTTGTGCATATGCACGAAGTAAAAGCATTTAGAAAAATGAGGATGAGATCAGGGGAAGAGGTTCTTGGGGATTCAACGTACTCGTTGCCATCCATGGCGGCAGTAGCCTTGCCCTTCCTCCGAGTTCCTTGAAGAGTAAGATTCAAGGTGTCCTGTGATGTTCCCTTGGAAGGGGGTTCGGAAATCTTTTGTCTCTTGGACCGTCGACCCGAGTTAGGATGCGGTGCCGCAACAGGTGTAGAGGGTTTGTCTTGACTAGTAGAAGAGGATACTTTTCGCTTTCGGTCACCTTGCGCAGTTGGAACCGGTGCGGTAGAAGTAGAATTTGTCCCGGCAGCAGACGGGGAAGCTAGAGAACTGGCTTGATGAGCTGCCTGGCTCGCAGCTTGGCGGGCCGAGGACCTAGTGATTCTGGGAGACATGAGTTAATGAAGCTCTTTAAGACACCGACATCTGCGAGTTGCGATGAGGACCAGGGTAGCAGGTGTAACAGAAATTGCCCAACAAATGAGTAAGCCCAAAGCTGGGTGTGCCTGGGAAGGTCGTGCCGAACGGTGATACTCTCTACCAGTTGGGCGTGACGAGCGGGGGGTAAACAAAATGGCAAAAATTGAAAACGCCGAGCAAGCTTTTGTGGCAAGGTATAGTGTCGCCTGGTTTAAGCGTTAAAATGGCGCTTGCAAGTGACGGAGATGGATAAACAAAAGTCTGTGGTCCGACGTTGGCAGTGAAGCGTAATCTTAAATTTCACAGGGATAGGGCGCGAAAACAGGTAGATTTCAGTAGGAGGCGCCTGGCGTCGAAGTAGGGACTCCCAAGAGAATCGATGGCCACCTGTAATATCACCAGGTCTGTTCGAAGGCTGATTGCCAGCCAGACAAAGAGCCCGGCTATCGGGTCAAGTGCAACGCAGGAGACAATGCTGGGTCGAAATATTTATCAAAGTAGGAAAGTCGGGCCACAGACTGGGTCAATCAAACCGAGGCGAGGAAAAATGATGGATGGGGACTGGCGGAGAGATGACGATGACTCTCAACTAGATCGCTGGTCGTGTTTGAGCTCAGTGCAGAAACCATGCAAGAACACTTGAAGCATGATATCATAATCGAAAGCAATGAAAAGAAGCGAGAATAAAACTCAGCACGTCGAGCATCAAAAACCAAAGACTTGGGCAGTTCCGGCAACAGTCAAGGTCGCTCTTTCCCTTACCTTTGAGGGGGGGCGGCAGCGGCAGTCGCAGCACCGGAGGCTGTCGACGTCGACGAGGCAAGTCGCACTTCGTTGTCACCTGCCAATGTTCGTTCTGCCATGCCCGGACTACGCCATCAGGAGGGCAGGCGCGGGTTCGCTGAGAGGCAACGACGGGGAAGGAACGACGAGAAGAGAAGCAGCCGAAGTATGTGGGGATATATGTACCATAGAAGGCGTACGTACGGTGCACGATGCGTGATGTGCGAGGTACAGTGAGTAGCTGGGCTCGATGATGGGTTTTCGGGAGTATTTGGTGTTGTTTTGTGGTCGGGCCGGCCGTTGGGTATTGAGACGGTTATGGGCAGGCTAGCAAGTGACAAAGACGGAATGGCACACGGTGAGCCGTGACGTCTCGGCGTTTCGTTGTTCCCCGTGCCTACGCTACGCCAAGTAATGCTGTGCAGTCGATACGCATCAGTGCGTAGCAGATCTGGAAGCGAGATCCGGTAGCAGGTGGTGGATAGGATTGTCTTGGATGCTGTTGACTGAACGGGAGGAGGTGATGATGGATGTGTCAACTGCTGTGTGCGGTCGGGCAATGGGCTATGGCGATAAGATGGACATGGTCATGGCGGGATGACAGATGTAAGCCGTGTGTTCTGCAATGTTGCTGTCGAGGTTCCGGCCTCTGAGTGGTTGGTCTTGCTCAGCCGTCCCCTTTTCTTCACCAATCAGAGCCTGGTGCTGGGTCCCTACTTTGACGTAACAGCTGCTCCACTCGCGAAGTCGAGTGTCATGATCTTAGTAAGTGCCAGGCATCTCATGCCTCCGCCCCGAGCAGCGATTTTGTTCATCCTTCTCGCCTCGTTCCTTTCATTCCCTCTTGTTTTTCCCGTACCTGTCCCAGCTAATGGCAAGAACATGGCACTCAAGCTCAGACGTGCAACGCTGCGCATGTATTGATATTGGTGACTGAATCCATCCCATGGACACCAGGTAGAATCACTCCCAAGTCCCCAACTATACCCAGCTCCGGAATCTAACATGATAAGAGATACTCTATGCTGCTATTTTCACATATCCGTTTCTTAACTCCCTGGCCCAGCAAAATGCAATTAGAGCTCTCTCTCTCGAATAACAACTGTCCTCTGCTGATCTAGACTTCGAACACACTTGTTGGCAAGACGTTCCTCAATAGCTAGAGAAGAGGAGGCGAGCGTTTATGGGAGGTGGGGAAAAGGCACGCTGGACCAGCGTCGTGACGAGGTAGTTGCCTGGTCCGAATTGCACTTCCCTTTCGGCAGAGGACTAGGGAACGAGCAGGCCGATCTGGTCACAGTCATATGCTGGTTCGCGACATGGACCTATTCCCATGTTGAGTGACGCTGGGTCACCTCCACGTTGGAACCACATGACTCTTTGGGCTTAAGTTTCCTGTGTATATTATCACTAGCAAATGCAGCACTTGCCTGCACTATTCCTACAGTAACGTCTACTAGCGAGTTGTTTAAACCGTTTAAAGGATCAGACGTACCAAAGAAGACGGCCCATAGGAAAGCAGACTCAGGAGCATAGGGGAGGCTGTTACGAGAAACCACTTCACAATCGCACCACTCCTATCTATCTATCGAGGACAACTGTACTAATTTGCCAGTTCGTCTTCCTGCTCTTTATACTAGGAGAAGATCCTAACTTCTGCATGGTTGGGCCGCGGTCAGGTTTCCCTGTTGTGCTCCATCTGCAGACATGAGCCGCCTCGTCACAGGGTGTAGGGTTTGGTATTAACATGGTCCCATCTTATCTGCAATACGTTGGTGGAATGGCGATACTACGACTTTTACCACCAACACGAACATACGTGCTCCTTAAGAAAGGAACAAAGGCCTTTCCTTGTTATTGTAGAAGCTCCATGTGGGTTCGGCTTGCTCCCGCCTTCGGCCCTCAGGCTTGCAGGCCAGGGCGATTACAAAAGAGAAGCTTATCAACACGATTCAAAATGCAATATACAGAGAGATAATAAGAGATGTTAGATGCCTGATGAGCCCAAGATCGATTCGCTTCGTGTCGAGATGCAAAATAATCCAGTCGGGCCGTTGCCTATGAATATGGCCCTTGTGGTTTATGATTGAACGCCTCAGTGTTCTCCTTGTCCCGCCAGCCATGGACATTTTACTCTTTGAAGTTTTTGACCACCTAGCTATTCCGTGCGTTTGATTCCAGCTCTCTGTGAGTCTTCCACAAGTTTTTCGAGGGCAATAGTGTTGAGCCCGCCATAATTAGTAGTAGAGCTCCCATTGTATGAATCACGATGTCATAAAAAGTCGTTCTTTAGACAATGATATTGCTCAGCCATGTGCCACATATGCCTCATTGTTCCTACAATTCCTCCACGGCACTCTAATAATTTCGAAGCATATACATGGTACAATCACTTTGACGAGTGACGAGTTTTCCCGCATAGATTGACTAATAAGGCCTATATACAGGTTATTACAAGTCAGTCTCGTTTTTTAAAGCCAGCGTCATAGAGGCCATTCTGCACGCTGCTTCCAAATCAAAACAGCACGTGGCGAGCCTTTCCAACGAATTCATAAATTTATTCAGCATAGCGCTGGAGTTTTACACGTTTATTAATGTTTTTTTTCAGTCACTTTTAACTCGTTTCCCACATGACCCATCTACACCTTCAGGGACTCCTTGCCGCCATCGTATTCTGAAAAGTCGTACTCATCTGGATACTTGTCCAGCATGTCGCGAAGCTCCTTGATCTGCGCCTTCAGGTCGGGCGTCAACTCCTCATAGACGTCCTCAAACATAGTCCGCAGCGCAGGCTTCTTCTCCTTCTCGGCCTCGGAGAAGCCCTTGAGGATCTCCTTTCGCAGACTATCTCTGGCCTCCTTCTCCTTGGTTTCGTCCCAGCAACCCTTAGCCTCCATCCACTTTCGCAGGCGGGTGATTGGGTTGTCGCGCCTCTTCCAGTCCTCGACTTCGACGCGGGCGCGGTAGGCGAATGAGTCGTCGGACGTGCTGTGGTGGGAGACGCGGTAGGTCATGCACTCGATGAGGATGGGCTTGCCGCCGTCCTGGAGGGCCATTTCCCTGGCCTTCTTGACGGCCTCGCGCACGGCCCAGATGTCGTTGCCGTCAATGCGGATCGTGTCTATGCCATAGCCAATGCCACGGCTGGCGATGCCGTCTCCGCGGTACTGGTCCAGCGTGGGCGTGGAGATGGCGTAGCCGTTGTTGCGGCAGATGAAGATGACGGGGCACGAGCGCGTCGCAGCAATGTTCATGGCGGCGTGGAAGTCACCTTCGCTGGCAGCACCCTCGCCGAAGAAGCATACCGCTACCTTAGCCTTGGAGTTGGGGTCCTGCAGCTTTTGCATCTTCAGGGCGTAGCCGGCACCCGACGCCTGAGGGATTTGCGTTGCCAGCGGCGAAGAAACAGTGTGCTGTATGGGACGCAATTAGCTTTTCAAAGGCCAGACTACCGGCATGGCCGCGACCAGCGCAGACGGTACACTCACGATATTCAACCTCTTGCTGCCGTAATGAACAGGCATGTTCCTCCCCTTGCCGGGGTCATTCTTATTCGCAAACAGCTGCGACATAAACTCCTTGGTGGTCATTCCCCTCTCCTTGAAAAACCCTTGCTCTCTGTACTGGCAGTACACGGGGTCTTCTGGATCCAAAACACTCGAACTGCCCACGCTGACAGCCTCCTCGCCGGCGCTCACCATGTAGAAGCTCAGGCGGCCCTGGCGCTGGGCATCAAACATGATCAAGTCCATAATTGAAATAAACAGCATGTCCTTGTACAGCTTCACCACCGTCTCGTCCGAGATGTCAGGCTGGAAAGACTGGTCGACCACAGCGCCATGCTGATCGACCACTCTATACGTAGGCAGGGCCTTGTACGACTCGGGATGTTCAAAGCTCAATTGCGTCGTGAAGGCGCTCTTCAGCGCACCAGGGAAGGAGACATGATCGGAATTGGGTCTTTGGGAAACGCTGCTCGCGGCGCGGACGGGTGTGGCAAAGGCCGTCTTGGGGATGGACGTTGTCGCCCGTCGGATGGGCAGGTTGCGGATGACTCTGGACTTCATGGTGAGAATGGGGGGTTCCGGCTCTCACAACACGATGTCTCTTTTTTCTCAAGCGAAAAAACGGTTGTGATGATGCTTTAGCCGACGCCTCGGGAAAGAGCACAAAAAAAGACGGGTAAAGAATGTCAATCGTGTTTTCGGCCCAGTTGGCGCGGAGAAAGTCTACAGACTGCGACAACATTGAATGGTTGTCGACGGCCTGCGGCGGCGATGACGCTTTGAGCCGACAGAACCCGCCACCTCGGTCGGGTCTATCCAGTACCCAAACCCCGGATTGATATGGGATGGGGCAAGAAAACCCCGGGAGTTCAAGAAAAAATTACCCCAGCCGATTGCTCTGTACATAAATTGATCCGCTTGAAACTCGGCAGCCAAGAGCCATCGGCTATATTGACATCCTATTACGCCAATTGGAGGCTGGCATTCGTCCCACGGACATTTGTGCTACGCGTTGCACTCCATAAGTTTGCTATTCACAGCTCAGACTGCGAGTACGTACAGAGCCGCGACTGTGGCAGCTGGCAGCTTCTGTTGGCGGTTGCACAGATCCGTACGGTTTGTAAACAATGAATATCGAATTCATGTCAATTTTCTGCCTTGAAGTGCATGTCGTGTAAATCCGAGTGTCTTCACCTGCAACCCCCTTCATCCATATCTGCTGCATGTGCAGATTGTAGCAACCAGCCATATCGCAAAGCCATACATACAACACCGGGAATCAGGTTGCAGTTACAAAGCCAGATCACGCCGACATGATGACCCCCGGAAGCAGTCTCGCGCTCCTCATCCTCGGAATTATGTCCCTGGTCGGCCTCGTCTTCTGGTTTTTCAAATCCCAAATCAACAAGTATGTCAGCGCCCTGCTTGCCTACAAACGCAGGCTTACCGATACCGAGCAGGCTGCTGAAGACTCAACCGCCGCCACGTCTTCGTAGACGACAACAATTCACCCAAAAAAAAAAACTACGTCTATTCCCTAGATTTCTTCTCTTTTTTTTTTCTTTGCCTTCTTAATTTTCCTTCTTTTTTTTCCCCTTGGTTATTCTACCAACGCACATGATTCTGCGCATCTGCAACTCACCCACCAACGCCACAAGACATCACATCACAACTGTGGCTCGAGCTCCACCCTGGTCCTCCCATGTCGCAAATTTCCATACTACTACGGAGTACATACTACGGCCAACGAACCTCATACGACCCTATATTCATTCTCACGACCACACTCCGCCTCTTACCACCCAAGCACCGCCAATTGCGATACCCTATAAAGATGGTGGCACCCCGAGCTCTGCGGAGCTGTACAATCAGTTCCTTCCGACCATCAAGATGTCTCAACCGCACAGCCTCCCGCCCTTTTTGCACAACCCACTTGCGCCGGGAGCAGCAACGAACTCCAACGGCACATCGCGAAACACACTTTGGCTACGAGACGGTGACGGAGAGCGAGAAACAAGATCGCGTCGCAGGCGTCTTTTCCAGCGTCGCCGAGTCGTACGACAAGATGAACGACTTCATGTCCCTGGGCATTCACAGGCTATGGAAGTATGTTCCTCCAAGATCGCCATTGCCTCCCACACCAATACTGACTGACACACGCCTCCAAAGGGACCATTTCGTCTCCTCCCTCAACCCGGGAGCAACCACACCCCTCGGCAAGCCCCAGAGAATGCTCGACGTAGCCGGCGGCACGGGCGACATCGCCTTCCGCATGCTCCAACACGCACACGTCGACAACGCAAACCCAAACATCCACATCACCATATCCGACATCAACCCGGACATGCTGGCCGTCGGCAAGCAGCGCTCCCTCGACCTCCCCGCCTCCTACCAGTCCAACCTCTCCTTCCTCGAGGCCAACGCCGAGGTGCTCCCGGCCCAAATCAAAGACAACTCTCTCGACCTGTACACCGTCTCCTTCGGCATCCGGAACTTCTCCAACATCCCCGCTGCACTGAGGGAAGCCCATAGGGTCCTCAAACCAGGCGGTGTCTTTGCCTGTCTGGAATTCTCAAAGGTGGACAAGTATCCTCTCCTGAATGCCATCTATAAACGGTGGTCGTTCAGTGCCATCCCCTTGATTGGCCAGCTAGTCGCCGCTGACAGAGACAGCTATCAGTATTTGGTGGAGAGCATTGACAGATTTCCCAGCCAGGAGGCTTTTAGGGACATGATTGTTGATGCCGGGTTTGCCGTGTCGGGCGATGGCTATGAAAACTTGACCGGTGGCATTGCGGCCATTCACAAGGGGATCAAGCCGTTGTAATATCGAATCAGCTACGTGTATGATTAATTTTGCTGTATAATAGTGTATTAAACTACAAAGGTACGGCGACCACCAGTCAAACTATAAAAAAAAAGAAAAGGAAAGGGAAAAAGAATCTTCATCCCGTCATCCGTCAGCACAGCACAAGCAATTGGTATCATCATAATCAGTCACCTTTGGTCAAACAAGACTCTCACTTCAGGTCACCTTTTTGCCACACTCAACAGCTCAGTGCAACACAAGCAAGCATCGTAATGCCCAAAGCAAAGAACAAAATGTAAACAACAAGATGCGAACAAATAAACTCCATACAAATCAAATTAAAAAGTAGAAAATAGGGGCCAAGTCCGCGAATGCGAAGCCCCGGTAGGCTCAATATCTCATTAGGTACACGTACACAGAAACGCAGCCCAAAACGGCGGACCCTTGCGAGACGCGGCTCTTTTTCCTCTCCTCCCTCCAACCTTGCTCCAGAGCTAGAATCAAATACGACAAGAAAATTGATGCCAAGAACTATGCCTCGGTTTCCATACGTGAGTGGGAAATGTCGAAAAAACGGTGAGGATATTCAATGAATCATGAGAGAAACAAGTGGCAACTAGCCATCACTTCCTCATTCCGCTGGCGTTGACGGGGTCGCCGCTGGGGATGAGGCACCACCTTCGCCCTTCATGCCACCGCGACCACGTCCACCACGTCCTCGATCACTTCCCCGTCCGCCCCGGCCACCTCGTCCGCCGCGTCGGTTGCTCTCCGAGTCGCTGTTGCCGCCTGCGCTTCGATATCCGCTGGCTGTAGCGCCTCCACGCGCATTGGCGCCCCAGGTTCCGGCGCCACCGCGGTTACTAAACGTCTTCCCTTCTCTGTGTTGGAAGATCTTTACAAGGGGCCGGGTCCGGTCTTCTTGAGTGCGTGTCTTGATCTCCTCAGGCAATCGAGCCATGGCAGCATCTCGGTCTTCGGTAGTCTTGAATTGGACAACCTTGTTCTGGTTGCCCCATTTCTCAATCTTGACAATCTTGCCCTTATCGGCCTCGTCAAATAGGTCGCGGCACTGGTCCTCGCTGCTCACGTTCATGATGAATAGGCCAATGATGTCAGAAGCAAGAGTCTTGGGAGCGGGAGAGGAAGTGGGCTCGGGGCCGTTGGCAGATCCATTTGGGGCGGCTGAAGTCTTTTCATTGTCCTTGCTGCCGCCAGACTTGTTAGATGTCTGGCTGGGCTGAGGAGTGGCAGGCTTGGCTGGGCCAGGCGCCGGAGTGGTTGCCGAAGCACTCCTTGGCTGCTGTGTTGATGATGGCTGTCTACTGGCTGGGGCCGCGGGTTGTGCAGCAGCAACAGGAGGAGCAGGAGTGCTAACAGTAGGAGCAGCAGTAGAGACAGAGGGGGGCGGAGCGCTGGCAGCAGTAGTAGGGGGAGCAGCTCCTGGCTGCTGCTTGGCACCACGATGGGAAAAGTTGAAGCCCTGGGCGCGCATTTCCGTTCCAATGCGTCCATCCTGAATTTCCAAGACTAGATAGCCAAATGCAGCATCAGCAAGGTTGAAATTCCACATATTCTTGAAGGCACTCTCATCAACCTGGCCCAAAGCAGCCTGACCGGTCACCGGACCGCCAAAAGGATTACCACCGGCGGCAGTAGTGGGCATCTTTTCGACAATTTGTAGCGCGTTCTTGAGCAGATTCTGCTGCGCTTCATTCTGCGCAATGGCTGGCTCGACCTCACCTTTCACAGTCTCCCAGACATCGTTGAAGGAGGCCTTGGATGCAGCCAGTTTTCCGCGGTAGTGATCCAAAGTTGGATTTACGCTGAATTCGTTGTACGAGCTTCCATATCGGAAGTGCAGTCCAGCGGAAACGGAAAAATCGGCCTTCAGAGCAACAGAGAGCTGATTCAATATGCCCTCTCTGGCAGGGGAGGCATGCGTGATAAAAATTCGGGTTTCGGTAGGATCGTAGACTCGATGTGCCGTATCAACAAGCTCTCCCATCTGTAACAGCGTCGTCCACATAGTGCCTTGGCCACCGGCAATGGTGGTTCGGCCTTCACCGTTGTCAAATAACTTGTGCATGACAACAGCACCACCAAGACCCAGCAGTCTGAGCTTGACACCACCGATCTCGAGAAGCATGGAGCGAGCTTCATCAATGATATGTAAGTTGGGAACCTTGTACTCGGAGGACCGAAACTTTTCCAACACTCGAACGTCTTCGCAAGCACCCCAAACGGTATAGACGGGGACATCTAGCTTCACCTCTCCGCTGAGCAGAAGGGGAAGCTCGGAAAGCGGGAGGTCGCTGGGTGGGAACCGGGTCTTGACAGGCCCATTTCCGCCTTGTTGGATTGCCTTCTTAACAGGATCGGGGATCAGGGGAGAATATTGAGCGACATGCTTGAGGGTCTTTTCGGCAATACGTTCTAGCGACGTGTCGTCATAAAAACCGAAATCACCCGTGTGGATGATGTGATCGGCGCGAGCCTGCTTTGCGAGTTCGTTCAAGGATCTCAGATTTCCTATAGCGCAAAAGATAAGTCCAAGTCCATTGTGGCCGCCGTACCAGCTCCCGGGGCTGATGCAAGTGCTCACCTCGAACATCAGCAATGCAAAGAACTCGAATAGGGCCTGTCTGAATAACTCTTCCTTGGTTCGGTAGGAGGGGGGCGGCGCCGGGTGGCAAGCTGCTGCCGCCGTTTTGCAGATAGCCCTGGCTGTTGTAGGGTCGTGACTGGAACCCGTTAGTCAAGGTTCGTGGAGCAGACGTCCTTGCTCCTAGAGGAGCAGTCCTAGCAGTGGTGAATCTAGCAGCCATGGGAGGCACGTGGGGATGGTTGTGTGATGGCAGCGGGAGAATCCAAGGGTTTGGGGTCTTGCGCTGCGTCGGTGGTGACGATGACGGGAAAGAGAAAGGAGACGGGGGATGGTTCGAAGATGAGAGTGGTGAAACGCAAAATACAAAGCCATGCACTAAACGGTACAGTCAGGCTTGACAGGTGTTTGCCAGCTTCTGCCAGCTTCTGCCAGCTGCCCGATCTACGCCAGGGTGGAATTGGCGGTGCGCCAGCAGGAAGGAGCAAACGAGGACGTTTGGACAAAGCAAACTCACAGCAGCCATTCTATCGACGAGGAGTTGTTCGATCAATCAGACGCGCTCCGGGTTTCTGGCGAGAGGCAAGAGGCGAGATGATTCGTAATTCCAAGGCGTACAAGACGTACAGTCGTTCGTCGAGGAAGAGGAGGAAAAAGATGAGGCGCGGCGGGAGATGGCCTGGGTATCAAATAGGATGACGGCGGAGAGGGTAGATGGGCCGCAGTCAAAGGAGGTGCTCGGGTGAGGTGTGGTCTTCGCGGCTCCAAATGTCGAACAAGGCTGGAGATAATTTTCCCACTCGCCAAAGTTCTGACCTGACCCAACATTGAACCAACCAAGGACATGGGAAGCCCAGGAGCCAAACAGCAAGCAGCTGGCTGTAAGCCTGTAACCCGACTGACTGTCTGTTTGTGCTTTGCGTACTGTGCTGCGCGTCGTCCAGCCAGTCCCAGCGCTCAGGAGGTGAACTCCTGCCGGCTTAGCCGCATTCAGACTAGGCAAGAAGTGTGCTGAGGCTGGCCCCAAGTGCCCCCAAGTTTGTACCGTATGAGCGCCAGGCATTGACTTACAGCGAACAACAAAGGCTCCATGTCAACCTGCGCACTGGCGCTAGAGAGGCTGGAGCGAGCTGCTACGCTACACTGAGTTCAGGCACCGCTCAAGTGCTAGTATTTTTAGTTTGATGCCCGCGCAGTAAATGGTGCCAGTGGCGTCTTGGACAGGCACCAAACCCTGTATGCGACTTGCACTCAGCAGATGGCTACCCTACAGAACCGAAGGTGGTGTTCCTGGCGCGACCATTTGCGACGTCTGGAATCTATGCGATCAAGACTTCATTTCAAATAAAAGACTGCGTGCCTGGGTAGATAGCCGCTGCTGCTGGACTAAGTTACCGGGCTGCCCGATAGGCTGCTTATAATAGCACAGCAAACTTTGGAGCAACAATGGAGTCAAAGGACACGACCCGACAGAATGTGAGGCATAGCCTTTGATGCATGTCTCGCAGTTGGCGTCATCCATATTCACGAATAAAAAAAAGTCCAAGTGCCTGTCTTTCAAGTTAATCGAGTACTTACTTAGACCTGGGTACCTTTCAAAGCCGCACGCACTGTCGCATTGATTGGATTGGACCCAGTACCTCAGCTGACTCCGTTGCTCTCGACGGCCGTCAAGTTGCAGTCTGGTGTGCAGGACGCACCACCTGTCTCAAAGCGTGATGGCAACCCTGAGTCAGCCATGGAGAATTTAAATGCAAGTCATGGCAAGCTAGTTCACTGAGCAAAACCCGCAACCAAGCGTCGTTCTTGGTGGGCGAGTCGTCTGATATGCGCCGTGAAAAGAGCCAAGTCTGATCTGATGCTTGACAACTGGAGTCGAGGCCTATCTAGTACTCCGTACCCCCTTCTGGTACATCCAAGTGCACCCACATGTGCGCTGAACTCAAAGTAACTCTAGCACGGTGATCAGCCCTAGTGGTCCGACGGCCCCTGTCTGCTTTGCTTTTGGCGGCTTCCAGCACCCCGACAGCCCCGGCCGTATGTGACGCAGAGGTGCATCTGGCGTCAATTGGCGCTGTCCGGCCACGTGACGCAGTGCATTGCGGGCTTAAGCCTGCCAAAGCCTCGAGTCAATTGGCGGTGCCAGAATGACTGAGGCGCCGCCAAGTGCGTTAATGCCAGTATGCTCAAGTGCCCAACTTGGAAGTCCACAACTTGAGAAGGCGGCGCAGCACAAGTCCGACACGGCAGTGACTGGGTCCCGGGCTCAAGTAAGTGGCACGTCGACGGACATCTCTCCTTCCCATCCAAGTCGCAGGCGCTCACGACCATAATTCGAACTGACCGTTGACGACCACATGACCAAGTCCTAGAAACAACTCCCTCGAGAAGACGCGCCGAGCCCTGTCCTCTTTCGTCGGAAGCCAACTCTCTCACTGTCACTGGTATTGCCCCTTCAGCGTCTCTGGCCGGCTTCCCACTGCATGCCGTCTCCTGGTTGAACCCCCCACCATTTTGAGCATCGACAGTCCGCCCCCTCAAAGCCTCGTATCCCTCATGCGACGATAAAGCCCGTCGACGACAGCAAGGCCTGGGCTAGGGAGGCCTTTAATTCGCCGCACTGTTGTCGACAATTCGACATCGGCAACTGCTGCGAGACCTGATCCGCTTCGTTGTCCGCTGGTGAATGACAGGAGTCGGCCTCCTTACCACTAGACGCCGCGGGGGTTGACTTGTGTGCAAGTAGGTTGCTTAGAACAACTCCACGGCACCTCGGAAGCAGACAGAGAGCCCTCCACATTGCCCTTGATGATGGTAAGATTGAAAATCGTGCTTCAAGATTGATAGCACCATAGCCTATCTGTCCGGAGTGGCCATGTTCAGACCCAAGTGACAAGACCCGGCAATATGCTCCAAATCAGATCGCCTCCCCCTGTATTGTTTGCTGATCTGATGCCTTCCAACAGACCTCATCCCGACCCCGCGACGAAACTGCGGGAAATTTCAGCAGCCGTCGCGGTCATGCAAGTCAACTTTCAATCTCAGACCCGAGCCACCATGTCACAGAAGCTATAGGGACGCTGTATGGCGATGAGGACGATTCTGGGTCCGAAACTGGCGGTCGACCATTAAGTTTTATCGATGGATCTTCGTACCACGAGCAGTTACAACGACCAGCCCATCTCGACTCGCAGCACCATGCTCATGCCCGCTCCCGACATCAGCAGCAAATGGAATACGATTCCCGCAAACCATTGACACGCTCAATGTCGGATGAACTTTACGCTACACAGTCCTCCTATGAAGAACATGGCGAGAGCCTTAAAAAATCACAAACCATGAACATCCCCTCACCGAATCGTCGAACCAGTATGCAGTATGAAGGAGGCTCCAAAGCGCCTGCATCGCCGGCTTTATCACTACGCGATGTTCAAGCCGGCGAGGCGGGTTCGCAATTTCCGCTTACCAACATTGACAACCCAAATGACATCGCGCAGGAATTGAGCAACCTGCAGGCTCTCAGGCGCATGTCCATGGATGTCGGAAACAGTATTGATCCGGATATGCCACCTATTGGACTTTCAGCAATGCCAGCCATAGCCCCGTCTGGGAATGACGACGAGAACGATCCATCCAGGCTTTTATGGGTCCCAGCCAGAGTTCACCCCGAACTTGCCCCGAGTGAATTCAAGTCTTTCCTGGAGAACCGTGTACAGTCGATTAGAAGGAGATCGGGGGAGTCTTTTCTCTCTGCAGATGGCAGTGACCTGAATCGCAGCAACCCTGGGTCCCTGAGACGCCAGAAGTCAATGCTCTCTCGGCAGATTGATAACTCCAGTGGGCAAGGAGCAGTAGGATATGTTGACGGAGCAGACCGCCTAGAGCGCAAACGGTCAACTGCGGGCAGTCATAACCGCGAACTAAGCCTTGATGAGTTGGTCAAGGATCCCACTCGTGCCGTTCAAAAGCTTGCAAAGGAAGTACATAATACGCCCAGTGGAGAGGAGGGTAGCACTGATGATATGCCAATTCTTCCCATGGCTCCTGGGATGGGGCTAAGAAGATCGACAAGAACGACCTATCGCAAGGGTGGTAGTCTACGATCTGGCGACAGAGTACCATTTTCAAAGCGTTTGGCGCAAAAGCAACAAGACGGCGAATTGCCGGACCTGCCCAGTGTACCTCCAAGGGACGCGTTACGGGGACACACACCAGACAGCGTTCAAGAGCCACTATCAGAAAACTATTCCAGGCCATCAAGATCGGTCAGAAAGCAATGGGACTTTTCTCAAGACTCACCAGGTAACGACGGGTCTTCTCCGAACGAGGAAGACGTTAGGGTCGCATCACCGCCAGTGCAAGAGCAGCTCCATGTCCGAGCAATATCAATGCCAACCGTTGCGTCGCCCCCAGAAGGTGAGCCGCGAAACGATGAGCCAGGCCATGCAAGCAATCAATTCTCGGGGACATTTCCCCAACGGTCTTCATCACAGACTACTGGTTCGTTGAAGCCCGAATCCACGCCAAAGACACCCGAAGTCGTTGTGGAAGATTCACTTGGTCCCCACGCTGCTAGACATTCAACACCGGTTACAAATAACTATCCCCTTCAAAAACAAAACCAGCAGGCTCAGTACTCGTCGAAACCTCTCCCGCCTTCACAGCAACCGTCCTATAACGACAAATTCGCATCAGCATCATCGTCTCTTCTCACCGGCGATGCATCACGAACTGACAATCTCACTGTCATCCCAACATTCAGCCAAATTGACAAGAAGTCCGACAAAAGATCAAAAAAAGACAGAGACGACGATGCTTCCAGCACATCAAGCAAATCCGGAGGTGCATGGAAATGGTTCAAAGGCGTTACTGACGACAAGGATAAGAAAAAAGAGGAGAATAAACGAGCAAAGGCCAAGGCACTTGCTGAAAAAACGTCTGATAATGCTAGGCTTGATGTTATTCAGAGCTCAATTGACAAGACGCCCGCGAAGGGACGTGAAAGTCTGGTCCTGGATAGGGACAATATGGACAACAAGTTGTTGGAGGAGCGGAAAAAAGAAAGTCACCGAAAAAGCGATTCCAAGAAAGATAAGGATGGTAATATTTTCTCCTCGATTTTCGGCGGTAGCAAACGGAAAGAAGAGAAGGAAAAGTCAGGCAAAAAGAGCCAGCACCTTCAAGTTCCTGAGGAGCCGGTTTACAAGCCTTTGCAGCCCGATGTGGATTATAACTGGACACGTTTCCCATTGTTGGAGGAGAGAGCTATCTATCGAATGGCTCATATCAAACTGGCCCATCCTCGTCGACCGCTGCTCAGCCAAGTGCTGCTCAGCAATTTCATGTACAGCTATCTAGCCATTGTCCAGGCCATGCATCCTCAAATGAACGTACCGACGTCTCCGCAACAAAAGCGACTTGAAGAGGAGGCTCGGCGGAAGAGACAAGAGCAAGAGTATCTTGCGCAACAGCAAATGGATGACGAGGATGCTGACAATAGCTTGGAGCAATACAATTTTGACTATCACAGAGTAAGCCGTTGATCTTTTACCTGGGAATATCCATGCGCTGACGCATAATTTAGGCTGCTGTCCAGTATGCCGAGTCTGGATCTGAGAACCAAGTGGATTACGTTGATGAAGCTCAAATTTATGAAGACGAGCACGGAAATGACAACCAAGAAGACTACAGCTATGACAACCAAGACGGATACGGCCACAGCGTCAAGGATTACTACCAATATCAAGGTGATGATTCAGACCACCGGCATCACGGTGGCAACAGTATGTGGTGAAACCAATCAAATGGCTCCAATTACTCCATTTACTTACGGTACCTTTTCGTTGTTCTTCAAAGACTTTATATGATCGTCTGTGACATCTTCTTTCCAAATTTCCTTCCACAGAAATGAAACGAACCGAACCGATAACACGAAGCAAATCAACACCATTGACAAGGGGCACATACAACAGCTGTATACAAAGGTACAGAATTTTCTAGCATTCGACGGAGTTTTATTATTGAGAGGTTCAGCGTGCTTGCAAATTAAAGAGTCAAATTTCTCCACTTCTGGGCTTTGCAACGGGGAGAATTACAAGTCTCCCGAGTTAATGCTTTGGGTTCACCTCAAAATCACACACACGCACAGCGAAGGCGACGGTTTAGAGGGTGGGCGCAGATAACGAGTCTGTATTATGCATGTCTATTTTACTTTGTGTACTTTACCTTCTTTGTGCTTCAAGTCGAACCACCCTCGACGGGCCCGGCCGTCCACATGTGGCACGTGGCTGTGGATATTTACTCTTTTGTTCTTCCCACTCATATTTTTCGTTGCCTCCTTCTTGGTTGATGTATGATTTGGCGAGAATAGTCTGCTGGATGCGGCTATGTCGTTCAGTCTCCCCTTCCTTCGTGAAGTTGAGACAGTGCGTGGAAAGTGATGCGCGAAAGGGGTCGAGCTGCTCAATGAGAATATAGACTGACGCAGGATATGGCATAATACAAGAATTGGCCTTGGCCGTTGTCAAAGTTGACACAATAAGCTTCTTTTGTCGATGTTATACACATGTTTTTTTGGCACTGACTTGGGGATTACGGCTACTATATGATGAATTAATTAGCCGCACTGTAAATGCTGATCTGATATGAGCAAAGGACCAGAGAATGGTAGATATGCTTTGATATGAAATACCAAGCGGCTGACGTTGATTAAAACATGATCCATCATCACAAAGCACCAGGTAAGCGTGATTTGGTAGCAATTGCCATTAATACATGCCAATAATGGCAAATTCCTTATTGAGAACCAAGAAAAATCATGTACAGTACAGGGGTGTTCCCTTCCCTTCCCTTCCCTTTCGCTAGGCCCGCTCTCTATTTCTTAGGTTCCTCCTTCTTCTCCGGCTTTGGCGTAGGCAGCTTGAAAGTATCCGGTCTACGGTCCTCACCAGGACCAACCATTTCCCATGCACTAGAACCACCTTCAAAGTTGCGGAACGCCTGCGTAAGTTCAAGGGGTTCGGTAACAATTCGCTTCTTCTCCTCGTCATACCGGATCTCGGTGTAGCCCGTTAGGGGGAAGTCCTTGCGGAGCGGGTGACCCTCGAAACCGTAATCGGTCATGATGCGCCGCAGATCAGGGTGGCCGGCAAAAAAGACGCCAAAGAGGTCGTAGACCTCGCGCTCATACCAGTTGGCGCCGTCGTAGAGGCTGGTGACACTGGGGACAGGAGAGGCCTCATCGGCGTAGGTCTTGACACGGATGCGGGAGTTGTGGCGGACGGACAGGAGGTTGTACACTACTTCGAAGCGCTTGTCGCGGGTGGGGAAGTCGCATGCGGTGATGGTGCTCATTTGTGTGAATTCAGCAGAGGTGTTGTCTGTATTCGTTGTAGCGGTTAGCGAAGACCGTCCACGGCATTGCAGCAACCCTAGCACCGGGAATAATCCAATGTAGCCGACAGCAGGGCATCGGCAATAGACGTACACTTCAAAAACGTGAAGACGGGGATGACACCCGAGGGCGAGATGTAAATGGTAAGCTCATCCTTCCATACAGAAAACTGCTGTATGTATTTGGGTAGGCAGCCCATAAGCCACGATCCGTATCGGTGCATGTTGTCCGACTTGCTCTGGTATTTGTCGGCCGGATTGACAAGAGGCGCCTTGAGAACTCCAATCTGATCCCGAGGGGCCTTTCGCAAGTTCTCAGCCTCCTTGGGCATGTTGACGAGCCGGGCGGCCGACACAGAAAAGGCACGGACGCCCTGTCCACTGACGGCCGCTGAAGGCCGCAGAGCCGAGACGATTGTCCGGCTTCGAGACATTTTTGTCGCCATGGCCGAATTGTACGCCTAGTTAGAGGCCAATTGACAATGCGAATTCCAAGGCGGACTGTCGAGGAGGATTGGTGGTGGTTGTGGTGGGCTCTCCCGGAGATGGTCCTCAGGTTCGGGATCAACTGGAGATGGGAACGAACTGCTACAGCAGAAAAGTGTCCGAGGATTTGCCGGGCACAGGACATAGCTCGTTGACAAATGGCAAATCTAGGCCCTGTCATTGGGCACTTCGCCAACCACGAAGAAAGCTGGCCCTGCTGACAAAGGAGCGAATATCACGTGAGGCTACATTGAGCACTAAACCGTTTTAGGACTAATGCAAAGTGAACTTTCTCTGCCAAAGCTTTCCGGATGGATCATCATCCTGCCCAAATGTCCTCCTTGTTCTGCATACCCTTTACATACCAATACCTTAATATTCGCCCGCATCCCCTCTTCTTTGATATTTACATAGCACGTTACAGAAAGACATAATGGCACCGCAAGATTCCTTCATAGAAGAAGAAGAAGATGTCTGGTAAGTCTTATCTCGTCCAGGACCCCCCGACGCACACGCGCCCAGCCGCACTTCGCTCCCTCAAGTGCTTCGCGTGTCCGGCACCCCCTCAACTTTTACACAAGCTTACGACGTTCTTAATAACAGCCCTCTGTGCATCGAGGAGTTCGATCTATCGGATCGAAATTTTCGGCCTTGTCCATGCGGCTACCAGGTTCGTCCATTTACCTTTTCCCTTGGCGACTCGACGTCCTGTTCGACATTGAAACTAACGGTGCCCGGCAGGTCTGCCAGTTCTGCTTCAACAATATTAAGAACAACATGAACGGCCTGTGTCCGGCTTGCAGACGGCCGTACGATGAGAAGACGATAGAATGGAAGGTGGTTACTCAGGAAGAGTGAGTGCCCCTTCCATATCCTATTTTGCCGAAACCTTGTCTACCTGACGTGCACGAGCATCAAGTTATACTAACATGTACTTTTCAGAGTTGCCGAGTTTCGCGCCAACATTCAGAAGAACCAAAAGAAGCGAGCACAGGAGCAACGACAAAAAGAAGTGCAAAAACGCGAAGCCGAAAAGGAGAATCGTAAAAACCTTGTCGGCGTCCGAGTCGTTCAGAAGAACCTAGTCTATATCACTGGACTAGCACCAACGGTGCGTGAAGACGAACTGCTCAAGACTCTACGAAAACCCGAATTTTTCGGTCAGTATGGCAATATTCAGAAAATATCCATAAGCAACCGCAAAAGTCCAGATGGGCAACATCATTCACTTGGCATCTACGTAACGTTCGAAAAGCCCGAGGAAGCAACGAAATGCATCATCGCAGTAAACGGTTCTCAGAATGGCGACCGTATATTGAAAGCTCAACATGGTACCACCAAGTATTGCTCTGCCTGGCTGAAGAACGAAAAGTGTAATAATCCTGGTTGCATGTTCCTTCACGAGCAAGGAGATGAGGAGGATAGCTACACCCGGCAAGATCTCTCATCTATGAACAGTATCCATACACAAAGGCCATTACCAGGTGGTGGCGGAGGTTCATCTCGCGCAGTTTCCCGACAACATCTTCCGCACCCCACCCCTCCTCCTCCTGCTTCGCAACCGATGGTGCGTACTATTAGTAGAGATGGCTCTGACAATGGCATTGACTCATCTGCACTGCCGTCGTCTGCAAACTGGGCTAGAAATCCTCAGCGCAGTCGGAGAGGTAGTTACGCCACTAGCGGTGCAGCGTCCAGTCCGGCTATTTCCATGTCGCTTCCAGCAACAACGGAGGCTACCCAAGAGGCTGTAGACGACGCCGATGTCTCACCTGCTCAGTCTGTCGCGAACAAAGGCAAACAACCATACGGGACGCAGCCTCAAGCCTCCACCTCCGCTCAGGAGGAGAAGGAGCAGCGGTCGCCCAAAACAACGGACAGTGCTGTCGCTGCTCTATTGAAGACCCTGGGAGATTGCAAGCTGCCAGTCTTCACTACCGCTAATGCTAGTGATGATACTCATCCACCCATGTTTGATATCCGAGGTGGCGAGAAGCGAAGGGCTATGAGAGAGGACGAAGAGTCGCGAATCGACCAGGAAGACCAGACTGAAACACATACACCATCTGAAGGCGAACCCGAAACTGGGGGCAGTCTTGCTCTTGGCGGCGAACCTGAGGACCGAGAGCTCGGTAGGGATGTCCACGGTTTTGATCAACGACAGTCTAGCACCCAACCTCCGATTCAACGTGGGAGTACAGACGGGCTCTATGGCGCACCATCGAGTGGCTCCAGCTTTCCTCAGGGCTCTGGTAATATTAGTAGAGTCATGACACCGCAACAGCTGGCGTCACTTCGATTGCAGGCTGGCTACACGGACCAAATGCCGCCCGGTATCTCTGCCCAGAATCCGTTTCAAAATTCGGGCCATAACCGCCAATCCTCGCGATTCAACTTCGCCAACGATGCTGGGAACTCTACTACCAATATCAAACTGGCTGCTAATCCTAGGATCATGGCTCAGCAGTCGTCCATGATGCCCAGCTCTTTCCAATCACAGTCGAGCAACCAGTTCTACGCCACATCTATGCCTGGCCCTCCGCCTGGCCTTAAGTCTACAGGCACACCGCCAAGTATGTTTGGTCAGGGTTTCGGCACTGGCTCAGGATTTGGCGGAGCCCACAAGGATTCCTCTAACGATTTACTCCAAACTCTCATCGGCCGCAATCGAGGAGGCAGCACCCAGCCTCAAGATGTTGGAAAGCGTGAGTACATGATTTCTTCTTTCTCAAACCAGTACCCACCACCCTCTACCTCCACCCCAGCTCCTGCTTCTGGCCTCCTGGCATCGCTCTACGGCAACCATCCTGGAGCATTCCAAGACTTTGGGTCGAAGCAGAAGAAGAAGGGCAAGAAGCACAGACATGCTAACACTTCCTCCTCAGGGGGGAGTGGCTTAGTAGATCTTGCCGACCCGAGTATCCTGCAGGCAAGAATGCAGCAGCATCAGTCACAGAGCAATGCCGGAGTTGCCGGGCAACAAGGACTGTTCGGTGGTGGTCAGAGCCAAGGTGGGTACAATCCTAACATGATGTATAACACCGGCTACGGGCGTTGGTAGTCGAAAAAAAACAGACCTACAGAGTATGGGGCCATGGTTTATGTCTTTCCCCCCCTTAACTTCCTTTAACTTTCATGTTTTGAAACGAGCAATTCTGCTCTTTTCGCTCTTAGTGTACTTCTCAAGTTGGCTTTGGCGTTTCATTAGCATGTTTTCGGTATAATCACCGAGAAATTGGGGCTGCATTTGCTCCAAGGAGCACAAAGATATGCATATCTTTTTGTTTTGATCAAGCAGGCATTTGCGTGGTCGCCGCAAGTATCCCCCACACAGGGTGAGCGGCAGGTTTTTGCACAGGGCGTCAGCTCTTATTCTTGGTTTATCTGGGATCAGAATGGCGCAGAGAGGTAACACAGTGTCAACCTCAATATTGTTATTTTTTTTTAAATTTTTTTTTGGGTTGCTCCAGGCCTGCCTCAAGTCGGTTACATGCTTGTTGCATTGGGGACGAAATTGGAGGATCACGCCAGGCAAGCCATCATCGTCTTCCACAACGCACACATACACCCCTTCTATGTACGTTAACAACTCACATTATGGTGCAACGCCTCCAGAGAGGGTAGCATCTTTGGTCAGAATATAACAACATTGTCTATTCTCTCCAACTCTGCCTTTCCCTTCATTGTCCCCCCTGTGGAAGACGATGATGGAGGCCGTAGGATGATCTGCAACTGTCTGTTTGTCTTTCATGTACTTAAACTTTGGCCTCGTATTGTAGACTCAGCCGGTGTTGACTGTGTTGCGTAAGAAAAAGTTCATTTTGGCACCATGCTAACATTTATACTTTTTTAGAGGACGAGCTACTTTCGTTAGACGAAGCAACCAGTTCGGTCGATGCCCTGGTTTCCGATGAACCACAAGGACTCTATGCTGGATCAGGGTTCGGCTTTGATATGGGAATGACGCGATCTGTACCTCCTGGATTTGCCATCCTCCCAGAAATGGTAAATTCTCCTATATCAGCGATGGCATCTCCGGCGTTGAGCCTACATCGCCAAGCTGAAGCCGTATCTACATTGTTCAAGGCACCTCCTCCACCTGGTCTGGAGAATGGTACTGTTACGCCAGTGCAGACTCCACGAAAAGTGATTGCTCCTGGTTTGGAGGCGACGAAAAATAGCAGGCCGTCTACGTCTGAAGCTAGGGTATTAAAGCACATGCCATCGCAGCCTCAGTTTGAACAGCAGTCAGTATCCTCACCCCCAGGAGATGAGGACTTCCCTGCCTTGGGGTCGTCGCAGTCCATCAAGGCTCGAACTCAGTCCCCTGCTAGTCCAGTCGTTCCAACCCCCAAACCCACCCCAGCGGCAAAGAAGAGGGCCAACAGAATTGTTGACAAGGCTGCTAGCAGTCATGATCAACCTGCCTCCACGGTGTCGGACTCGATCAAGAAGAGACCCTCCACTATCAGTATCCAGCCGCCGTCGGATAAATCCGTCCCAAGCCATGATTTTCAAGGCACGGATAAGCCGGTTGAAGACTCACCGACCTTTCCTCCTTTACCAACGGCCACAGCTAGCTTTCCCTCGCCAGTCCATCGAAGCGGACCCCGAACACTGCGACTTATGCCGACTCCCAGGGCTCCAGAGTCTCCTGCACTGCCCTCCCCCGTACAGTCGGTGGCTTCCAAGGCTGTCTCTATCTCGCATAGACCAGACACCCCAGGAAGCGAGATGATTAGTGACACAGCTTCCATAGTGTCTGCCTCCATATCAGCATCCCGCGCAGGATCGCCTCCGCCAAGCAAAGTTGGTTCTGCCGCCGTGCGAACTACTACAAAAAGCCAGCAACGCAAGCAGCGTAAGGAGGCTCTCAAGCAGGAGACGAAGATTATAGCCGAGGCATCAAAGCCAGAGCCTGAGGAGCATGCACCAGTCATTGGCCGCAAGAAGAAACAAAAGAAAGAGAGGCCCGCCAAAGCGGTAGTTGCTCGAGAAAAACCCGATCCTCCGACAACTTCAGCCTCTGAGCCTTCGAAGACCGAGCCAGAGATGCCTGTACAGCATGAATCTGTGAATGATAAGGTTGTTGAAGAGACGGATTTTAAAAGTAGGACGATACAGAAAAGAGCAGCTAAGAATAAAGACAAGGAAATGGACATGGAAAAGGGACAAGCAAAGTCACCTCCTACGCCAGCATCATCACCAACAGTGCCGTCAAAACTGGCGGAGCTTGGCAACTCGGTGCCCGCCGAGCCGATTGAGTCATCAGACCCGGCTGACAGACAGCAGTTTGGACCAGCCTCTGTGCTTCAAGAGATCAAGAGCTCACTCTTGACTTCGGCTCTGGACAAGCTGCTGCTGCTCAGACTGGTCAGCAGCAGCTCGCTACGTGCTGATCTTAGTCAGGCTGCTAATGGCGCGAGCAAGTCAGTATACTGCAAGGACTATGCCTGCAAATGTGGCGAGATCCAGGACGATGACCTCACAGCCCTTCGAGCAGGTAAGCCGGTTCGTAAACAATTCCATGTTGATGGCAGCAGAATGCTCATCACACCCAATGGGGATTGCATCCGCGGCTTGACACCCGAGCAAGAAGATGCCTTCCTCGACCTGCAAGCCGCCATCGCCAGTACGGCTGATAATCCAGGTGCCTTTGTGGCCCCGAGACATCAGCCAGGTAGCGGAGCTTTTTCTCTCATCAAGGGGCGCGCAGTTCCAAATGGCCGTCCCAACATCTTTCCCACCACAGCACAGCCCCAGTTCCAGGATCCCATTGGCAAACTACAGCGAGAAGATGCCCTCAGCTACATTAATCAGTATGTCCTGCCGCGCCTTAACTTGGATGCTGCAAACATGGGATTCCCTAAGGGAGCATCTCCACTTCGTGATGCCGCGGCAGCTAGTCTTAACGCGCTGGCTCCCTACTTTTATGGCCCAGATGCGGCTGCTGGCGTGGGTATTTATAGTGCCCCTGACGGCGCGCGCGCCATGCAGGACTTTTCCTCGTCCGGCGGCGCACCGGCTGCTGATGCTAGCAAAATCGGTCCTGCCAATGGCCTTGGTGGTATTTCTCTGATGAGTGTCGAGGATGCAGAGGTCCGTTTGGCAGCTTCTCGAAAGGAGACGGAGAAGTTGGAAAGGGGTCTGAATGCTGTGATTAAGCGGAACAGAAGACTTCTCATTGGTGGTGGTAACTGATTTGTTGGGGACCAGTCAACAAACAACACAGCGTATAATCCGAGTATCAAACTTGTACACATTTACCTGTATTTCTATGTCTCTATTTGGAGAGAACTGTACACGAAAGAATTAGCAACTGACGTTTTTTTTTTTCGACTTGGAAAAATTTCAACAGCGAGCTATACAATATTGCATCCTCAGACATGAAGACAGGCGTTTTCTTCACAGGATACTTGCTTTGCATATTATGTATGATAGTACCAGACGTAGCCATGTACTAATAAAGGATCTGCAGAATACCAAAGATACCTAGGTACCTATGCTACATAGACATATTTTTTAATACCTGCTTTCAAGCCATGTGGCGATATATCATATGCTGTCCGTCGTAAAACTCCATAGTTAGTCTTCAAATGCGTAAGCTTGATGACAACCCAGCGGTTTTTCCCTTCACCTCCAGGTTCAAACTCATAGGGTATCTAGTCCATCTCCTCCCAAAACGCCGGTTTCCTAAAGCAAATACACTCATGGCGAATTGGCATCGTCTTCGTCAATTTTAGTTTCCCAAAGGGATTCTTCTAGTCTTTCCATCAATTTATCTAGAATCCATTCACTTTCTTCCTGTCCACCCATGAGAGGACTACGATTGCCTACCCAAGACCATTTGAGATGGGCGTCAGTATCAGGAAGTTGGACTGGGATTGGTGCTGCTAGCTGCATAGATGGTCGTGGAGCTCGAATTGTCTCGGCAACATCGTCCTGAGGTGGATCACGACCTTGCTCCGCCTTGTCACGATGACGATTGTGGTGTTTGTGTTTGTGTCTTCTGGTCCGTCTGTGTTTCGCCTTAGGAAGCACTTTTCGGTGATTCAAGGGGTCCCGTTCGTCCTCTCCAATTAGAGCCAGATACCATGCCCACTCTTCAAATGTATATCGCCGCGGCTCAGGCTCTCTAAGATGCTGGGACACAGTCTGAATTTCCTTGACGAGTAGTAGATGTAGTTCCGTGCCGATAGGTAGGTCGTCGAGACGATCTTGTACTTGTGCTAAAGAAGGGCGGCCTGCAGGAATTTCGGTTTTTTGGCAAAGTTTGTGTTTTCCTTGACGCTCCTCATCGTCCTCTCGGTGTCCATGAGAAGCCGAGCCACCACTATGACTGGATTCGTTTTGTTGTTTTTCTGTGTCTTTAACATCTTTGGGGTCGAAGCCCGTCAAGTCTTCCGCCCTTTTACGTATTCTCTTTTCCCTTTCGTGCTCCCGAATCGTAATGGTTGCACTGCGGAACAGACGGCCAAACGAAACACGATTGGCAACATACTTTGCATTCCCCGTGAAACCATCCTCACCGGGCAGGATTGTAATGTTGCCAATACGAATTGTTGCGTCTGTTACAAACTTGACAACCGTGTCGCCCGCGTTGGAAATAAGAACCGTCATGGTGGGCAGTGCCAATAGTGACCAGAAAACGAAGAATGACTTGCCAGCATTCGAGTTCGGCGTACGATCTCCATAGCCAATAGTCATGAGTGAAATGAAGCAGAAGTAGAAGGCATCGAAATAGTTCCACTGTTGATATGGCTCTTCAGCACTGACGAAAATCACGGCACCAACGAGCCACAACAAAATCCACACGCCGGTAGATATTGCCATTGCCATCCATTTTCTACGAATTGAGGCCTGTTGTTGAATCTTTCGCATCAGTAGAAATTCGGTTTTTCTGCGGTCGAATTCATTTTGTGGCAAACCGGCATTTTCCGGACCCCAGTTTGAGACTGTATCATCGTCAATCGGGCTCAGGATTTCATCGTGGCCACTTTTTGTCATTGTGCGAATGAATCTTCTCCGATTCTTCTCTTCCATCCGAGCATCCAGTCGACGCCTACCACGTTCGAGAATCATGCTTCGAATGGAGCTAATAACGAGACCAAGGCTGATAACCCCGATGAGAGCGTATGGGATAAGTAGCGCGCATCCCAGCGTCGTGTTGGCGGCAAAGTCCCCAAAACCAACAGTGAAGAGCGTCACGTCGGCCCAGTAAACAGCATCTAGGTATCTCCAGTTCTCGATTTTCGAAAAGATGAGGGCTCCAAGGAGAAGATACATCAGAAAGAGGATAGTCTGAAGCATTAGGGTGCGTTGGCTACGGGTAAGGTTGAAGTCCTTGGGGTAATGGCCTGAAGAGGCTCCCCAAAACGTCACGGCCATCAGTGAGGCATCGACAAAGTACAGAATGGCTGCCCATATGCCGTAATAGAAAGCCTGTGACCAGATGTAGTCCTGTGGTGGATCAAGATTATACTGAAGGGGACCGGCAGCGGTAGCATTTAGGGATAAAAGACATATGGCAGAGATGTACCTATTTATTACAAACCATGTCAGCGTGGAATGGCGGAGTTGCGGCAGAGATAGGTAGGTGTTGAGGACATACCATCCAATGATTGTGATAGGTTGAGCAATACTAAAGCGAACTCTCTTAGTCATATTCAACAAAAGAAAAGCGTTTGAGACCAAGGCCACGGCTAGTTGGATGGCATTCACAATGGTGAGCCTATATAGCAGGGACGATATTAGCTGACCGAGTCACTTGTTTGCTAGTCTCAAAACACAGGCCAAGTTAGGTTTCGGGGTCAACTCTGCAACGTACCAAGCAGGGTCCTGTATAAATACCGCATCGTCAACATTCTGTCCAGGAACCAGTTTTTGGCGCCATTGAGATCCCAAGGCGCAGATGCTGAAAGCCGAGGCGACGGGGCCAAGGGTGGCTGCGATCATGGGAAACGCAGAGGAAGCAAACCACCATCGGCTAAGGCGGAGACTGTGTGAGCGGGTGTACGGAGCACAAATGAATGAGATGTGCCGGATACTGACAGGAACTCACCTAGGAATAAGATGCGCCAAGTCATTTTGGAAACGTGTCTCGCGAGAGCGTTTGTGCTGCAGTTGTTGCCGTGACATCTGCTTGCTGAGATTATTATCCAGGTCTGAAGCATGATGCTCAATGGCTTTCCCATGCTTGCCGTCATCCATGGCAAGGGAATAAGAGCGCCAGGACACTGGCCGGGGCGCTCGGGTTCAACGGAGTCGAGCCTCGTAGGCTGATGTGTCTATCCAGGTACCTTGGAGAGATGAAGCTGTAGGTAGGTGATGCTGCAGGCATGACAGGTGTCGAGGAGAAAAGAGAGTACCGAGCAGGTCAGGAATGAAGGTTCTCAAAGGTTGAAGGTTGAAGGTTTCGGGATTTCGGGGTTTCAATTGGGTCCAGAAACCGGTTTTAAAACTTAGGTACGGGATTTGGAGCTGGATATGCCTGCGAGGAAATGGCTCATCGGTATGGAATAAGGATGCAAGAGGGAGGGAGGCAGAAATAGAGGAGAAAACGAAGATGTCCCCGTCAAGATGCGTTTGAGGTCTGAGTCCTTGGGCAGAAGGATTCAATGTTGACGGGCGGCCTAGACTGGCGTTCTCGACCATGCCGTCTCCACGGGGGGCACAATGTTGGGAGAAAGAAGCAGGCGCCATTGACGTTGTTCTTGCTTGTTGTGTCCGATTCGCCACATGCGCACGGTAGCCATCGAACAAGCAATTCCTGCCGGCTTGGCAGTTGCACTCCATCGCATTTTCCAATGGGAGCGATTGCTAGCCAACCGTTTGACTTCAAATGTCAATTGGGACAAGCCTCTAAAATCTAGTGGATGCTTAGCATGCATCGCCTGGCCCTGGTTGGTCTTTTAGCTGGGCTCCTGAAGGCCCTGCATAAAAGAAAGTAAGTAAGCACTTAATGTAAGGATGCACATGTACATAGATCTGCATAGGGCCGTGTGCTCATGTGGATCTACCCGTGCCTGCCCAGAATTGTCTGGTACCACCTGACCACCACCACCAAGCACCAATGTCGACAGCATCGATGCAATCGTACATATGCTGTAGTCCCGACACCAAACCCATCACCACTGGCCAGCATGCCAGCCATTGCATTGGCCATCGAAAACTTGGATTTCGAGGTCGATTCCTGGTAAGTGCCATTACCACCCACGAAGCAGATCCAATCCAATTATTGCGTCACCGACACCAACCCCCAGGGCCCAGGCACTTTGAGCACTTGGGCGCGGCATAGTGCTGTACGTTGTGCTCAAAGGCTAGACGTCAAAAGCTGACATGTGCGGCAGCCATCGTAGGAGCTTTTTGCAACCTGCATCCTCATTTCCAGGGGCCATTCTACGCGTTCATGGTACATTGACAGGTTGTTCGTCCTGGGCTGCTGCATCACCATGCGCCTGTGCCGCCGGCTGCTTCGAGTCAACGTCCATGGTTCCTCCCCAAGATCCTTCAGCAGCGCGGCCCCGGAGAGAGTGGAGGTAAGATGCGGTTCTGCAGGACATGTCACCATCGAGTAGGTCGCCCTACGGTAGCCGTGTTGATGTTTAAGATGATGCCACCCAGGAAATACTTACAAGCGTCCAGCCTATTCAACATGCCTGGAAGTTCTGCAACTGAGCCCCTATTAATACACATGCCTCCTTTCCCCCAACCTGATGGCTCGGCATCCAAACTACCAACATTTCTTGGAAAACGACCAGTTGCCAGTATAAATTACAGATGGAGACCCTTCTCAGAACCCTCGCCAGAAGTCTCAACCGTAAATAAAGTATTCAGCCCGTTATATTGGCCGACCCCTGTCCACGACACCTCGTTTGCCTTTGCTTGGCTCATTGAGAATTTTCCGCCGCCAACCCACAAGAGGCGCGACATTTACATTTACGGATCATACCTTGGTGCCAGCTTAGCCGCGTCCCTAGCTCTCACAGAGGCCCATACACACGCGAGGTTCGGCGTTAGAGGCCTCATTGCGTACAATGGGATATACAATTGGACCATGTTTCTTCCCGACCACCGTATTAATAGGCCACCCAAAAGGGCCAAGGCAACAACAGCTCCCCCGGGGCCCCAAGAAGGGTCGCAACTACACAGGCTGCAAGAACAAATGCCCGCCTTGTTTGACATGCCGTCAAATTTATTCGATCCGTTTGCGAGCCCAAGCTTGTTCTTTCACAGTCCAGGCTTAATTGTGCCACAATCATTCTTCATGACGGTAGAACACTCAGCCCTCATTGATAACATGACGAGCGATGAGGAGATTACACCAAACCCCATCAAATCGCCAAGAAAATCCCACCTAGTTTTCCCGCCGAGGCAGTCGACGCTCAAAATTCCCGATACTCTTCTCTTGTTTGACTCGGCTGCACTGCCCGTCCCGAAGCCAACCACCAAACCAAAGAGTGCACGAGCAAGGAAACGCGCAAAGCCAAAGGGCCACAGTTTTGAGGCGCAGGCAGCAGAGTTGGCCGAATTAATGAGGCGAAGTGTCAACGTTGTGGAATTGAAGGAGAGGAGTAAGTGGGATGAAGACGTGCATAGCCGCGTTGATGAAGCAATTAGACGAGTGCGGGTAGTTGACGTAGGACTGGAAAGAGACAGCACAGAACTCAGCGATGTGGGATGCGACGCTGTAACGACTTGGCTAGAAAATAGATGATTCCACTTTGCGTTGCCATAATCCGTATGCACCCGTATACATGACAGATATAAGTCAGGCACGGGCTAGACACGGCATGCCGCCAATGAGTCTATATACAAGTTACGGCCGTTGTGGAACAGACTTGTCAACCTCGACTTGAAGAAACTGACCAAAACATCTCACCGTATAGTGTTCTTTCCACTGTCATCAAAATTCCATAATTTTGTGTAGCAAACTCGGCCGTTTGGTCGATGGGCACAATTTTGCTGACGAGGAGCATTGTATATCGATGGATGAACTGGCAATCAACGTACGGTCTGTGAGAGAATATGTTTGCCCACCAAGAAGTATCCGCCAACATACTGTAGTATATCATCAATAAGTATGCCTTGGTTCAGGGTGAACTCTTGGTAGTTAGGTTAGCCACAGAGCCCCAACGTGCCAAGCAATCAGTGAGGTCTTGCAGAACGTGATGATGCAACCAGCACGAGGTCTGCCGAATTAGATGATACAGAGGCTAATTCTCATGAGGTCAACGAAGGGGAATCAAAAACCATTGGTCGAGCACTGCCAGTCTTGCAAGTGGCCAGGCGATAAGAACGAACATTGAGGCCATTCACCAACTCCTCGGGCGCCAAGGCAATGGAACACTAACAATGCTACATTTGCTTAAATTGGAAGAACTCATCGTCATAATTCCTGGTGACTGACTGCGTCTATCGCATCACCACCCACTCCCACAACTGCTTAAAGGCACCAATGCCATCCAGCAGCATGTTGGCATATTTTATGAGGAAGTAGGATTTAGACAGCGATACCGTCAAGCCGTTTGAGAATCATACTGAGCACACGCATACTTGACAGACGACTCCTGGCCAAGCCGTTGGAATAAGATAGCAAATGTGAGTTTGGTTGGTTACTACTAGTTACAGGGATAATCAAGCGGTGAGTGGCTCGTACGGAGCACTCTCCAAAAAGGCGACGGGGGACGCAAGGTCGATTGGCTGGATATCCAAAAATCCTATTCATGATGGCGCCGGGGCCCGTAACGCGTCGGCCCCACACAGACCAAGCACCCGCAAAAAGTGGCCGTAACCTACCTACTTACTAGCCACAAAAACTGCCAGTTTTTACTCCGTCTAGGTTGGGAATTGAAGAATGAAAAAAAAAAGAATTGAGGTGGGTCTGACCGGGGATTGAACCCGGGACCTCTTGCAATTTGTAAGGATACTGTTTAGGAATATGAAATCCCAAAGCAAGAATCATACCACTAGACCATCAGACCGCTCGTTCTTGTTGAAGAGACTGTTGTAAAACTAATATATAAAGGGTTCCCATGACCTCCCCTGCCAGCTACATGCCATGCAGAAAGCACGTTTCGTTTTCCATTCAGCAAAGTCGTTGCTTTTGAGGAAAATAATCCGAAATAAGATCCTCAGGTAGCAGTGAAATAAGAAGAAGCGGTTTTCTCGAGTCCAGGTCAACGGAAGAACCACCATGGGTCTCTAAGAAGTGCCCAGTGATGCGGCATGACGCTCTTTGTCGCAAAGCCGAAGCGGGCATTGTATCAGTGCCTCAAGCAGCAACAGACTGGCGGATTCTCTCAATGCGTGATAAATTATAATCCAACACCCCCAAAAGCCCGTTTCAGTCGGTTACATTCTTCCAGCGGTCCTCAGCAAACGTTTCTGTGTGAGCTGAATTCCCATGTGGCATATTACTGATGCTAATTCTCGTGTCTTCGTCACAGGGTGGCAGGATATGGTCTTCTTCCGTTTGCTCACGGGCTCAGCAATTGGAGGGGCGTTTGCCGGCATCTTCAAATAAAGACATCACATGGACGAGAAAGAAAACGAAAGTTTTCATTTTTCGTTGATTCTACGAGAAGTATGCTGCAGGGACTATTACTTAAGGGAATGAGCTAGCTTTTGTGTAACTGCTAACCATCGTCGCGTAACTTTATGAGGGAAAGGTCATCTATGAGGGAAGGTGCACTTGTAAATATCACCAATGTCGACAAACAAATTCAAGTCTAAAATAGGCGCAATTGGCCGCCTGATACATTCCTACCGATCTTCTGGCCGCCTATGTTGAAGACATGGTTCTCTTCCGGGATTTTCTTGAGATCTTGATGACCCAGGAGGCCGATGGCTTATACAAGTCTCCGGGCGTGACTCAGCGTCGCGTTACTGAAATTGCGATTCAGTTAATTCCATGTTTTTCAGAATTTGTTGCAAGCATTGGCCGCCTCACTGTCTGTCTGCCACTGGGGAAAAGGTTCAATCAGAGTATTCTGTTCATCGACACAATGTAAAGGCAGCATGTCGATGGCAGACTAGACAGGTGGCTGGCGGCCTCTTGTGTCACAATCCCTCGTCTTGGTGAGCACACACCAAGCCTTGGACAGCAGGAATAGATCCTGTCTTGCCAAACTGAAACAAAGAGCTTCAGCAACTGGTAATTTAGCAATGTTCCCAGACATCGAGGCCGCCCGGCCCACCAGCCATGCAGCAGTGCATGCATAGTACTAGTACGTACTACTCTGTACTCCGTAGTACTGGGAGCAAGGCATAACATTGAAGGCACCTCGAGGCTTGACAACTAATTTAGTGCTAGGAAACGGCTGCGTTTTGGCGGTGGAGCGGCCGTCCAAGGTTGTTGAAAAACGTCAAGTGGTCATGGCCAACCCTTGCAGGCGCAGGCGAGTGAGCCACTGACTCGATCACGTTCTGCTGGGAGATCCAGTTCGTAGCAACAAGTACTCCGTACGGAGTGAGGAGAGGCAAGGACAAAGGGAAGACAACCCTGTCCCGGCCTCGAAATGCGTGGCGTCATGGCCGCGGCCGAAACAAGATGAAGCATCGCCTGGTCCAAGTCCATGATGCGCCAGTTATGGCGGTCTGCATCTCTACTCAAGCAATGTGTACACTGCAAGGCAAAAGGACATGAAGCGAGGACATGAGCTATTGCCACTGTCTCAAGCATGGCGTGCATACAACCGACGTCGAGAGATGCAGCAGGGGCTTATGCATGCGAATGGTGCCAGGGTTCCATCAAATGGTGGACAGATGTCTAGGGATGTCAATAAACGGTCGGCTAGGTAAACGCCGCCGCCAGTAATTGATTCACCATTGTTGAGCTCGAGACTGACTTGACGACCTCAACCAGCACTGCGGCATGCAGTCTGGTGATACAGTCGCTGGTCTGGTCCCCTTTAAATGTTGTCTGGTGGCTGATCGGTTTAGGCTCCAGCACTAGCACTCCCAGGTGCTATAGGTGCTCCACCGTTCCAGTCAATGTTGACCAGACGCTTCGAATAACAGGCCTGGGCCTGGGCCATGTGGACATGCATGCCTGAGCAGCAATGGAGCTTCCCCAGACTGGGGCCAGTCTTGAGCTTTTGGCGGTTTGTGGCTTGCAGCTCCAAGCTTGTCAAGGTACTTGGAGCTTTCAATACCTTATTGACGGCTTTGCAGCTTGTGTAGAGGCAAGTACTACTACTATCCTGAAGCACCACCAACATTGAACCAGTCGACAACTCTATAATCCCAGACGTCGCTGCCCCCCAAGTGTCGTTTCCCTTCTCGACAGACCAGGCCCCCTCCTTCTTTCTTCATTGTGTCCCTCCTGCTCCCTCCCTCTCCTCCTGGCCTGGCTTCTATTTTTTTTCCTCTTTTTTTTTTTTTTGTTTAGGTTTTCCCTCTTCTACCTTCTACCTCTTCCACCATACTTTTCCGGCTTTATCAACCAGCCCCATCAAATTTCTCATCAATCCCCAAGCATCGTTTCTTGCAAGCTTATCTTCTGGTTTCGTTTGTTGCAAGGTACCTAGGTACGTAAAGTTCCCTGCACTCCTCTCATCCCACATGGCCCTCGGTGTTTCCATGATTGATTGCCCTGCATTCTTTCTCAACAACATCCAGAGCGGGACCCGGATATTGCACATCGACCAGACCTGCTAACTTGCTACGCTTCCAAGAAGACATAGCCAGACATTGACAGGCCTTCCTCGTGATATACATCTGATCGCTACTTTCTGACATTCACTATGCCTGGCATTCGTATGTTTTACCCTACCTCGTCGGGGCCCTTGTGGACACCTGCAGTGCTTGCTCTGTTTTGCCGCACGTTGGCTGACACTCTAGTTTGCTGCAGCGTTTGGTGCTATTGACAAAGTCAAGGCTAGTCTGAAAAATCTCTTCAAGAAGAAGACTGATTCCAAGACCCAGGCTGCAAAGCCTGCCGATACCACGGAGAACAAGACAGAAGCGGCGAAGCCTGCAGAGCCTGTCCCTGCTACAACCACCACCGCAACGGCTGGAGCAACTGAGACGAAGCCAGAGGCTCCAGCTCCCGCAAGTAAGCCGATCTTCTTTGCATGATTGTTTCTTGGTTCCGCGGGCTTTTTTGGACTGTCTGAAATATTGAAATTTATTCTAACTGGCCTCATTTACATCAGCTGAAGCTACGCCAGCTACTGAAGCTCCAAAGGAAGAGGCCAAGGCTGAAGAAGCCGGCCCAAAGACTGAAGCTCCTGCTCCCACGACCGAAGCTACCAAGACCGAGGAAGCTGCTCCGGGTGCGTATATCCATTTCCAAGTAGTCCCACGTCATTCACGACAAGTTGCTGACAAAGTCTCAAGCTCCTGCTCCTGCTCCTGCTCCCGCCCCCGAGTCTGCTACCGAGCCTGCTGCTGAACCAGTCAAGGACGAGCCTGCTGCTGCTGCTGCTGCTGCTGCTGCTGCTGCTGCTGCTGCTCCTGCCACCACTGCAGCATAAGGCCCAACACACCGCCTGGACGTGATATTGTCGTACACTACTCAAAAGCCATGATGAAACCTGTTTCTCGCTCCAGTTTTCGCTCGGCCGCGGGTATGATTTGATTGCTGGTGTCTTTCATAAGGATTGTTTGTCGATTTGGAGGCGTGGTGATACTGCATCAAGATGGGTTGGTTTTGTTCATTGTTCCATTGAAGCGCTGGATACCCACGAGAGAGGAAGGCTTGCGATATACCCATGTGCATGCAACTTATACCCCACACCATCACGGTTATCGTACGTGAGTGCGTTGTTTATTCCCTCCATTGTTTGGGTCTATCGCTATAATGGTCTAAGCAGATTTGATTTATGCTATAAGTTTCATCCAATCGCCCTCGTGTGCGTAGTTGTAGTCGTTGCTTTGTGCCATGTAAGGTGCTGCTCCGAATCTTGAGTTTAATGTTTCTAATATTGCACTCCCCAAGTACAGGTCACTCCCGTGCCCATGGCGCCTTGGTGACAGTTATTTGTGCTGCAGCAGACCTTGAACCAGGACCCTCGCCTCGAGGCTGTCTGGATGCGAACGAGCCCGTGCTAGGTCCTGTCGGAACTCTTGAGTAGGGAATTCCTGGGCCGGGAGGCGGCGGCATCCTAGTCGCCTGTGCCCATGGGGCGGCCGTTCCAGTAGCAGACAGAGGTGGTGTTTCGGTGGTCGACGCTGCAACAGCCACGGGTTGGTTCATCATGTGAACACTCTGTGCGGGAACCGGAGCACTAGGATCTGCATCCCAGGAAAACAATGACCCAAAGGGGAAATGCTGCACCACGGGAAACTTGGACAGCACTTCGGCGTTGAACATTTTAATCATGCCCTTGTTAATCTTGCCCCACCCATCTCTAATGCCCGAGATATCAAACAGGATGGGAGAGTGTTCCCAAAACGGACCCTTCTTCACGTCATTGATGAAGCCAACAGCCGAAAAATACATGTTCGTTTGGCGTAGATCCTCGACGACAGCGGCTTTGGTGACATCTCCTGGTTTGGGGGCACCCTTGACGGAGCCCTCGAGGGGCATGGGTTCGGTCACGAACGTGATAGGGCGTGTGAATTGGGCGGATCCGAAGATGTAGGGGATGAAGGAGTGGTCGTCGAGTCCCCATACGCCATGGGAGCCAGCAGGTTCTAGGGTGTATTTGAGGATGAGGGTGCGTATGACGCGAAGGTAGCTGAGATGTTAGTTAGCAGAGTATTCTGTAGGGCTTGGTCGATGAACGGGGGCGGCTTGATTTGGTCGGGATGCAAGAGGGAAGTTTGGAAATAGTCCAGGAATGCGTGCGGTCAGAACAGCGAGGCGGCATGTAGGCCACCGCGTAAGTAGTGACGAGGCTATACGTACGGCTCAATGACGTCGAGGACAATTTCTCTCTCAATGTCGCCGTCGTCCTTTCCGTCACTGAAAAATCCCAATTTCCAAAGACATCCCACGAAGGCGACAAAGCTCAGCTCGTGGCCTGTCCCGTAGTCCAATCTCTGTGCGCTCCCAAACGCGCCCATTAAATAGGCGGTTGCTTCGTCCTTGGCCGTGACGCCATCCGCACCCTTGGCGGAGAGGGCTTGTCCGAGAATACCCTTGTCCAGAAACGAATCGAGGTTTTCTTCGACGAGGGCATGCCATTTCCGAAAACTCACGTTTCCGAAGCGTCGTGGTCCCGGGTCTGGAGGCGCTTGTTCGACGAGAGCCTCAACTTCAGATAGGAGCTGCTGGACAGCTTGGATGGAAGGCGTGGAAGATGGTGATCCTGGAACGAGGGGGAATGTTTTGGGGATGGGCGAGGAGGTTTGGTTTCGGGGGCAAAGTGAGTGGTTTAGTTGGAGGATGAAGGCGCAGATGTCTCTGTAGGCTTTGGATGTGAGGAAATGGGCGACGTGGTGGCCTTCGTTGATGCGTTTGGTGGGCTTGATGAACTTGTGGGAGGCGAGCTGTGCGGTTGGGATGACCTGTAGGGTAGGGTTGAGGTGTGCAACAGGAGGCGTGGCCATGATGGGCGTGAGATTCGTGGCCGTGGTTACGATGGCCGTGGGGAGGATGGTATTATTGATTGTTGTCTTGTCCGTGCTTTGGTGTTGGATTTGGGGCCGGGTATATGGATATTTTGAGACGGCGATGCTAATATGCAAGATGGAGATGCTACCGTTTGAGGTTCGGATTGGGGGCGATGTATTTTTTTAGTCAGCAGACTTCGATGCTTGCATAGTGGCAGAGCGCAGAATCATGGACAATCAAGTGAAATTGAAACATGGAATAAACACACAGTAATATATACCGCTCTGATACCAGGCCACATGGAAAGCACGGGAGAAACTGACTAATTTACATGTGTGCGTATTTCAAGACGCTGACCTCATCGCAAGACCTGCTTGGACAAGGTGGGGTGAAGGATTGTGGGGCAGAAGCTTACCAGACATCTACGTAGTACTACTAGCTTCAGACGCGTCAAGTCGCGTGTGCATTTGACTTCCGCAAGAACCGTCGATGACAATCAACTGTCATTCCCGGACCCAACTAATTACTAAGGCATACGGAGCAGCAAACGACCACTGACTGCGTCTTTTGATATTGTGTAATATGAAGCCGTCACCATTGGGCTGAGACGATTTTCTACTCGCATCGTCAAAATGGTCAGCACGAGACGCAGCGCAGCTGCCCGGGCAGACTATGATTCAATTTATGACTTTGAATCTCCCGATAAGACAAAGAATTTGCAAACAAAAAGACGAGGCTTAGCCAGGAAAGCCGCTTCACATATTACGAACATGAGAGGCTTGGAAAAGAGGAATAGGGAAGAGACGGAACCAGACCCGCCGGTGGTGAAGAGACCTACGCTTAAAAGGCCGGGGAGACGGCAAACTTCCAAGGCGATGATAGAGGATGATGTCCCGCAGGATCCAAATTTTTTCAAGAACATCAATGATAGTGCGGCGGGGAAGACGAAAGCAAAGAGAGTAACGATAGTTGTGCCCGAGGACGACGCTGCAGCCGAGGAGCAATTGCTCCAGGAAAGCCAGCAGAGAGAGGGGCAAGTTTTGGCGGAAGAGAAAGAGCAGAGTGATCCATCGTCTTATCGTGACTCTGCAGAATCATCAGATGACGACGACGAATCACACGAGGAAGTGGATGGAGAAAAGGACGTCGGTGTAGTGGGCGAGGGCGATGACCAGGGCGAAGAGGCCGAAGACAGTGACGGAGAGGATAGTAGCAGCGACGATGATGTACGAGAGGTAACAAGTTCTGCCGTGGCCCCTGACAGCGCTTCACGAACCAGCAATTTGGAACACATCGCCGGCAAAGCCGTCATTTCTACAAACATTGGGTACATTGAGCCCGAACCACCAGACAGAAGCGCGTCGACTTATTACCTCAACTGTGGTGGGCTCAATGAAATGATTAACGCAATGGGCAAGCAAGGCTGGATGGGTACAGAGGGCGAGTGGGCAGATCAACTGCTTCAGATCGAGAAAGAGTCCAAGACTGAGTCCGAGGCCATCAAGGCTGACAATTGCACCAAGCTATTCCACGAGATCATTGCCCTGTGGCAGATCTGCAAGGATATGCCCAAAGCACCGTCGCTAAACTCACAGGCACAGTACCTACATGAGCACTCTCAAAGTATTCAGAAAAACCTCAAAGTGGTACGGACTTTGACGAAGCAAGTCAAGATCGAAGCTTCCAAAAGTATACCCGCAAAAGGCAGCTCGAGACAGATACGGAATGCACGATACAAAAAAAAAGACGTATTGACGTGGATACAAGGGAAGCTGATGCCAGCGCTTGTGCTCGCACTAAAGGAGGCGCTGTTGCTAGGAGGATATTCCAGGCTGAAGTCGAAACCAGAAACTATCAGCATTAAAAATGGGCAATTCATGGCATGCACTTTGCAATTTGCTCTTCGAATCGTCGGGTTCATCGACCAGCTGTACGACGTGGTATTGACACATTTGAAGTCGCAAGAGAAGAATGAGAATACAGTGAGGAGTATGCGGGACCGGACGCGGATGGCATTTGCAAATCACGTACGGGTGTTGGAGCCTCGCATACTGCTGGGGATGAATGAGCTGAAGCGCCTTGCCGAAGCCCCCATACTGAATGCCGAGCTGGCAGAGCAGTCAAGACAGTTGCGGGAGGCGCAGGAAGAAAGGGACCAGATCATCAAGGAGAAGAATGACGAACAGATGAGACTGTTTGTGGCTTCTACACAGCGGACGCTGGAGGACACGTCGAAGCCGCGGGACGAATACTACGACAGGCACGGCTGGCGACTATGGGAAGATGAAGTGCTGCTCGGGGTGATTCGCAAGACGAGGTCTCCGAACCTGGTGTTGCTGTCCAGGCAAGTACCAGGCAGATCGTTACAAGAGGTTACGAACAGAGTGGCAGAGTTGAGGGAATCGATGAGGGCAAAATATGAGGCGGCGAGCATATTACCGCCGAAATGGTGCCACTGGTAGGAATTTGTCTGTTTTGGTGGATGGGCGATGCAATGATACCCCAGACTGGCAGCTGTTGTATGATTTATTGACGCGTACTGTGTAAAACATGCAGGTTCAACGCTGGCGGGCTGTTGGCCAAGTTGCTGCAGGTCACTGAGTTGGGGCCGACGATGGCCTTGGCGAGGTATATATGCAGGATGTGTATGTGTGTGTGTGTAGTGTTGGGAAGCGTTGCCGGAATAATGCCATATTTTCTTGGTTGGAGAGATGTAGTTGTGCTCTGCCGAGGCGACAAGGTGGGATTGAAGGTGGTGGTGATGTGGCAGCCTTGTCGCCCACGCCACGCCTGAACCCTGACGACGCGAAATTATGGACGAGGTCGTGGGGGCGTCAGTTTATCCGGCGGACCAGTCAGTCTTTGAAGCATCGGCCCTGCTGCAATTTCACTCTCGGCAGAAGCTGGGGAGGCAGCAAAAAGAACAAAGACGGGAGCAGGGACGCTGCAATCGAGCCGGCGCCATGTGTCGTGGCGAGCCTGCCCCTGTGGGAGCACATGCATATTGCGCTGCAGCCGTCTATGCATGCATGGCCAGGCACAGGTGATGCAGACTTTAAGAACAAAGGGCTCGAGAGTCGACACAGATGGTGTTGATGAAGGTCTGGTTGAATATTGCACGGGCATATCGAGTACGCAGTATAGGTTGGCCAATTGCCGTCGGGCGCGAACGAGGGGGGCCTTGAGTCTTGACGGCTAATTACGACCAGGGTCGTCCTTGCGGTGACGGTCTGGAAATGAACATGGGCGATCTGTAACTATTGCATCGTCATGTAGGGTGCTGTGCGGAGTTCTCCGTACATATGCAGTCTTCTATGCATGAGTGATGGGAGTCGAGAATCAGCAAGAGTTGAGAGACGGTGATGGGCTGGATTCTCAAACAGCCAATGCAGACAATCACTCGCGTCACGCATCACCTGGTTGCCGGTTAATACATGTAGTTATGCAACCCGCCCGCCCGACCGCCAGTCCGATGGACCAGACGAGCAACGGCGGGCAGAATGGCCCCAATTGACCTCAGTGGCCCGCTAAAACTGGATTGGACCATTTTTGTCAGGCCAGAAGCCCAGCCACATGTCTGGTCTATCTACACTCCGCAGTCTTAGCTGGTTGAATCCCCCCTGGCACTGCTGGCCAAACCAATTTCCTCGCAGGCCATCAGACCAGTTGACGTTCTTCTCCCTTTGCACCACCATCCTCTCCCTCACCTATTCGGACTTGCCTGTCGTCAATCAGTTTGTGTGCTTGCTTTCATCTTTTAATCGATTTTGTGCATTTGCAATCGCAGAGGTCTTTGCTTGCCACTGTTGTGTTGTTGTCTTAATTTGTCTTGTACCTTGTTGAGCTGCCGCATTCTGCAATTTCGCCGTCAGGAGAACAGCTCAAACGCCTGCGCTACCCTTGGTAAGACATCGAGCTGAACCGTCGAGCGGTGCATCGTGTGACGTCGAGTTGGACGACGAACGAGGTGAGCCTTTGTCAATTCTTCTTGAATTTGAAAAAAAAAACAACAACAACCATAAATCTGTTCCCCAATGCCATGGCAAGCTGGCAGCGGCTGCTTCGATGCCCCCCTTGGCTCACCTTCGGTGCTTGCGCAGCTGAGCACATGATGAGATGAACCATGACTCGATGCTAACATGTTGATCCCTTTCTCTACAGCTATTCTCTCCATCTCCCTGTTTATCAACCTCACCCTGACCGAGTTTCGATAATGGCGGACAAGGAAAACATCGACGTTGCCCAGAGCTCCGACGTGGCGCCCTCCAAGGAGACGACCCCTATCTCGCCCGAGACGCCATCCAAGGCTAGCGCTGCGTCGACCTCGCCCACGGCAAGGCGCGCCGGCGCGACTACAAGCTCGGCATCTGCTCGACGGACTACTGCGACCGGAACTGCTGCTTCGTCACGAACTGCTGCTGGCTCAACCGCTGGTGCTCGCGCCACGGGCGGGTTGAGCAAGCCGCCTACCCGCCCCCCTACAACTACCACGGCCACTTCGCGACGTCCCGCTACCGCTACCTCTACCACCTCTACCCACCGTAGCCGACCCAGCGTGAGCGCGAGCGAGGATGAGCGGAGATCCACCTTGACTTCCACCTCCGCCAGGAGGACGAGCACCCTCATGTCTAGCCCTGGTAGGACGGCCGAGAAGAAAGCAACAACTGGTACTGGTACTGCTGGCACTGCCCGTAAGCCTGCTACGGCGACTGCTAGTACTACTGGGGCGCGACCCTCTACACTCGGTTCAAGGTCGTCGACTGCTGGAACTACAGCCTCAGCTAGATCGTCTACAACTGCCGCAACTCGGACCGCGCCGAAACGCCTTTCCACTTCTGGTGCTACCGGTCGCGTCTCTGCGACAGCTAGCCGACCTACTACTGCCAGATCCGATGCTTCTAGTGGTGCTAAAGAGATCGAGGAGCTCAAGGCCAAGCTTCTTGAGGGAGATTCCGAGATTGAGTCTCTCAAAGCTCAGATCCAAAGCTCAGAAACCATCATCTCTGAGCTCCGCGATCAGCTGGCCAATGCTGCTCCCGCTGCCGAAACTGAAGCTATGCAGAGCTCCATCGCTGAGGAGGCTCTTGCGAACTTGAAGGCTGAGCACGAGTCGGCCCTCGCTGGTCTGGAGAGCCGGCTCTCCGAAGTCGTTCAAAAGTTGGAGACGGCTGAGTCTGAGCTTGATCAGCATAAGACCAACTTAGCTACGGCTGAAGGCTCCAAAGCTGCTATCGAGTCTGAGATTGAGGCCCTGCGAAAGTCCCTCGAAACTGTTCAGTTGGAGAATGATGAAAAGGTCAAAGCCAGCGAATCTGCGCTGCAACAGGCTTTGGACGGCCATGCCACCAAGTTGTCTGAACTGAAGGATTCCTTGAGTGAACAGCACAAGACTGCCATCGAGGAGCTTGAGGTCAGTCACAAAAATGAGCTTGAAAAAGGCCAGACGGATGCTTCGGCTCACGAAATGGCCATTGCCGAGCTCAAGACTAGCCACGAGTCGATTGTTGCCCAACTGCAAAGCAAGATTGACGAGCTTACTGCCTCTCAAGCTGCCCTGGAGTCTGCCAGCAACGAAAAGTTGCGATCAGACCAGCAGGCTCACAACAGCAGAGTTGCGGCTCTGGAGGGTGAGATTGCGGAACTCAAGGCTCTCAGCGATGTCTCCGGCAAGTCTGCAGAGAGTGCCACTACGCAGCTGACGGAGCTCCAGAACAGCCTGGCAGAGAAGGAGAAGGAACTCTCCTCCATCGCGGAAGACCGGTCTTCTTTGTCGACGAAGCTTACTGAAACCCAGTCTACTCTGGCTGATAAGGAAGGGGAAATCGCCAAGCTCAAGACTATGCATGACGAGCGCATGAAGAACCTTTCCCAGGACTACGAAAACGAGATTGAGAGCCTGCGTGGTGACGCCTTCTTCAAGCGCAAGTTTGAAGAGCTTGAAGGCCAGCATAATGAGCTCAAAACTTCTTCTGAGGAGGCAACTAAGGCTCATTCTGATGCTCTTGCTGTCTCCAAGGCCGAGCACGCCGCTGCGGTCGAAGCCCTGGCTGCCAGGGAGCAGGAGCACCAAAAGAATCTTGATGCCTTGCGAGCGAGTCATGCTGAGGAGCTGGAGAGCGCGAAGACTGGTGCGTCTGCTGACAAGGATGCTCATATTAGTCAACTCGAGTCCCTCAAAGCCCAACATGCTGAAGAGCTAAGTATCTTGAAGAAGGAGAGTGAGGCCACTCTAGCCAAGCAACTCGAGGCCCTCGCATCTACGCACGCCGGTGTTCTGAATGCTCTGAAGCAGGAACATGCTGATGAGCACCAAAAGTCCCAGGCCGCCTACGATGAGGCCCTCTCCGTCGCTAAGAGTGCAGGCAACGACGCTCACGTCAGCGAGCTCGCAAGCATTCAAGCTGAGCTGCAGGCAGCCAAAGAACAGCTTGAGCAGGCGCGGGATGATGGCGAGCTTGCTATTGAAACCGCCAAGAACGAGCTTGAAGAGAAGCACATTGGCGAGATTGAAAAGATCATCACCATGAATACCGAGGCCATGGATAAGATGAAGGCTGATGGCATTCAAGCAAGGAAGGATCTGGAAGAGCTGACCGCAACCCACGCCAAATCCATTGAGGACGCGATTGCCGAGTACCGAAGCACCTCTTCCAGTTTGGAAGAGAAGCTGGCCGAGCAGAAGGCGGCTAATGGCTCTATGGAAAGTGCTCTCAAGACGGCCCAGGAGGCTCTGACCAAGGCCCAGGCTGAGGTGGAGGAGATGGGGCAGCAGCTTGCTCAGGAGAAGATGGAACGTATGACGGCCCTGGCTGAGCTGGATGCTGTCAAGAGTGCCAAGCCCGACACTTCAGAAGCGGATGCCCTTCGCAAAGAGCTTGCTACATTGAAGAAGACCCATGAAGATGCGCACGCCGCCGCCGAAGGGGCTCTCAAGGGCAAGGAAGACGAGCTGGAGTCACACAAAGCCGAGCTTGCGGGTGCTCAGGATAGCTTGGCCAGCATGAAGAACGATCTTGCACTCGCCCAAAAGGAGCTTGAAGCCCATAGGTCGGAGGCGGACGCCAAACACAAGACTGCGCTCGCCGACTACAATGATCTCAACGATAGCATGACTAGTCTGGTGGAAGATGCCAACAACAAGGCCAAGGAGTTGGAGGCTAGGCTCGGGGAGGCGACCAGAAAGGCCGAGGAAAAAGAGAAGAAGATTGAGGAGCTAGAGGCGCAGCTCAAAGTAAGGGATGCGGAGATTGTCGAGGCCAGGGTACGAGTATACAAACAGGCTATGGACAAGGGATTGGCATGCATGCTAATGGGTGAATAGGCAAATGGCGGCAAATCCAAGGGTCTGTCAAGCAGCAGGTTCGCCGGCGCAGAAAGCGGCAGCGACGAAGCTGTTGCAAACGAAGACGTGGCTGAAGGTGAGGATGACACCAACGGCATTGGCGGTGATGATGATGATGATGATGCGGATGACCACTCTTCAGCGGCATTGGCTTCGGTGCGCGAGCCCCTATGTTGATGTGGCCGTAGTTTGCACGGTTTCCTTTCGTTTGTCATTGTTATGGGAGAGATGATTGAAGCTAACTTTTGGTGTGTGTTTTTCTGGATGCAGCTAAGTAAGGCGCGCTTGACGGCGAAGCAGATTGACGCCCTCGACAGAGAAATGAGGGACCGGAATTTGCAGTAAGTGATGACTAGTGATGGCGACGGTTCTTTCTTGCTTGGAGAGTGAGTTGAGGGAAGAGGAGGCTAACCAAAGCGATGCAGACTGCTCAACTCGATAACGAATGCGCACCAGCCAAGGTAAATAAGAGAGGGAATTCAATTTCACGCGACAGCGCCGGGCGGCTGATTTTGGAGAGAAGGGAAGGATTGCTTGATGGAGAATATTGATATTGGAGTTTTAATACCCCCCCTTGTTCTTTTCTCCGTTTGTTTGCCCTGCAATGAATTCAACTGAAGACGACGCCAAACACGACGACGAGTTCTCGGCGATGATGAATGGCAGTGGGAGACACTCACGAGCACAAGAACTGCTCGTGAATTTTCTTCTTTGTTTCTTGTTTTCGATGGTAGTTGGACGGTAGGATTGTTGTTGCAATGCGATGATGGATGAAGCATTCATTGTTGTGTTGATGCGTAGGTGTAGTTAGTGGTAGGCTGTTGAGGAATGACGATACCCCCTCCTGTTGCTCCATACAATATCTACACGAGCTGACGAGGTGCCGATGTGACGAGTTGTGCCAAGAAGCAGCGTAGCAGTGTTAATGTCGATCCGTTGCTATTGCAAGGGAAGCTCAATTCCGCAAGTGCGTGGCTAAACGGAGAGGTGACGGAGGCTGGAGGCTTCGGGGGCTTGCTGGATTGGGCAATGTGGGCGGCCTGGCTGTTGGAATCATGCAGGTTGTGATTCAGCGGCGGCCGCAATTGAGTTGGCTCAGGCAGGATTGATTTGTGCCGGAAGACTCGGTAATGGAGCCTTCAGTCCAGGGTCGGGGCTTTGGGAAGCACCGGGCGCCGGTGTTACGGGCTTACTCAGTGCCAGACCGGATCAATTGGCTGCACAAGTGGCGTCCAGGTGGACAAAGGGAGTCGACAGGGGGGGGCCAGACCACGCCATGGCTGGAGAGACGCCCTGCAGATTGAATCGACCGGACGCATGTGCAGGGTTCCGCCGCGACATGACGTCTCCCATCGACGGCAGATCCGACACGGACGCAAGAGCATCCCAGCGTCCACCACCTGCCTGATTAATCTTCTTTTTTCTTCTTCTTCTTCCAAAACCTCACACTACAAACCATTCCTGCACCACATCTCTGGTTTAATTGTCCCTGTCTGTCGTCTCAGCTGCGCATTGGGAAATTCAAAAACAAAAACAAAAAAAAAAGCCATGACCACGACGTATTAACCGACTCTCCCTTTTCCCAGCGCCGCATCGCCACCGTCATCGACCTCGCCATGCCCCAAGTCAGGCGAGGAAGCCGGAGCCTCGATTGGCACACTCGTCCTCTGGCAACGATATTATCCTCGGACAATGCCTCTCCAAACGCAAGCGAGCCGCTAAACGACATTATTCCCGATAGCCGCCCTCCCGCCGGTTCTTCCGGCTCCAACAACAACAACCACAACCGCAACATCACCATCTCACCACCAGAGCCGCCGTCGCTGGACTCCCACCCCCGGAGCGTCCCCGGCTCGCCCATATCCTCCTCATCCGCCCTCCACGAGCCCCCTCGACGCAGCCTCTCCTACGCTCTCCGCCCGCCCGCCCCGGCATACTACGACTCCCGCGCCGCCACGCGCACCGAGTACGCCCGCCGCGGACGAACCCTCCAGGAATACTACGACGCCAACCCGCTTCTGCTGCCCCAGCTCCCGTTCACGTGGCACCACGGCCGACGTCGCTGGCGCCTGTTTCTATTTGCCTTCTTCGCCTTTGTCGATGCCTCCGTCGTCCCCATCGCCCTGTACTACGCCCTCAACTACGCCGGCCACGTCGAGGGATGGATCATCTTTGCCGTCGTCACCACCATCTGGGGCGGGCCGACGTATCTGGAGTTTGCCGTGCGCACCTTCCGCCTGATCAAGAAGGAGAGGTTCTACAGGCCCCTGGGCACCGACTCGAGGTGGTGCTTCGACATGCTGACCTGGGCGTCCGTCATCACCATTACCGCCGTCACGGCGCTGTTTATCGTCGGCAGCGCGCCGCACATTGTGTGGCTGAGGGTCCTGTGCATGCCTGCGCCCGCCATATTGTACTGCCTGGGCGGCGTGATGGCGTTGATAATGCTTTGGCATGTCATGGGGTGGAAGGCGCCGTTTAGGATCAGCTCCACGGCCAAGGGGGAGCCGGTAAGTCGTCTCCTTTCTTTATTTTGTTATATATTAGTCCGACGAAAAAAAAGAAGGACATCCCATGGAAAACGAAAGGGGGCACGTGCTGACAGCGGTTGCGTCTAGGTTCTTCCCGCAGCGTACTACTTCATTGAAGATGTAATTGCCGTCAATGCCAAGGCTGGTCGTCCGTATCGCGAGGCCCTCGCCGCCCGGTACAAGGCATCCCCGCGGTTCCAGCGGATGCTCTACGTGCAGAGCATCTTTTGGAGCATCCCCGCGCTTGTGCTGGCCGCTGCGCTGACCGTCATAGCTGTTGTTCACCAAGTCCCAGCTACGGTGGCGTACGGTATATGTTGGGCCGTGCCGTTCATCTGGTGTGCCGTGTGGGGAGGCATTTCCGTGTGGTGGTGCAAGCGGGACATGATTCGGGAGAGACTCGAGTGGGAGCAGAGCTGTGGCGAGGTTGAGAAGCAGCCGCCGCCGAGGACCGAGTCGGATTCTGGGTCGGGCGTTATGGTTGGGAGGCCTGCCGATGCTGTGGCCGTTTGAAAAGGGGTTTGTGTGATTTTTAGCGCATGATACCATGATACATGAGGGAACGGGGGGCATGGCTCAGCATTGGGTTCACTTGGGATGGCCGGGTTGGCGTATGCATCGTGCATAATACCAAGCATTAGCATGGAGGAGTGTAATTTTTTGTTTGAATAGAGTGGGATTGTGCCTTTGTGTGTGGTCGGCTTTGACTAATTGAGCAGTCTGATGGGACTGTTGGCCGTTGTTGCGAGTGCTCCGGAGCTACTACTTTGCATCTTGAGCGTGCGACCCGGACTACACGGCCCATTATCGATCGGTGCTCTCGTCATCGTCTACCTTTCACCTCCTCTGTACCGGCGTGGCATAGTAGCGATGTCATGAAAGGCAAAAGGAGCAAGGCGAACCGAGTCGAGGCCAGAAGTAGTCCCCTCGTCGTGAAGAATATCAAGATGTTCTCGAAATGGCCCTCCCCAGCCGCCGACTATGCTCTGCTGCAGAGCAAAAGTCGGAAACTGATGCTCGAGATACATACGTATGGGCTATGTTGTTGCAGAGAGCCCCACATGGCGGCTCGTCCCGCTTCCGCATCAACGGTTTCAATCCACCAATGGCAACAAACGCTGGCCCGAGACCAAAATCCTGACATGGCATGCCTGCAAAGAGAATGCGGTTGTCGACGGCTGTGGTCGGCTTGGAGCGAGGTCTATGTTTGTCTCAAAAGGTGAATGCATGACTAGGACGAGCTACATGGGACTAGATGGGCGATATTTATTTATACCTTTGCGATGTGTTGTTCCACACACATGAATACGGCCATGGCCATGTGTTGACTCGGATAAAGGCGTTTGGGAGTGTGGCTTTAGGACTTAAACATCTTTAAGCGATGGCAGCACCGAAAGATCCCAATTTCGCGTCAAAATGCGAATCCCCCGCCGGTTTACTCGAAATGAAGTCATTCCGGGGCCGGCTGTTGATGCGGGCCATCTAGGGCTCTGTTGCAACAATTGACGTCTCTAACGGGCTGCTTTGGTGGATTGTATTGCTGCCCTATTGCTTCTATTGTGCTCTGGTGGGCTTGATGGCTTGGATGTGTCTATGACCGCGATGGGACCCCCCCTTTTTTTTAAAAAAAAAGGAGAGGAGAAGAAAAGAAAACGCAAGGTACGCGAGAATATAGCCATATCGCAAACACTGGAAGGACTAATATACATACCATACGAGAAATCTCGTCACGAGTGGTTTAAACCCACAACGCAGTTTCGCGTCTCGGCGCCTCGCTACAACAGGCAAGACTCGGAGCAAAGACTAACGCAGGAGTCAGTTCAATTCCTTAAGAAGCGGCAAATAGCCCATATAGTCAGTGTTAAGCACGAGGAAGATGCCGAGCACCTTGTATCTGGACTCGGCAACGCAAGCATCCTACACGCCATGCCAGTCGTGGAATTTGCGAACCCAACTATCGGCGACTTGGGAAAGCGTTAGAAAGCATTCACCAAGCATCAGACAGGCACCTTAGTCTGGTGCGGCTATGACATGTTGAGTCAAAAAGGTGATACTAATTGAAGGCTGTTGGTCACGATAGTTGCTTTTTCTATGACTTGGTTGGGAGTCACAGCAGGGGTCTTCAGGGGTTCCAACAGGGTATACAAAGGGCCAATTTCCTAGGTTTTCAAGGCTTCCAACAAAGTCCTGCAGTCATCATCAATATCAGAAAATTTGCTCACTCGAGGCGCTCGCAAGCCTCCAAAAGTAACTTCATTCCGCTGTGTAGATTGCTGTTGTTTCCCCCACATGACCATGTTCGAATCGAAACCATGATCTCCGCACTGCAGTGCTACATCGAGAATGAGAAGCCGCGTGCGTCACTTCAACCCCTTGCCCATGGCGACTAAAACAGAAACCACGTCGTGAAAGCCGCGCAGAAAGACGTACTGCATGAACCGTACGAGTTGCTCCGGAAGCAAAAGGAAGCCGCGGCCCTCGTCAGTCAAGGAGAGCATATGGCTGATCGAGGAGAAGTGCGACGCGTCTAGAAACTCGCCGGCCAGCATCTCTATACACCATTATGCTCAAGTATTCCTTGATGTGCGACCAGCCCATCAAGGCCTCTCATGGTGCGTTGGCAAAGGAGCGGCATGTACGGCTTCGCTAGCTCATCTTCTCGTCAGGGATTCGGATGAAGCTCAACATGCGCTTGCGTTGTCCCATGCTCGGGAGCCAGTGTCACCCGCAGGAACGATTTGCTCTTGTTTGAAGGAATCGAAATACATGTACAGCCTCCTGGAGCCTCCTGGCGAACCAGCCTCGATATTACTTGCGACCATACAATGTCGTCATTCCGCACCGGCGATGACAATGAAGCCCGTTCTGTGCAAGGGACTTGGTCTAATACGCATGTTTGAATAGACGCGTGTCTAGGCGAGCGTGATATAAATTAAATGTTGACACGATATGGCGAGTACGCCGACACCCGACCAATCTCGGTAGGAGGAGTACCAACAAAGGGATCGAATTCGGCCAAAGTGCCATGGATGCTATAATTCTAGACAAGTCCCGTAAATGCTGATTACGTATCTATCCAGAAATTCTTCATATGTCGTGGCCATGGGGGCCGCTGGCGTGCAGGCGTGGACTTTGGCCACGAGTCGGACCAAGTACCGAATTTCAGGAGGAGTGTCGTTATCCATGACTGATTCGAGAATCTCCATGCCAATTTGGTCGAGTGCTTCAGAGATGCGAGTTGAAGCGACAGTCAAGTGATGGAGAGTCACGAGGTCTGGAGCAGAGTTGGCGATTTTAATCATCAGCTCTGTCGGAAGACGATCCAGTCTCTCCATCGTGGCGGCGGACGTAAACAACAAAGTCGTGATACTAAGGGAGATTAAAGGCGACGGAGATGCGAGAGTGGGAGCCGAGACAATAAAAGGTAAAGAATAACAGATCTTAATAGGGGTTGCGGTTGGTGTTTAAGCGCCTCTGAGGCCCAGCCAGTAAATAGACTTACAACTTACAATAAACTCGGATTATATCAGACTCATTTTCAGTTCACTTTTACCCGCACCCGCGCTGCCTGTTGTCATGCTCGTCTACCCTGACCACTGTGTAGTCAGTGATGACACTCACCTACTGCAATTGTAGTGCATCTTTCACAGCAGCCAACACCCCGAACAGCGCATTGTCATGGTATCGTCTCCCAACAAACTGCAAATTAATAGGTGCATTTTCAAAGTCGCCCTGGTGCCATAGCTTCCTAACCTGTTCGCACTCCTCGCTTAGTGCCGACTTCACGTCATATTCTTCCTCACCCTTCTTCAGTGCCTTGATTGGTGTGGGCACAACTACTCCTGGACAATGATAGTTCCACATTGCCGTGTAGTCCCAATACCATGCCGTGTCATGGCTACTCGCAGGTCCTACGAATGCCGGGCATAGAACTACATCAACACCTTGATCCTCCCAATCCAATGAGAATATGGAACGTATATCGTCACGGAGAAGACGTTGCTCAAGGATGGCTGTGGCAGGCAGCTCTACAGGAGCAGCGTCTCGTTGAATCCATTCCGTGAGAGGATGTCTGGGCTCCCCTGTAAGAGCGCGGTGGGCGTCTGCGTATTTTGTACTGGCTGGCCAGTATGCTTTGCGAATGTTGTTCATAATTTGCGCGACTTTGTAGGGCGTAAATGGCTTTACTTGGAAGGCTGCCTCTTCAAGGCGTGATTTGGCCCATTTCAACGCTCGAGTGACGGGTGGTTGGGGGACGATGACACCGTCGTGCATCATAAGACCGATTCGCAATTTTTGTGCCGACGGCTGCCTGGTGTTGCATCTCGTTCCCGTCCATGGAATAGGTATGATTCGAGGATCTTCAATCCATGGTTTCGCCCCTACAATGGTGCTCATGAAGAGATCCATGTCTCTCAGCGTTAGACACATGGGGCCCGTGGAACACAAGACGTTTAATTCAGCGGGTACGCCGCCCTCTAGATAACCCTTCATCGGAAGCGAATAACTTGTGGGTTTGAATCCATAAATGCCACAAAACGCAGAAGGACCTCTCACACTACCTCCAATATCTGTGCCGACGCCCAAAACCGACCCGCGGAGTGCTATCAGGGCTGCCTCACCACCGGTTGAGCCACCTGCCGATAGTTTAATATTATGTGGATTAAGAGTTCTTCCGTAAAACGAGGTGCTTTCGAGGTGCATCAAGCTCTGTGGCTGGTTCGTCTTGCAGTAGAACACGGCGCCTGCATTGCGTAGAATGGCCACCATTTGACTGTCTTTGGTGTCCTTTGTCAGCGTATCCAGGTAGCCCAAGTCTCTCCAATGCCCTGCGATAGGGATATGAGACTTGATGCTAATTGGGACGCCATGCAAGGGACCTACAGTCTTTCCCGTGGTAGCTAAATGATAGTCAAGATCCTGTGCACGTGCAATGGCTTCATCCATGAACCACTCGGTCAGACAGCATGTAAGCTGGTGCGCAATCATGGCACGCTTGGCAAACGCAGTGACCACGGCAACTGATGTCAATCTCTTGGAAGAGATGGCTTCCGCAAGAGCCGTCGCGTCATAGTTCTCTGTGATGTCGAGTTCTGCCTCGGACAAGAGGCCACACTGGTGCGGGATGCCAATGACAGACTTGGGCGGATTCTATATTGTATTGCTCGGCAGAAGGAGTTCCTCTGGTACAGCAGCCGCAAACCTTTGCAGCACCGCCCGTCTGGCCGCCTCGTAATCAGCATTCCCTACGGGAAGAGGCACAGGCTGCACCACAGGGACGTGGGTAAGTGTCATCTTTTCGTGATGTTGCCGATAGTAATGGAAGCACAACGATATCGAAGACCGTAGGGGAACCAATCTCCCAAAAGCCTGTCGTTAATGCCAACAACGCTGAAGATATATCTGCTCGACAGAACAAGGGAGATAGAGAGATGAATAGATAAGTAGATAGCGATGGGCCCCGGATAGTTCAAGGCGGAAGGAGCATGTTCCCCGCACCGGCAACGTCTGTTGGATAAAGTCTGACGTTGGTTGGTATGTTGTCTGGTGGCTGCCGTGTCCCTCACTGTGCATTCGTTGTGACGCATTGATACATTTGTGCATCCGAACATTTATGCATACGCGCTCAAACTTTTCATCATCGGCGCAGACTTCCAATCTTGTTCGTCCGTGCCGTTCGTCCGTCCAAGCCTCCAAACCACGAACAGCACAACTCGGAGGCAGAGTATCATGATTCGCATTTAGGCAGAATCTCCTGTCTCAGATCTACCCCGAAGAACCATCCACTGTACATACGCGTACTTCCGATAAGGTCCCGTTTATTGCTGCTTCGGGGAATCCTTTGGCTAGATTAGGTTTGGGTCTGCCCACCGTGGCTGAGACAGTAAATCGACGATAGGATCCAGATTGACCATATGCCGTGCTGATAATCAACGTCAATCATGCTGAGAATAGCAAGCATCTTGATTCCTATTCGAATGGAGGTCGACGAGCGCTCTCAGGCGTCCGAAACGCTTTGATATTCGAAAGCTGCTTGCTTCCCCATATTCTTGGTTTCCTGTTTTTCAGTCAGTCGAGTTTTAGGTGCAGTTTGCTCGGGTTCCCGAAAAAAAGGCCAGTCTTTGGGGATAAAAACCCTATAATCTGGTTACTCCTGGTTTCTATTTTGAAACTATTCTCCCCTCCCTTAGTATCTGTTATGAACGAAAGGTACTCTAGTGGCAACACTCACAGGACTCCAGCCCGGGTTGATGGTCAACGCCATGTTCAAGTGAGCAGAGCGTTCCTCTGCATATTGTGCCAAAAAGACCTCTATTTTCGAACCAAAGTCAAACCACGCCATGCGCTGAAGACCGAAGTAGAGCCATAATTTTGTCCATGAGCCATTGTCATGAAGGTCAATTGCCTTCATCAGACAGGCGGTTGTCTCTCAACACGAGGAAACACTGCGGTATTTTTTGATTATTCGCTCTTCCACTCTTAATCCTGTCGTAATTTGCTGCGCCTATGGAGATAAAATTAAGGGGATATGACTCGGCACCGGGAAACGGGACCAAGATAGGCCCATGAAATCTTACTTAATGAGCGTCGTTGACTCGGCACTATGGAAATACCTGGTCATGACTCAAACTGTGCAAGACATGTCTCGGCAGCCAAATAGAGGGTACTGAAATGGTATTTTCTATGATTCCGACGAATGGGAGACCGTGAAAACTTTTCGTATGACTCTGTAGCGCCTCGTTGCATACAAAATAATCCGAGATCAAGTTGCCAGAGATGCTTTATATTACTTCTATGTGTGAGCTCCAATTGAATGTGACGCTATCATTGAGTCATGTTTTGGTGTTGGGTGATCTTTTATTGCTGATCTTCTCTTTTTTTTTGAACCTATCCCAATATCCATGCCGGCACTGCATCAGGATAGGCCCAATTGTACACACACCGAGTGTCTGGTCGACCTACACCAGAGGACCGTGACATACCGAAAGAGAGTGATTGTTTATGAACTAGGACAGTCCTAATTTCTCTGGATCACACACAATGCGGCAGCAAAAGCCAGAATTAAAGTGTAATTTGTTGGCATTTGTCGAGTTCTTCTATCCCAAATACAATAAAACAATATACTAGCGTGTTCCAAATCAGTCTGGTGTGAAGTATGGATACTTTTAACTTTGAAAATTTTTCTTTTTATGCTTGTACTTAGCTATTCCTTGATGGTCACCGCTCAAAACCAGGAGATTTGAGTTACTCGCCCTCCCTCGTCGCCAATGCCAAATATAGATTGAAACCAGCTCGTTAATTCAAACAAGGACCTTTTTGAGAACACCACAATCCGGCGGCAGCGAATATTTTGGCGGTTGCATGCCAGATCCTTGCAATTTCTTCACATATCATTGCGACTCACCAAGCAAATTGTCAAGCCACTCACTGCCAATTTCAAAAAGGAGAACCATGAAGACTTCAATACTTGGTCTAGTTGGAATAAGTCTTCGGAGCTGTTGCCCTTCCAGATGTGACTCGTCTCTCGTGGGTAATAAACCTGATCCAGAATCGCAGAGCTCTGAGTGAAAACGCGATAGAAAGCGGTCTGGTCATGAGGATAAAATCAAATATCATGGGCTGCGGTACTTCCCTCAACTGAAATGAAGGGACCAATGCTGTGAGAAATGGCCCCCATACAAAAACTCACCTGAAGCTCACTTTTCCTCGAGGAAAGAATATCTTGGCACTGCTAGTTTATTCGTAACAATCGAAACTTGGGACCGCATGGCGCCTAATTAAAGGAGTTGACGCTCAGCGGCTATTAACGCTCTGAGCCGTGTTGGTATTGCCGTGCATCAAGCGTGCCGCAAATTACTACAAACATTCGCACTCGCAAAAACTGATCGCCCCACGGGAGTGCAGAGGGGTAACCCAGCAAGCCTGTCTATATCAGTGAAGCCGTAGACGATAGGATGTCACCTTCACGCCTCCATCGGGTGCTCTCCACAGGCACTTCTGCTGGGTCTGGGACGAAGGCTGGCTGGCAACATGCATTCGTCCCCAGGAGACGGGGCCCAGCCAGAGATGCCAGAAGCACCCATCATTAACTTCCGTGCGCGTACGAGGGGAACAAACCATATATAACAGAAGAAGGTTCGATGGTGTGTGGGAAAGCCAGGGTACCTGAATTGAACGATTCCGCCACCAGGAGCAATCACAGAGGAGCATGGAGGAGCATGGAGCATGGAACAGAGACAACGAAGCCAAAGGGACATTTGTGTTGTTACATCTACAAGGCCCCCAAACGGTTCAAAGACTGCGCTAGCCCTGCGACGAGGCAAGGTAACCATGCAAAGCTGCTAATGGCAGCGGAGACAAAGACTCCACGAGACGGGGCAGCATGGGGTCGCAAAGGCTCCGCGGGTCCACGACTTTCAGCGTTGGGCGTCATGTAAAGTTCTGGCATCATGGTTGACTGTTGAGATGAACTTTTTGCCCTTTTCAGCCACCGGGTGGCTCGGCTGGGCGCTTGGAGATGTCGTGGACCGTGACGAAAGTACCCAAATCCCAAATCCCAGAGGGTATGCATGATTAAGGCATCGGTTTGGTCGGTTTGTTCCAGCCCTTGGGTAGGAGGGCGGCGGCCTTTGGAGGAGGTCCCTGGGAGGAGGGCCAGCACAACAACAAAGGACAACATGGCGAGTTCAAGAACCGTGAAGAATGTCAAACCAATCTATGTATGGATTAGTAGTAGTCCATTGGAGGCATGAATGAGGAAAGAACAAGCCTCCTGGGATATTGCATGTTCGTGTATTTTGCAGCAGAAGAAATTCCCGAAGGGACGGGGCTCAGGACAAGACCCCTGGAGGACTAGGAGAGAGCGCAAGGCAAGAACTACGATGCGTAGTTCACCATCGAGTTAATAGTATGTATATCGTGATCGGTGAAGCTCTCCTAAGTATGTACATAAGCCCAGCGTAGTTCGGAGCAGATAACTTGTAGAAATGGGTCCGGACTGTGGGCTGATTGATTGGAAGTTGCGAAATGGTGTGTCTGGCCTTGGGCAGTTTCGGGTTGCCGCCAAGTGCTCCAAGTTCCCCCCAGCCTCCATCTCCAGGACTTCAAAGTTGCCCTTGCCCTGCCTGTTCCTTCCCCTCCCCAATTGCTGAGTTTGCCAAGTGCCTACCTACTAGGTACCTACCTAAGGTACCTTGAACCTTGTAGGCAGCGGTAGCTCTTGCCTTTCATGTTGTCAGCCAGCGACATTACTATGCGCCTGGTGTACATGCATGTGTGCATACAGTACTTGCCGGGTGTCCCCCGTGCCTTCCCTTGCCAGGCTGGCACTAATGGGAATTCAAGGTCCTTGTCGCCAGTTGCGGTCTAGCGGCCTGAAACGGTCGCTTCGAGCCTTCCAATGTTCCTAATTCCCCGTCCCAGGCTTCTTGGCTTCATCTGGGCTTCGCGACTGGCGCTCGTGCCACCAATTTGGAACGCCTCTTTGTAGCCCTCCCACCCATCGACGCCCCCGTTGCTGTCTCTCAATCCACCCAGAGTCGCACAATGTCTCGCAGCTCGTCTCTCAGAGTGCATATTGTGCAACACCATCTATCGTCTAAAACTCCGCCCACCTCTGACGAAGTCGACCGCGCTCCGATATCTGGTGCCGTCACCACACGCCCACCACTGCGACGGACGAGGCCAGAGGTCTAGCTGTTCACAGATAGAATTGAACGCATTTCGCTCAGCCGTGGTCTACATCAATTCGGTTCTTCAGGCAATCAGCCGAAACGTCATGTCCAACAATGGCCAGCCTTGTGAGATGATGCTCGAGTCAGACCGGGAACGATTCGCCATCCCACTCACTCTGGACATGAGAATCGGAGGTCAAGTGGGCTCAAGTGGCGACTGTCACATTCCTTTCCTCGCCTGGTGCCCTATCGTATCTGTCCTTTTCCGTCATGAGGGGTTCCTGACCGGTGGTTGTGCTAGCAACACGCCCAACTGCCGTGGGCCTGAATTTGATTCTTGGAGTGCTCTTCCCTCGTTCAACCCGTCACGTTTGGGACAAAAGTTCAGATGACATGCTTTGTCTGTGCAAAAGGATATCGGAAATACTAGTGTCAGTGCCCCTGCATAACAACTGCTGTTGAGGTTGAGCCGTCGAATGACATGCCCAAGCCACAAGCATTATATGAAGACGGCCAGAAAAAATATCGTTTACTGTGTCTCGGTGTCGAATAACTCGATTCGGGTGAAGCCAAGTCCTCTTGCCATTTGCCTTTATCTGCCGGTCCGGGTTCCTGAAGCCC